AAGCCAGTGACACTAAACACCATAAGATCAGACAACAAGAAAACAGCAACAACTTTAGAAAGAAAAAAGGTTACACAAGAGAACTTCCCAGTGTGCCATTCAACAGAAGAGATTTACGCTTCTTAATTACTAAAGTGCAAAATTTAGCCACCTCATATGATACTGAGCTTGAGGAATCTTCCAGGAGGTATTTTCGAAGAATTTCAGGGGAGGATTCCAAATAATATTGAAGGGGTATAAATTTTGATAGAAGTGGTAAAATAAGTTGAACTCGTTCTTCACTATAGAATTCGCAAGATAGAAGAATGTGTGTGACAGATTCTACCTTATTAGACATACAAGGGCAGAGACGCGCATGCATTGGAACTCGCGTGAATTTGCCGTACAGCACTGCTGAGGGCATTGTCTCAAAGCGGGCTCTAGAGAAAGCCCATCTATAGGTTTCGTTAGTGATGTTAGTTAAGTAAGGGGCAGCTGCAAAATTAGGCCAAGCTTTTAAACATCTATACGTCTCTGGGAGTAGGGCGCCTTCTTGTTGTAATTCGATATCATAAAGTCTCCGAGTGATAGTAGCTTTTGCCTTGTTCAGAGTTCCAATAAAAATATTTTCAGGGTTTAGGCCAATTTGTTTGATCTTGTTAGTTATTTGCAAAAGCCAAGGAGGATAGGGAACTGCGGCCAGGAAGCAAGGTAATAGACCCTTAGGATTGTAATGGATTTTCAGCCAGAGGGATATTGCTTGTTCCCAGACTTTTAATTCCACTCTGGGCAGTCCTGCCTCTTGCCTTAAGACTGCATTAGGTGTACACTTAGGAGTAGCAAATAATGATCTTAAGAATTTAGATTGTACTGTTTCAAAGGTCTTAAGGTTGGCAGAGGGGCTAATTTGAGAGCCATATAGAAGTTGGGCTAAAGATTTTGCCTGAAAGACTGTTAGGGCCATCGGGAGGAAGCCAGCTCCTTTCCTTCTGAATAATCTAAGGATAGCATTTGCACTTCTTTCTGCTGATATAGCTGATGTGGTCAAGTGTGTTGAGAATTTGGCATTATAAGAGAAAGTAATGCCTAAGTATTGGAAGGTCTTAGTCTGTTCAATGGCGTTTCCCTTTACGCTCCAATTATCCTTCCTAAAGGAGCGGTTAAAATGTACAATTTTGGTTTTGGCAAAGTTAATTGTTAACAGTTCAGTGTTACATTGGTCACTAAACTTTCCTAAGGCACGTTTCAGACCCACTTTGGTTTGAGAGAGAAGAACAGCGTCATCCGCATACATTAAAATTGGTACTTTTCTGCCATTAGAGAACACAGGGGGGTGGGTTTCAATTTCACGGCAGCATGTAACCAGGGAGTTAACATAGATATTAAATAGGAATGGGGCTAATAGGCATCCTTGTCTAACTCCTCTTTGGACTAAGATTTCTCTAGAGAGTCTGCCGTCCTGTGCGAGTCTTATCTGGAGGGTATTGTTCTCATGAAGCTTAATCATCAGAAGTAATAACCTTCTGTTAATACCCATATTGGCCAATTTGGCCCAGAGCCTGCTCCTGGATACAGAATCAAATGCTGCCTTTAAGTCCACAAAGGCCGCATATAATGACTTTTTCCAATATTTCGCATACTTATAGACAAAGTAATCTAACACTAAGCAGTGATCAATGGTGGAACGTCCGGATGTAAACCCTGCTTGTTCAATTTCTAGCAAGTTATTATGATCTAACCATTCCCATAATTTTAGGCATAGATGTTTTGTATAAAGTTTACAGATCACGTTCAGGAGACTAATTGGTCTATAATTAGATGGATCAGAGGGGTTGCCCTTTTTAAATATGGGAACAATTATAGCTAGTCCCCAATCTTTAGGGATTTCAGTTGTCTTATCTATATATGAAAATAGATTAGCAAGGACCGGGGCCCACCAGTTTATTTGCGCTTTCAGAAGTTCAGCGACAATGAAATCACTTCCTGGGGCTTTGCCAGATTTCATTTGTAGAATTAGCGAAGTGATTTCAGTTTCAGATGTTGGGGGCCATGGTGTATCATTATCTAAGGGGATGTTAAGCGGCGCAGAAGGACGATGTTCCCTAAACAGCACTTTATAGTGCTCTTCCCATGAATTTGCAGGGATTATTGTGCCCTCATTAGGAGCTTTGGTTTGACTGGAAATAATTTTCCAGAAATTGGAATTGTCTTTTTCTATTGACGCTTTTATGAGGGCCTGCCAAATGAGAGAGTCTGCGGTTCTTTTTTGGTTTTTAATAACTCTTTGTAGTTCTTTTTTTTAAGTTGTAACTCCAATTTAGTGATAGGGTTAGGATTTTGCTGGAAGACCTTAAAGCATTCCCTGAGTATAAGTTTTGCCTGAGTGCATTCGTGATCAAACCATTTTTTGTTGGTAGGGGAGTCATTTTGGTTAGATCTTCTGGGTCTTGACAATAACGGTTGGAGTTTTCGGATTAATGTGTTATAATGGTCAATTGGGGAGGTCTCTTCAGTGTCGTTGGAAGTCAGATCAGCCCAGAGGAGTTGACCTTCCATTGATTGTGTCCAAATACCAAAATGGTTATTAACATAAGGGGACCATTTAATTCTGGATCTGCCTATTTGTTGTAAAGCGCTAGGATCAGGAGTCTGCGGGGCAAGCCCACATCTAGAGGGTTCCCAAAATTCAGTCCTTTTAAGATTTAGGGGTAAATGGTCACTTTCGGTTCTTATATCTACAGCAAATTCAATATATTCATCGAAGAGTTCTTGGGAGACAAGGATGTAATCAATAACAGAATGCCTTAAGCCTGACCAGTAAGTAAATTGGCCAGGGCAGTCCCCTGAGGAGAGGCCGTTTAAAATAACAAGGTTTAATCTAAGTGCCATTAAAAAAGACATGTACCAGCAAAATTGGTAACTGGGTCAAGTGAGTGACGCCTGAATAGGGGCCAATGTTCATCATTAGCATTTAGGGGACCCATTCCACTTTCCTTGATTAACTGTTCGTCTGAGTGGCCTAGCCTTGCATTAAAATCCCCACCAATAATTAAGGAGGCAGAGGGAAACTTATTTGAGACGAGGAGAATGCAGTCTTCCAGTTCGTTCCAGATGTTTTTAAGATCAGTTTGTTTCATAAGTGGGTGAATATAAACATTGATGCATATGATCTTAAAATGGGTGGAGAATATTTTAACGGCCAAAATCCATTTTTATCGATTTTCAATTGGATAGGGGAGGCTCCTAGATCTGTCGATACGAAGGTGCTCAGACCTCCCACCGGTCTTCCGCCTTTTGGGCCGATTGAGGCAAGGGAATGGAAAGCAAAGTAATTGTGTAGTTCGAAAGGATTTTGCGTCCAGGTTTCTTGGAGCAGGATGATCTTGAACTGTGATACGTAGGTTAAAACGTCTTTGTCCCTTGTTTTCGATTGCCATCCAGCAACGTTCCAGGATAGTAGTAGGGGTGAGAGTCATTTTGTCTCTTCAATAGCATCTAGGGCTTTCCCGGAGTCGTGGAAGATGCAACCATTGAATGGTTGAGTCTCCGGTAATGTGATTAGGGGCGCCACAGAGATTTCGGCGTGGATTTCAGATGGGCAGAGTAGGGGTGTGTGTTCTGCCGTGACCTGAGGAGATTCATGACCCATTTTTCGCTCCGAGTTAGGTGGAATATTTGCCTCTTTTGTGGGCGCTAGATCTTCAAAGTTGCGGAGATAGAGTAATAACTCATCTAGTCTGTCCGTTATCTCTGTTTGTTCGGCTTTTGGCAGATGGGAGAAGGAGACAAGTAATTCCTGCTCCATCGAATTCTCAAGATGAGTAGCCTTTGATAGGAGGGGCATGGGGGTCTCTGTCCAACTAATTAAGTCTGAGGGTGGAGAGGTAGAGCTCGTAGTAGATGGAATGCTCTCATTTTTAATTGCTTTCCTTTTAACTGAAGAGTAGGGAATGAGAGGGCAAATCTTAGTGTTGATAAAAACTCTTGTGATGAAAATTCTATAATTAGTCAGATAGCTTCGTAAGGACATCATATAAGTTGGAAGCTTTTTAGAATCAAAGGTGAGCAGTATCCTCTGCATGTGTGGCTTGCTGTAAATGTGGACAGTAGATTTCAGATCGATGGAAAGAGGATCTACGCCCAGAAGCTCAGCTAAATGCCTTCTTGCGACATGTGTAGACGACCAGTTAACAACCTGACCTTTGAAGGGGAGGATAATTAAACAAAGTCTAGTGGCTTGTAACGAAAGATTATAGGAAGATATGGTGTGTAAATCTTCCATAGATTGTTCGTTTTCAGATTTGCAGCCAATCTGCGGGGTTGAGCGTAATAGGGCAGGTACTCTGGGCGTTGGTTCAGCCCTATCCTCCGGTGAAACGTCTACAGGGCTGACATTAACTTTTGGGGATACAAAGGATGTAATATTCTCTAAGGAGCCTTTGATGTCTCTTATGTATTTAAAGATACAGTCCACGGTTTTAGCCACTAGGTCTAACGTAGTAGAGTGTTCAAGCAGTAATTCAGAGAGATAGTTTGCTTGTTCTCCGATGCAGTCTTCCGCCTGAAAGGGCTTAGTTGGAACTTTTTGGGGCCTTTTGGTCTCGTAATGGTGTTGTTTAAGGAGTTAATGGGTTGTTTAGTGGGTGGTTCCTTCGGTGTAATTTCTTTATCTATTATCTCTGCTAATGGCGAGAAGCTGTTCGAGGTCGGAATATTAAAAGTGTCCTTTGTTTTTCCATAGAAGAATTCGCTGATTTTGGTTTGCTTGGTAAGGGGCAAACATGCCATTTCCTCTAAGTCTTCAGATTCTCTGCAGCGTTTACCAACCCCCCTCCTCGCATCAGCAGGGCCGTCTAATTGCTGAGTCATCTTTCCCTTTGCCTCGCTCTTTTATCTTCCCTAAGTTTTTCAAAGAGTCGAGGGAGTATTTTCCTTGAAAGTATCCTATTCAAGGAGGAGGAGTGTGCCAAAGGTTATTGGCATAACACTAAATTATGCTCCGTCTGTGCCTCCAGACTTATGGTGGGAGCAGCCCATGAATTTTCCTGTAAGCTCTTCGCAGTGTGATAAGATAGTCAATGCGGCTTTAAAGCTCCAAGAGGAGTCCGGAAAGCGGAGCGTGGGATAGGATGGGGTGAGGTGCTTAAATTTATCTGAGCTCAATGTTCATTAAAATAGCTCAATGTTCATTAAAATAGTCTTTAAAAGGAGTAAGAGAAAGTAAAAAGATAAAATCAATGGGCTCACATTAGTAGAGTGCTGTCCGCCATCATACCGGAAGTCTCGTAAAGTCGGAATTTCCCTTAAAAAAAGGAAAACGTTGACAGCTATGCACCCAGATTGTCCACCCCCAGCCTACATGATTTCACTGTTGCTTCACAGTGACTGGTAAAAATTATTTTGTATTTTTTTATAAATAAATAAAAAAGATAATGGACCTTGGTCAAATTTACCAACAACAGGTTTTATTATCCACTTGGTAAAAGAAATAAACCAATTACTCAGAAAGTAACCTATATGTATTCCTTAGCCAAAGCCCATGTGAGTTAAAATCTTTTGGACTGTGCACCATATCAATGTACATTTTTATTTGCAAACTGTTTATAGGGATAAGATTGACTTCCCTTACAATATAGATAACACTGACCTACCTTATAGTAATTGGACAATGTATGTATAGCACTCTGGACATATAAAAGCACCATCAAACTATTATTATTATTATTATTATTATTATTATTATTATTATTATTACCCAAACCACATTGTGATCATCCTTTGCCTCAAATGTAAGAACTAGCCTACTCAGATGTAACACCAGCTCCCTAAAATCACTGTGCATAGATGCATGTATGTAAAGTTTCTCCCTTCCTGACCACTTCCTTGCAAGGGTTTCAGCTGTAGCCTGGATTTTAAATTGAGGTTTGAAGTGGAGTTGAAGAAAGAACCTGATTAGCATTATCCATTGTCAGCATCTGATAATGGAGAATTTTGTAGCGGGGAGCGGGGCAGCCAAAGGAGAGGGTTTGCTCAGTATGGCCCTGTGGCTTGTTTCCCATTTGCAAACCAGGCTATATGTCTGCACTGGGCAGCTGAGTGGATTTATGCAGATTTTGTATGTACAACTACAAGTGCAGGCATGTTCCAGCTTGAGCCACAGTTGGTGCCCCTCAGTTTAGCAATGATGCAGGAGGCAAGAGTTTGCTACTGTATACTGAAAACTAGTGAAGTTGGGAAAAGGAGCAGCATGGTTTAATTTGTTGTTGTTGTTTAGTCGTTTAGTCGTGTCCGACTCTTCGTGACCCCATGGACAAGAGCACGCCAGGCACTTTTGTCTTCCACTGTCTCCCGCAGTTTGGTCAGACTCATGTTTGTAGCTTCGAGAACACTGTCCAACCATCTCATCCTCTGTCGTCCCCTTCTCCTTGTGCCCTCCATCTTTCCCAACATCAGGGTCTTTTCCAGGGAGTCGTCTCTTCTCATGAGGTGGACAAAGTATTGGAGCCTCAGCTTCACGATCTGTCCTTCCAGTGAGCACTCAGAGCTGATTTCCTTAAGAATGGAGAGGTTTGTTCTTCTTGCAGTCCATGGGACTCTCAAGAGTCTCCTCCAGCACCACAATTCAAAAGCATCTATTCTTCGGCGATCAGCCTTCTTTATGGTCCAGCTCTCACTTCCATACATCACTACTGGGAAAACCATGGCTTTAACTATACGGACCTTTGTTGGCAAGGTGATGTCTCTGCTTTTTAAGATGCTGTCTAGGTTTGCCATCGCCTTTCTCCCAAGGAGCAGGCGTCTTTTAATTTCGTGACTGCTGTCACCATCTGCAGTTTAATGGTTCAATACAATGTTATTAAAACTTAACTTGAAACTCAATGCTATGCAAAGTAAAGCATGCCAAAAAGTTTAGAAATCAATGGTCTTTTTTCCAATCTTTTTTAATTGATTTCCCAAGTTTATAACAAACAAAACACACAAATAAAGAAAAAAGACATTACAATACTATAAAAGGCAACAAAAACAAACACATAAACACCTAATACTTTAAGACCTAGTTTAATTTTCATTGTTAACTGACTTCCTCGAACCCCTCCTTTACTGAGTTTCATTGAATCACTTTTTAACAGCTCTCCAATATCCTCTTTCTAATCAAATTGACACCTTTAATTTACAATCTTCTTCTCTTTTCATAATTATCTAAATCCATAGTATTTTACAATTCATTCTTACTCTAGTCCTAGGCCCATTTGATACTTTCAAGTAACTTCTACTTATTGTATGTTACAATAAATAGTCTTTCTAAATTTCTTCCAATCTTTTGCTAAATAGTCTTTCAATTTCTTCCAATCTTCTCGATATTCCTCTTCTTTCTGATCGCGGATTCTTCCAGTCAGTTCGGCTAGCTCCAAAAAGTCTAACGTCTTCATCTGTTGAAATCAATGGTCTTAGGGAGGCCTAACCCCACATAGAGTTCAGACTAAGTATGCATTTGCATTTCAGGAAAGGAAAAAAAGCGGGGAAGGATGCCACAAACTCTTCTGGGTATATGTAGTATTTTATTTTTATTTTTAACGTCATTGCTTAAGGTTTAAAGAAGCAGCTTTGTATGCTGGCTTTCAGACCTGAGCAACTTATTTCAAAGTAACTCTGTGAAAGCAACTATCACGTTTGGTTTATAAGAAAAGGACTAGCTGCTCTGATTACCTGTCAAGATTACAGCTGCAAAACTCCCCTGGCTGCTGTTCTCATTTCTAATCATGACTTGAGTTTGGAAATCAGTGTGACTGCCTATAAGGTTGAACAAACAGCCAGGCAGAGACGAGCAACGCGCCTCTTCCATTTCCTGAGATACCTAAGTGTAAAGAACTGGGAAAGTACATATTTGTTGCTCCTCATCCATGCTCTGGCTGTTCTGTCCCCCGTTTTTTAAAGCTTGGCTTCCTAACATTTATTGGTGTTTGACTCAGGGTTAATCCTGTGACTGAAGTGTAAAAGAAGGTGTGGCCTTTTAAAATTTTATTTTAAGGACACATCGTAGTGGTCTTTGGGAGGTGTCAAACATCTTTTGGAAACCGTGGCAGTGGCCAGTAAAAAAGAGTTTGGCTTTTTAGTACTACTTTTTTAAAGAAATGGCAAATTGCTGTGGGACAGAGGAGTCACCGGAAAACTTTTGGCATCACCGTATCATAGCAGGGAACATACAGGAGCAGGCAGTAAAATAAAATAAAAAGTTAGTAAAATAATAATTTGAGGTGTCTTGGGGGCCAACGAAAACCTTTTGGCATTATGACATCACAGAGGTGGGCCCACTGGAACAGAGATATAGATGATAGATAGATAGATAGATAGATAGATAGATAGATGATAGATAGATAGATAGATAGATACCTAGATAGATGATAGATAATACAAATTGAGTCGGGGTTTATGTGGCCTTCAGTTTGAAGCTTAGGAAACCCTACTTGGAAAGACAAATTGTAAGATCTTTGCTGCACATATAATGGACTGTGGAGAGAGGTCAGACCCTCTAGGCAGTGTAGTGTAGTGGTTAGACTGGGACCTGGGATTCCTATCTGGCCATGAAGCTCACTGGGTGACCTTGGGCCAGTCACTGCCTCTCAGCCTAACCCACCTCACAGGGTTGTTGTGGAGATTAATTGAGGATGGGGAGAACCATGTACACCACCTTGAGCTCCTTGAAGATGCAAGGTGGGCTACAAATGCAATAGTTACATATCTGGACATCCAAACCTCTCCCATCAGCTTCCCCAACCTGGTGCTCTCCAGATAGTCCAGCTGGTTAGAGCGTGGTGCTGATAATGCCAAGGTTGCAGGTTTAATTCCTGTAAGGGACAGCTACATAGTCCTGCACTGCAGGGGGTGGACTAGATAATTCTCTGGGTCTATGATATCTATGATAGCAGGGTGTGCCTATTGCAGAATTTCTGGGCATTTGATAAGATGAGAATGACAGTTTGCATTTCTTAGTACAGAAACTATTGATCTGATGTGTAGAGATCTTTCCTGTTCAGCTTAGTTCAAGAGGGTTCTGGAAGGTTTCTTCTCTATGTGAAAGAAGGTTCTTGTTTGGGTTATTCCTTCTGAAAAGCAGAGTACAGCTGGCTTAAACTTGTTCTGTTATCTCTTTCTGTTGAGGTCATACTATAATAGCAAAGCGAAAAGGAACCTGGGTCTTCACTTACTTTCTCTTTCTATCTCTTTGTTCTGGTGTGATGTTTTGTTCTGCATATAGTGTTAAAGTTTAGAGTTATTATAAGTTATTGCAAATCTGCTGCAACTGGATTTCTTATGGACAGTGCCAATTCTGAATGTATTGGATTTGTGACCATTATGCTCATTTGCCTTCAGTAGCAGTAAAGCTCTGCTGGATGAAGGACAATTGGCTCTGGTCTATTTTTGGGAACTCTACAACGTGTTTAAGATTTTCCTCCACAAGCGCGGCAGAGAACCCATTCTTCAGATGTTTTGGAGCATAACTTCCATCTGCCCCAGCCAGTGACTTTGGTCAAAAACACATCTGGAGGCATCAGGTTGGGGAAGGATGCTGCACATGGTTTAGGACTGCATAAGAGCCTAGGGCTTGCCGATCAGAAGGTCGGCAGTTCAAATCCCTGCAACATGGTGAGCTCCCATTGCTCGGTCCCTGCTCCTGCCAACCTAGCAGTTCTAAAGCACATCAAAGTGCAAGTAGATAAATAGGTACCGCTCCAGCAGGAAGGTAAACGGCGTTTCTGTGAGCTGCTCTGGTTCGCCAGAACTGGCTTAGTCATTCTGGCCACATGACCCGAAAGCTGTACGCTGGCTCCCTCGGCCAGTAAAGCGAGATGAGCTCCGCAACCCCAGAGTCGGTTACGACTGGACCTAACGGTCAGGGGTACCTTTAAAAAGAATAAAGACACATGAAGCTTCTTTTAAAAGTAATAAGAAGTTTACTCACATTCAGTTCACAGCTGGATCCCTGAAGGCAGGCTTTAGCTTGTAGTTACAGACAGTGTAGCCTACATCCTTGTAAGGATGGGCCCATGTGCTGCTGGCAGAGAGCCAGCAGTGTAGTCCAAGAGAAGAAAAGGCAGCAAAAGAGGAAGGCAGCTCCGTGACTGGCCTTTTGTGGGGTCTGCAAGGGTCATGCCCACCTACCTGGTCACATGCAGGGAGAGGATGCTCCAGACCAGGTGTAACAGGAAGTTCAACTGGCTGGATCAATATCCTCCTGTCTGCGTCCACTCTAGGCAAACAGGAAGTGATGTACTTGACTGCTTATGTTACATCCCACAAAATCAAGCACTAAAAAGCAGCCCATTGGATCAAGTGGTTTCTGGTGCTTCTGGTGAGATCTCTCAAGAGGTCTGTGGGACCTCGCTGGAACCTGCAGTTGCTTCTCCTTGCTTCTCCCCCTGCCAAGGAAGAAGAGCTGACAGTGAAATTTGAAGCATTCAAGGGTAAATACGGAAACCAAGGAATGGCAAACACGGGAAATTGATGGATAAAGTAATTTATGATCTATGTTAACATCTGCTCCCCTTCCCAGGTTGAGCACACAATAAATGAACTATTTATTGCCTTTTGCAGTTAGTCGAGGTCCTTTGTGGAGATCTCCAGGGGGATCAATCCTTTGAACTGCTCCTTGCTTGCTTTTAAGTTTGCATTCCTGGCTGGGATTTGGGACTGGACTCCGCAGGGCTCCCTTCTGAGCAAACGCACACAGAAGCAGCCTGCCAGGCGCCTTCCCCATCCACTTGCAACCAGCAACGGACCTACATTTTAGGAGCCCAGAACTGATATGGGGCTTCCCTTCACAACCAGCAGCAAGGTCTGGGGAACCCCTGTTGTTTCTTTCTATGGGGTTGTTCCACGGCAGATCACCACATTTATTTTTTTAAGTAAAAAATTAGCTACTACATCTCAGATTTTGATTAAAATGGCTGCACTGGATTATCTCACATGTCAAAGTCACTGGTGTGAATAAAAATGTCCCATGCATTATAGTTTTCGAGTTATGAGGATGGATGAAAATTATGGAAAAATAGGGAAATGTAATATACATGCATGAAGGGACGCGGGTGGCGCTGTGGGTTAAACCACAGAGCCTAGGACTTGCTGATCAGAAGGTCGGCGGTTCGAATCCCCATGACGGAGTGAGCTCCCATTGCTCAGTCCCTGCTCCTGCCAACCTACGACTGGACCTAATGGTCAGGGGTCCCTTTACCCTTTACCTTTTAATATACATGCATGAGGCACTTTTAAAAGCATTTTTTTTTAAGCGATATGGCCTAAAATTAATCTGGGGCCCCTCTGGGATTAGAGGCCCTGAAGTTTAAGTTTCTGCCTCTACTTGCAACCCCACGTGCACTTGGGAAATGCCTGTGCTCACCCCCTCCCAAGAGAAGCACATATAGGAGCCAACTCCTAGGGACTAAGGTCCCTTCAGCCTCCCCCCACTAAAATATTTGAGGTGGCCACCTCCCCCCCCCCCCAAAAAATTGATGGGTATTCCCATTCAAACCACCATGTGATCCATTATGTGGGGCGGGGCTTACCTGGGTCCCCACAATATTTTATTCAAGTTGGCACCCCTGGCATGGGGGGGGGGCAGGGAGGAGCATCTTCCCCCCCATCAATAAAAATCAATAAAAATACATAGCTAACTGAGGTTCTCTCCCACCAACAAAAGGCCTGGTGATGTGAATGAATGAATTAATTTATTAATACGGTCACAGACCAGCGCCAGGTGATGTGAAAAAAACACTTAGAATTTGGGTTCGGGGCCTCACAGGGGTCCGGTTGGAGAAGACAGGTGATTTCCAACCAAGGATTGAAAGAAACAAGTGGCTTTTCAAAAGCACGGATCCTTTATTCGGTTGCAACTGGGTTCCCCACGCAAAGGTGAAAAAGCGTATGAGGGACCCCACCCAAAGCTAAGTTCAGAATACTTGGATACAATTATAAAAACAGAGATAGGGTAAATTGAGGAAATAGAGTAATGGGCATGCAGGGAGGAAAGAAAAATGCTTTATTTGACAATAAGGGGGGGGGATTCGAAGGAGGGGAATAACGGGAGAAGCGAATTAAAAGGAGAGCAGGCTAAAGGTAAAATTGAGGAAAAGGTTTATATATGTCTCTTAGGTTGCCTTCATTTGGTTTATTTGGTCTTGGTTTTCAGCTTCTTTAGCTATTTTTCTACATCACTGGCTACGCCCACGACCCCTGGTATGCAACCTGCGCCCGCAGGGCCCCCAATCCCGCTCATTTCCACGAAGCTCCTGCTCCCCACCCAGGAAAGCTGCCCGCTTTGCGCCAGGAATTGCGCCCCGGCCTCCTTGCGCCCCACGGGCTCTAACTTCCAAGCCTGCCCGGCTCTCGCTTCGCATCCCTCGAACACCCCAGCTCGACCCACCCGCTTTCCCAGGCGCGCTCCCTGCGCAGGTGGCTCGAGCCCGCAACGCATCGGAGAGGGGCGGGATCGCGCTCAGGCGAGCGCGCGAGCGCGTGGCGGGGAAGGGAGGCCCGGAGGCGAGCAGATGCCGCGCGCAGGGGGCGGAGAAGCTGCTGCAGCAGCGGCAGTAGCAGCGCGGGCGCGGCAAGAGCGAGTTTTTTACGCGGCTGGAGCCTCGCTCGCGGCGAAGGGGCGGGTGCCTGCGACCCGGGTGAGTAGCCTGCGCCGCGCCCACCCTCCTCTCCGGATTGCGCGCTCGGGTTGGATGGGGGACCCCCCTCTCCATGCCCAAGCACGGGCCGGTCCCGGGGTTCCTAGGGCGGTAGAGCTTCTCCTGGGGAAAAGGGCGCAGTTCTCGGGACTTTGCGCGCATTCCCTCCCCACCCCCAAAGAAAAGCGAAGCTGTGCGGCCCCGAGGGCACATACCGTGGGGAGCCTCGAACTCGGCGGGGCTTACTCCCGAGTAAATGCATGCGAGGCTCGTGCTGCAAAGGCACGCTTCTTCTTGGGAGATGGAAACAGGCGCAAGAGCGCGCTGCACCCCGAGGCTGCCAGGGCGCTTCCTTTCTTCCAAGGGGCAGCGAAGGGGTCCCGGTAGGAGTTAATTTCCCCGGGCAGGGCGCGCGCCGCTGCTCCGTTTGCTTTAAGGCGAGGATTCCCGCAGGGCTCGCTTGCCCAGGAGGTGCTGCTGCGCCCTTAGGCGGGCTTGCGCTGCGCAAGTGGGCGCCGCCGTCGAGGGAAGGACAGGGACCCGGGTGGAAAGCGCCGTGGAGGGGCTCCCATTTCTCGCTGCAGGCTGAAGCCTCGCGCAGAGCCTACCCTGGGCATTGCGGGAAGAAGAGAGCTGTTCGGCAGCGCAACTGACTGGTAGTCCTTCCTTGGCGGTTTTTAAAAAGAGGTTGGATGGCCATCTGTCATGGATGCTTCAGTTGAGATTCCTGCATTGCAGGGGGCTGGACTAGATGACCCTCAGGGTCCCTTCCAACTCATAATTTCCTTTCACAGCACCTTTTGGAGCGCATGGCAAATGTGTGACATTGACTGCCTTTCCGTGCATGTTTAGAAGATTGCTGCAGGTTGTGATCCACCAGCGGTACACGCGCGGTGTTAGAGGAAATCATAGAATCATAGAGTTGGAAGAGACCACAAGGGCCATCGAGTCCAACCCCCTGCCAAGCAGGAAACACCATCAGAGCACTCCTGACATATGGTTGTCAAGCCTCTGCTTAAAGACCTCCAAAGGAGGAGACTCCACCACACTCCTTGGCAGCAAATTCCACTGTCGAACAGCTCTTACTGTCAGGAAGTTCTTCCTAATGTTGAGGTGGAATCTTCTTTCTTGTAGTTTGGATCCATTGCTCCGTGTCCGCTTCTCTGGAGCAGCAGAAAACAACCTTTCTCCCTCCTCTATGTGACATCCTTTTATATATTTGAACATGGCTATCATATCACCCCTTAACCTCCTCTTCTCCAGGCTAAACATGCCCAGCTCAAAAGGTTGGGACTCGCTGCCTGAGAAGGGTTAGATTTGAGCTGTTATCACTTAGTACTGGAACAAGCACAGGAGTGAAAGGGAGAAGGGAAGGGACTTGGAGATCTCCCCTCCTTTACTGCTCTGCAAATTGTTGCCCCCAGTGAGCTAGTCAAGAATTTGAATGTGTTTGGGTTTCATAAATTCTCCTAGGTCAAACCCCCCACACAATCAGCCTTTAAATATAAACACAACTTTTCCCTGGCCGCTTCCAGATGACCTGTTTACTGAGCATTCCTTCCTGATATGCTGGCAGGGGGATTAGAGGGCAACTGCTGTTTAATGATCATTCACTCTCATTTGTTTGTGGGGAGGTTAAACAGCGTTGCATCAAATCAAGTGCATTCCCCTCACTTTCCTTATTGCAAAAAGTTTGATCTTTTGAGGAAGTGGGTTTGTTCCGTGGGACATTCAAATCCGCTTTAATCGCACAACCTGAATTTGCCAGTATGTGATTGAATCTCTCCCACAAATTGTGACAGTCACACTACTGGGTTCACATCAATTTTTTATCCAGAGACTCTAGAGTGTTGTGCAGCAGGTTGCTTGTGGAAAGGAATTTCGAAGTTGAGCAATATCCAAGGCTAGTTTAGGTGAGTGTCTTAAATGCCTTAGCTGGAGATAAGGTTAGTAGGGTGCTAGTCTGTACATGGAGTAACTTTCGGGAAGCTGTTGTTTTTTAGATGGAATATTTTCAGTTATGGCTTCCACTCAGATAGCTTTGGAATTGAAAAACTGGGTGTAGGAGCACTGGGTCAATCTGAAATATTAGTAAGTACGCATGAAGTTGCTTTAGATCGTGGGTAGGCAAACTAAGGTCCGGGGGCCGGATCTGGCCCAATCACCTTCTAAATCCGACCCGCGGACAGTCCAGGAATCAGTGTGTTTTTACATGAGTAGAATGTGTCATTTTATTTAAAATGCATCTCTGGTTATTTGTGGGGCATAGGAATTTGTTCATCCCCCCCAAAAAAAAATATAGCCCGGCCCCCCACAATGTCTGAGAGACAGTGGACCGGCCCCCTGCTGAAAAAGTTTGCTGACCCCTGCTTTAGATTAACACTGTTTCAGTACCACTGTTATAGGGTAGGAGGACTGCGTTTGGAATCCTGTTTGCTTTACAGGAGGTGCCAGCCACCCCTAGCTCTCTGTGGGATGTGCACATCTACCATACTCACAAATACGGTAAAGCTCTTGGGAGCTGACGTGAACTGGTTAATGCATAATGGGCAGCTACATATATTGCTTTTCCTTGGCAGCAGAGAGGACTCTCCCACCCTTAGCACCTACTCTGTGTGCAGGTGTGTGGTGTCCCTTCTGATCTTGGTGGAAAGAGTGAAGAGATAAGCCTCTTCATTCCTTGGTGCTGCCTGCAGAGTGAGAGTTAGGCTTCCTCGCCCTTGTTAGCAGTTACGAAAAGGTAGATAGGCAGTTGCCTGCTCCTTATCTTAAGCTTATGCCTTTTTGGCTCATAGAAGATGGGCCCTGTGTATAGGTTAGTAGTATCTATTTTCTATTCTCTGTCTATTCCAGCTGTCTAATTAATCATACCAGGGATCAAATCTGGGGCCTAGGGCTTGCAAATATGTGCTGACACACTGAGCTATGGTCTCTCCTAAGTACTTAAGTACAGGAGGGACGCGGGTGGTGCTGTGGGTTAAAACACAGAGCCTAGGGCTTGCTGATCAGAAGGTCGGCGGTTCGAATCCCCGCGACGGCATGAGCTCCCGTTGCTCGGTCCCAGCTCCTGCCAGCCTAGCAGTTCGAAAGCACGTCAAAGTGCAAGTAGATAAATAGGTACCGCTCTGGCGGGAAGGTAAACGGTGTTTCCGTGCGCTGCTCTGGTTCACCAGAAGCGGCTTAGTCATGCTGGCCACATGATCCAGAAGCTGTACACCGGCTCCCTTGGCCAATAAAGCGAGATGAGCGCCGCAACCCCGGAGTCGGCTGCAACTGGACCTAACGGTCAGGGGTCCCTTTACCTACTTTCCATGCACAACTTCATGCTGGATTTCTTAAGTTTGCACCTCGCTTGTTATGGAGGAGCTAACCTTTTAGCCCAGCCACTTGTTTTTATTAAAGGACTGTATCCTCTTCCTCCTTGTTAAATGTGTATTAGAGTGTTCTCACCACCTTAAGTGTTGGTCCAATTTCTCCCAAACCCCAAGGTTATTAAGCTTGATACTTTTCCTGCTCTTTGCCCACCATAATTGTATAAACAGAAGTCTGGGTTAAGGCCCAAACTCAAGTGATAAATAATAACTAATTTAAGTTCCTAAAAGCATTGTTAAAAATGTTTGCTAGTTTAAAAGATAAACTACATAACATTTACGTTAACCACTCCTCTTACCTGTGGTACAAAAGAAAAAAAGATTTCGTTCAGAAAAATTATTACCCTTGGATCTTAACCTTATCTTTTTTACTAGCTCTGGAGAACTAATGGAATACTTATTACTGCTACCAATGTAATTGCTCAGTCCCGGTGATATATTTAATTTTAATTTTGTTATGTTTATGGCGAAGGCTGTGACTTTGTTTCAACTTTATTATTTCATCAGACTGTCAGAGATGTAGTTTTGGGTCTTTGTTTTATTTTGTTTGTTTGTTGTAAAGCTCTATTTAATACCGCTTAGGCTTAGCGTACTTACGGTAACCAAATTTGTGTCATTGTGAGAGCAATAGTGAACTTTTGTCTCTAATTCCAAAAATTAAATTAAAATTGCGATTTATTTTTTTAAAAAAAGTGAGGTGGCAGTTGCTGCGCTGCTGACTGGCCAAAAGTAGTCCATAAGAATCGCCAGATCTTCTCTCCACTCTTCTGAGTTGAATTGTCTTCATGTTACTTCATTATCCAGCTTCAGTTCCATCTCAGCTTTTCGGACTGTAAGCTACTTGCAGGGCAGTGACCTCTCTATTTTTGCCTGAGATTAGCACACTGGCTAATTGACCAGGCAAGGGCTGTCAATTGACCACCTGTTATTTAACCATTGTCACATATCCCACAATGCCAAGAATGCTGCAGTGTTAATGGAAGCTTTTAAAATTTTTTCCTTGTAATGCCACACAATAGCAAGGCCCAAGAGCAGGGGTAGGCAACCTAAGGCCCGTGGGCCAGATGCGGCCCAATCGCCTTCTCAAGCCGGCCTGTGAATCAGCGTGTTTTTACATGAGTAGAATGTGTGCTTTTATTTAAAATGCATCTCTGGGTTATTTGTGGGGCATAGGAATGTGTTCATTTTTTCCTTCAAAATATAGTCTGGCCCCCCAAAAGGTCTGAGGGACGGTGGACCAGCCCCCGGCTGAAAAAGGTTGCAGATTCCTGCCCAAGAGCAAGGGTTGAGCCCCCATAGTCATGCGAGAGCAAACTTAGCAGCCAAACTATCCACAATAACAGCAATCTTCTCCCAGCAGAAACAGAATCTTTGAACAACTGAACCAACTTTGCTGATTCTTTATAAATTCGATTAAAACAATTTCATGCTTTTCCAATATGTTACACTAACTGCAAGCACCAGCGTTTTTCTTTTTGTGCTAATAAAATTAATATTTGACCAAATCTTTCTTTACAAGTCACTTGAACAAAACCCTATTTTGACTGATAAAATGCCCAATCCCAGGGCGTTTATTTTTTCCCCAGATGGAACTCAGTTCTGGCTCCTCTCAGGTGGGCACCATTGCCATTATAAGAGAACAAGGGAGGTGTTCATGGTGAGTTCTGGCACCTCTTTTTCTAGAAAAATAGCACAACACAATTCTATTGTCTCTTTTCATCCATGGCCCATGCAATGTAATTCCTTCATGACACCTAAGTCAAGTGGAAACTGAAACAGGAAAGTGGGTGATGCCTTCAAATTGCAAGGCCAAATTGGGGGTAATAAAGTGTTGTAAATTCCCCAAAGTTACTAGCCTGTGATTTTGTTTTTCTAGCCATCCTGCCACCCAGTCCATATAAAAAAATGGCAAGTCTTTTCTTTTAAAAAAGTTTTTATATTTATTTTTAAAAGCAGGATAAGCAACAACAATGTCTAGAGGCATTTCTTACTGCCAATTGGCACGGGGCTCTTTGAGAAGCCTTGAGAAAGAGGAGGACTGATTCACACAACTGAATTTGTTTTCTCCTCGAAGTCTCTCATTTCTTTTCTCTCTCTCCCTGCCGCATCCCTGCTCCCCCAAGTGAGTTGAAAGCCCTCCTCCTGTTTTCCCTCTTGACATTTTCTAGGGATGATATTATGTTGCTTATTAATGTTTCCTCACTTGCTTCGCAGTGCCCTCATGGGGTGTGCTTTATAAATAATAATTGACTTTATACCAATTAGCAAAACTATAATCCCAAGAATTTTGGAAGCTGACTGAAATTCAAACCAGCTGCCAGTCTGGAGATGGCTGAATCTTGCTTCTGGAGATTATCACTCTTTTGATGCTTTTACCGTGCTTTAATAAGCCAATTATAGCGCAGCTCATCTTTTACAAAGAGGGGCTTCCAGTCTTAACAGAGACTTGAAAACCATTTTTGAAAACGTCACCCAGCTCCTTATCATTGTGTTAATTCTTCTAAAGCAGGGGTCAGCAAACTTTATCAGCAGGGGGCCGGTCCACTGTCCCTCAGACCTTGTGGGGGCCGGACTATATCTTGTGGGAAAAAATAAAAAATGAACAAATTCCTATGCCCCACAAATAACCCAGAGATGCATTTTAAATAAAAGGACACATTCTACTCATGTAAAAACACCAGGCAGTTCCCACAAATAACCCAGAGATGTGTTTTAAATAAAAGGACACATTCTACTCATGTAAAAAACACTATGATTCCTGGACCGTCCTCGGGCCGCATTTAGAAGGCGATTGGGCCGGATCGGGCCCCCGGGCCTTAGTTTACCTATCCATGTTCTAAAGTGATCTCCAGCAATGCTTGATCACTCAGCTGAGAGGCGACCAGGTACCCTCAATTATCATTTGTCATTTATTTACTTATTTGATTTGTATTCCTCTCTTTTGATAAATTCCCCATGGCCCACGCTGATGTCAAAAAATTAAAGTTACACCACCACAATATGAAAGAGCAGTAAAAACCACCACCACCCCACATTATTGCATTGTTTTCAAGGCTAAATTCTCCTTGTATTCCACAAGTTGCAGCTTCTTGAATCTTGGGCAATCCCAGGAAGAGGTTCTGTTAGTTCAAGATGCATTTGTGTGTGTGTGGGGGGGGGGTGATTTCCCAGTCTACATATTTATTTTACTTCTTTATTATAAATGAGTGCATAGTAAATGGACTTGTAAAGCCACAATTCTTCAAATTGCTGATTTTGTGGTGGTGTTAGTTTCCTGAAATGAGTTTCCTCATCTTAATTAATCTGTGGCGATGTGGGTGTAAACCACAGAGCCTAGGACTTGCCAATCTGAAGGTTGGCGGTTCGAATCCCCACGACGGAGTGAGCTCCCATTGCTCGGTCCCAGCTCCTGCCAACCTAGCAGTTCGAAAGCACATCAAAGTGCAAGTAGATAAATAGATACCGCTCTGGCGGGAAGGTAAATGGCGTTTCCGTGCGCTGCTCTGTGGCGCCAGAAGGGGCTTAGTCATGCTGGCCGCATGACCCGGACGCTGTACGCCGGCTCCCTCGGCCAATAAAGCGATATGAGCGCCGCAACCCCAGAGTCAGCCACGACTGGACCTAATGGTCAGGGGTCCCTTTACCTTTACCTTTATGTGCAACTACATCTCTGAAGATGCTAATTCAACGCAGATGATAGCCATTATAGTGGTCATGAAGCTGACTGAGGGTTAGGAAAAAAGAGGGGAGCATCTTATACTAATACTAATACTTTACCTTTTTTTTTTTTTTTACTACTAATAATATATTATTTATACCCCACCCATGTGACTCCAGCCACTCTGGGCAGCTCCTAGACTAGGGGTCAGCAAACTTTTTCAGCAGGGGGCCAGTCCACTGTCTCTCAGACCTTGTGGGGGGCCAGACTATATTTTGAAGGGGAAAAAAGAACGAATTCCTATGCCCCACAAATAACCCAGAGATGCATTTTAAATAAAAGGACACATTCTACTCATGTAAAAACACGCTGATTCCCGGACCATCCACGGGCCGGATTTAGAAGGAGATTGGGCCTGATCAAGCCCCCGGGCCTTAGTTTGCCTACCCTGGCCTAGACTGTGAGTTCCTAGACTTGCAGTGTTTCTCAAACTTGGGTCCCCAGCTTTTGTTCGACTACAGCTCCCATCACCCCTGACCACTGTTCCTGCTAGCTAGGGATGATGGGAGTTGTGGTCCAACAACAGCTGGGGACCCAAGTTTGAGAAACACACTTACAGAAGAATGGCAGGATGAAAGCATAGCAGTTACTTCTTAATATGCCTTTACTCTCTCATCCCCGGTCCATATTTAATTCATAAAACTTGCTATCCTTCATTTGTTCTATAAAACATAGATGACTTACTCTAAAGTAAAATAAATGCTGCAGGGCTGGATTCTGTCTGTTTTGCAAAAGCATGCCCATGTGATTTGAGAATTCCTATGCCTACATTTGATCCTTCTTGGTTATCCTTGCATCTCCCATTCTCCCAGGGCTGAAGCGTAGATTGTAAACTCCTTGTTGAATTATTGATTGTGATTAGGGCTGGGCAATAAATCAGTATATCGTCCAAAACCAGTTTGAAGCCCATATCGTGATATTGGCTTCATAATTTTTGACCCGGCAATATATTGTGAACCTTGGTTTGTGTGTGTGTATGATATGCAAAAACACAATGTTGGGAAAACCATGAAGCCAGCCAATGTTTCTCTCGATTCCTGCAGCCCCTGCTAATTCTGCCGACTCAGCTCTCCCCTGCCTCATACAGGGGCATCCAATCACAAGAGCAGGCACCGGCAAAAATCACGATGCAGGGAAAATCATGAAGCCAGCCAATGCCTCCGTCCTTATTCCAGACCTTTTGATGCTATCAGTTTATCACTGTTTAGCTGCTGATATATCATGATGTTGAAAACCAGCTATCACCCAGCCCAATTGTGATGCAGACCAGGAAGCCCCTGGTTTCAAATCTTGCCTCTGCCATGAACTCACTAGGTAGCCTTAAGCAAGCTGTTCCCTTTCTACTGCTCCCTCCCATGTAGTATGAGGGATAATGATGCCAACAGGACTGCTGGTTGGGTGATAACAAGATAATGCATGAGAAGCAGCTCTGAATCCTTGGAAGCTCATTTGAATGTTAAGTGTGCCTCAGTCTGGAAGCAGGGCCATCTTTACCTGGGGTGCAAGGGGTGCGGGACACTTGGGCGCCGAATTCTGTGGGGCACCAGACACCCTGAAGCCACCTAAGCTTTTAACTATCTAGGTAAAGGTAAAGGGACCCCTGACCATTAGGTCCAGTCGTGGCCGACTGGGGTTGTGGTGCTCATCTCGCTTTACTGGCCGAGGGAGCCGGTGTACAGCTTCCGGGTCATGTGGCCAGCATGACTAAGCCACTTCTGGCAAACCAGAGCAGCGCACGGAAACGCCGTTTACCTTCCCGCTGGAACGGTACCTATTTATCTACTTGCACTTTGACGTGCTTTCGAACTGCCAGGTTGGCAAGAGCTGGGACCGAGCAATGGGAGCTCAATCCGTCGCGAGGATTCGAACCGCCGACCTTCTGATCGGCAAGTCCTAGGCTCTGTGGTTTAACATGCAGCACCACCCACGTCCCTCTATGTACCTGTTATGAAATAATCATTTTGATCAAGCTAGAAAAACAAAATACATATATACCTAGGTATTTCCAAAATGTATACCTACTAAAGGACTTTCGACTTTGTGCGCTCATTTACCAAAGATGCGCCACGCTAGTGGTGGCGCTTGTCATTCACAACCGCAGCGCTTGACTCAACGATGGCGTTTGTCATTCTCAACGGCGCCGTGCACGCCAAATTAACTCTTACATCAAAATATTATGTTACGTATTGTATTGAGCTGCTATGCGGCAGCAGGGTCAGTGGCACCTTTGACACGACTGATGTTTCTCCTAAGTAGGTGCCTAAACAATACTTATAAGTTTAAGTGTAGTGGTGTTGTATACTTAAATATAAGTGTATTGTAAATAAATTGTAAACAAAAAAGTTTGTTTCTTTTTCCTCCCTTCTTTCGTAAACAAGAGATCAGGCGTAAGTGTGGTGTCTGACATAAGCATAATAAAAGTTAATTTGGGGGCTAAACTAAATTTGGGGGTGCTGGGCGGATCCTTGCATCCCGGCAGCACATATGCTAAAGACTATGGTGTCTGGAAGTGAAGGCTGTGTGGTCTTGTGTGGTATATTAAGATTGTTTACATGCTTTAATATTTCAGAGGACTTGTCTGATATTATGGAATTTAAAATTGGTAAATTAACATTTGCTCCAGAGCTCTGTTATTAAGACTCAGTGTGACTCTGCAGCTGCTAACTTTATTCTTAGCTACGCTTTCTCAGTTTGTAAAACAGTGTACCTGCTATGCTCTCAGATCTTTTGAAGGTCAATTAATGCCTGCTGGTATGGATCGAATGTGCTTTGCATCTAGGAAGAAGTAAACAGGAAGTGTTATCAGCATGTTGTATAAAGAGCAGTGGAATGTAGGTGGAATGTTTGTAGCAGAGACACAGACCCTCCAAGAGTCCCTATTTTCCAAGGACATCCCAAAGTTTACAGAAGTCGTTACGGTTTCTGAGTTGATCTTGGATGCTTTTCCTTAAAAGGTAAAGGCACCCCTGACCATTAGGTCCAGTCGTGGCCGACTCTGGGGTTGCAGCGCTCATCTCGCTTTACTGGCCAAGGGAGCCGGCGTACAGCTTCTGGATCATGTGGCCAGCATGACTAAGCCGCTTCTGGCAAACCAGAGCAGCGCACAGAAACGCGGTTTAGCTTCCCGCCGGAGCGGTACCTATTTATCTACTTGCACTTTTGATGTGCTTTCAAACTGCTAGGTTGGCAGGAGCAGGGACCGAGCAATGGGAGCTCACCCTGTCGTGGGGATTCGAACCACCGACCTTCTGATCAGCAAGTCCTAGGCTCTGTGGTTTAACCCACAGCGCCACCCGCGTCCCTATGCTTTTCCTTAGGACGTCCCTATTTTCATCGGATAAATGTTAGAGGGTATGGTAGGATGTCCCTATATTTATCAGAGAAATGTCAGACGGTATGGAGTTGTGCGACCCACCCAAGCCAAGGAGATAAGTAATTATACAACGTTTAGAAGACACCTGAAGGCAGCCCCGTATAGGGAAGTTTTAAAAATGTTTAATGTTTTATTATGTTTTTATATCTGTTGGAAGCCACCCAGAGTGACTGTGGCAACACCACAGTCAGATAGGCAGGGTATAAATGATAAAATTATTATTATTATTATGAAATAGGATGTCCCTATTTTCAACAGAGAAATGTTGGAGGGTATGGAGACAATGTAATCCTTTTAAAATACCGGAAAAGAATCACAGGAAAACTGCATGCCAATAGCATACTTTACTTTTAAAGATTCTAGACTCTGGTTGCATTTACACATAATACTAAGTCACAACATGTTGTCTAAGTCAGCTGTATTAGGCATTCACTTCCACTTTTCTCTGCTTTTCACATTAGCAGGTTAAACAGACTATGTCTGGTTTGTTCATCATAAGAGACCATGATAGTTAGCCAACCTTAAGCAATAGACCATGGCTTGATGTTGACTTGGCGATTGTGGTTTGCTAGGGTGAAACAAACCATGACCATGAGTTTGAATTTCATGATGAACAAGCCCTGCTGTTCTTTGCTTACCCATTCACATGACAAGAGGAGCAAGGTAGCTGTTTGGGGAATGTATGCATAGACATGGAACTAGTGAGAAGTATTTTATGGCTTAGTTTTGCATGCTGTAAAGGTAAAGGGACTCTGGGGTTGCGGCACTCATCTCGGTTTATTGGCCGAGGGAGCTGGTGTACAGCTTCCGGGTCATGTGGCCAGCATGACTAAGCCACTTCTTGTGAACCAGAGCAGCGCACGGAAACACCATTTACCTTTCTGCCAGATTTATCTACCTATTTATCTACTTGCACTTTGGCATGCTTTCGAACTGCTAGGTTGGCAGGAGCAGGGACCGAGCAATGGGAGCTCACCCCGTCACAGGGATTCGAACCGCCGACCTTCTGATCGGCAAGTCCTAGGCTCTGTGGTTTAACCCACAAGCCACCCGCGTCCCTTTGCATGCTGAGTTGCTAACTATTCTTGAGGATAAGTTTGATACTATTACACTGGCTGTAGCAAAATTCCTCTCAGAGGCAGTAAATATCAGAAATCAGTATGTACAGGCTAAAGCTCCTCTGTTGGCTACCAAAGCCGATCTTACGCCTTAGTAACTGTTGATATTTACTATTGTTGTACTGTGTATTTTGGGCCTACGGACCACAGTAAAGCTCTGTGTGTGAACTAAATACATTGTCAGTTAAAAACATCATTTATATAGCAAAACTACCCCCTTTATTTTTGCTGTCATGAAGTAGGCATGCTGTTGTTTTCTGCTTCTAAGAATTGATTACTCTTTGTGCATTGGTTAGACACACTAGAGAAATATGCTCTTTTTATTACAGGTTTATCTTTACACTTGGGAAAAGAAAGTACACATTTAATGGCTCGAAAACCTTATTATCCAAGTAACTGGAGAGGCTGGGTAAGTAGGATTTTTATTTAAGAAATTAAATGCCAAAAATTGAAGCTCAAAATTACTCTTATGTTGTGTGGAGGTTAGGTACTAAATACGCTGGGTAGATAAGCTTTTCATATGTAATCAAGTTTAAAGTCCATTTGGAAATAGTCTGGGCTATGACTATCTTGCATTATATATTGTACATATAAAAAGGTAAAGGTAAAGGACCCCTGACAGTTAAGTCCAGTTGCGAACAACTCTGGGGTTGAGGCGCTCATCTTGCTTTACAGGCCAAGGGAGCAGACGTTTGTTCGCAGTTTTTCTGTGTCATGTGGCCAGTATGACTAAATCGCTTCTGGCGAAACCAGAGCAGCGCACGGAAACACCGTTTACCTTCCCGCCAGAGCGGTACCTATTTATCTACTTGCACTTTTTGGCGTGCTTTCAAATATTTGCAGCCAGTTCTATCTCTGCCACAACCAAACGTCAGACAAAGCAAAAGAGAAAGAGAACTAGTTTGAGAGAGGAAAAGAACTGGTGTTGATAAAATGACTGATGCTGTGGCCAGACTTGAGAGTGCCCTATGCAACGAGCATCTGAGCTTCTCTCTCTTTTGTTCAGGCAAGGAAGTGGCTTGAAAGATTTCTGGTTTCTGTATTTTTGTCTGTTGCCTGTCTTGGACTGACCGGAAGCAGAGAAGTGGTGGGAGGCAGTATCTGGGGAACCCCAAGGGAAGAAGGCTCAGAGCCCAGGGGGTGGTGTTGGTGGGACATCAGTGAGTGGAGAAGAGGGAGCAGGCTGGGAGGAAGAGGTTGGAAGCTGAAGGGGTAACAGGGCTTAGTGAGCTGGAAGCACCTGTGGCAGAGAACAGTCCAGGAGCAGAGGCTGGAGAGGATGGGGCGAAGAGGCAGAAATGAGCCAGGCTACTGAAGAAATCACCTTCTCCCTGCCCTGGTCTCCCAGCACCCACTGCGGGTGGAGCAAAGAGACAAGGAGAAGAAAGAAGTCTCAGTTTGCTTGGGAAGGACCTAGGGGAGGAGAAGCTCACTTAGCGTGGTGTTCACCTAGCATTTACTCCTTTGAGTTCAGTGGGAAGGGGTCCGTAGTTAGGCAAACCATTAGGATCCAGGGGAAGGACATTTGCCTCTAAGCACTTCTATCTTCTTTTACTGGATTAAGAAGAGAACCTTTTAATGAGGGTGAAAGAGGAGAGCGCAAAATATGGTCTGAAGCTCAACATCAAAAAACTAAGATCATGGCCACTGGTCCCATCACCTCCTGCAAATAGAAGGGGAAGAAATGGAGGCAGTAAGAGATTTTACTTTCTTGGGCTCCATGATCACTGCAGATGGTGACAGCAGTCACGAAATCAAAAGACGCCTGCTTCTTGGGAGAAAAGCAATGACAAACCTAGACAACATCTTAAAAAGCAGAGACATCACCTTGCCAATATAGTTAAAGTTATGGTTTTCCTAGTAGTGATGTATGGAAGTGAGAGCTGGACCATAAAGAAGGCTGATCACCGAAGAATTGATGCTTTTGAATTATGGTGCTGGAGGAGACTCTTGAGAGTCCCATGGACTGCAAGAAGATCAAACCTATCCATTCTGAAGGAAATCAGCCCTGAGTGCTCCCTGGAAGGACAGATCCTGAAGCTGAGGCTCCAATACTTTGGCCACCTCATGAGAAGAGAAGACTCCTGGAAAAGACCCTGATGTTGGGAAAGATGGAGGGCACAAGGAGAAGGGGATGACAGAGGACGAGATGGTTGGACAGTGTTCTTGAAGCTACCAGCATGAGTTTGACCAAACTGCAGGAGGCAGTGGAAGACAGGAGTGCCTGGCGTGCTCTGGTCCGTGGGGTCACAAAGAGTCGGACACGACTAAACAACAACAACTTCTCTCTTCAGTCAATTGCTTGCTTGAGCCAACTGCTGGTGGAAAAGGGGAGTGTGATGTTTCCGTTGTTCTCACTCACAAAGGTTACCCAAATATATATGCCGTCCAGATAATTTTTTGGCAAACCAGAAATGGACTGCCTGCCAACTGGAGCTTAATTTGCCCAGCTGTGTATTAGGAGAGAACTTGAAACTGCTTTTCATGTGCTGGATTAGAGCTTACTAATATAAAATGCATATGGTTCTTGGCTTTGCTGTTAAGGTTAGTAAGGTTTTCTCTCCTGGGGGCATTTTGGAGAATTTAAGTACTTTGATCTTTAACCGGTAAACTAGCAAATATAGTTTACCATTTAGAATGGGGGGCAATTATGTCCAGCTTTGAAAATAAAGCAATGGGATGAATGAACTGTGAAGCTGATTTCGATTCATGATTCTTGTCTACTTCCAAAGTCTACTTTTGGAGGAAACTTGGCAGAAATTGGAGGTGCTGGATAGGGACCCAGTGAGACAGAAGGGACCAATATTAGGGCTCTTCAGTGTGTTTAGCCTGACTAAGCTTTGACTCAGGCAGGCACTCTGTGTGCGCTGGGCTTGCTTTTGGGATGAACTGGAGGAGGGCATTAGATTGGGATATATGTTGATGCTTAATGATTGGGTTCATTTCTTTGCAAAGAGAGCTTATTACAAATACAAATGCATCTTTAACCACTTCCCTTCCCCACCTGGCCCCCAGGAGACTTTGATAACACCCCACCCTGTGCCTTTCCATTCACTTCTGTCTGCCCGTGCCTTGGCCTTTGCAGAGTTTGAAAGAATGATCCTTGATGAAAATTGGTTGCTGAACAGGGCTCCTGTTGCGTTGACCATTGCAAAAACAGGGGGTATCCTTGTAAAATACATGTTTCTGTTTATATGCCCTCCACATATTACAGAACTACAACTCCCATCATCACTGGCCATTGACTATGAAAGCTAGGGCTGATGGGAGTTGTAGTTGAGCTACATATAGAGGCCAGAAGCCCCCAATGTCTGTGGAACCAATGTCATTACTGAACCTTGAGAAAACTTGGTAGGGAGGCCTTGTAGTTTGAGGAGCTAGGTGCCGCCTCTGTAAGTGATGTTGGGATGAGTGTTCGGACCTCTGGGTGCTCAGGGGTCCATCCTCCCATGCTTTTCAACATCTATATGAAGCCACTGGGAGAGATCATCAAGGGATTTGGGCTGGGTGTTCCCCAGGATGCAGATGAATTCGGAACTAGTGAGGGCAGTGAATGTCGTGTGTGGATGTCTAATGAAGGTTGGAGGATGGATAGTTGTCAATGGATTGAGGTTGAAACCCAACAAGATGGGGGGACGAGGGGCAGGTGTAGAGGACTCCCTGCTCCTGAATGGGGTAACTGTGCACCTAAAGAACCAGGTGCGCAGCCTTGGGGTCATTCTAGACTCACAGCTGTCCGTGGAGGTGCAGGTTAATTCTGCATCCAGGATGGCTGTCTACCAGCTCCATTTGGTACGCTGGCTGAGAGCCTACTTGCCTGTCTTGCCAGAGTGGTTCATGTTCTAGTTATCTTCTGCTTGGACTACTGCAATGCACTCGGAAACCACAACTAATCCAGAAAGTGGCTGATAGACTGGTGACTGGGATAGGCTTCTGGGACCATATAACACTGGTCCTGAAGGATCTATATTGGTTCCCAGTACGTTTCTGAGCACAATTCACAGTGTTGGTGCTGACCTTTAAAGCCCTAAACGGCCTCAGCCCAGTGTACCTGAAGGAGAGTCTCCACCCCAATCGTTCAGCCCATACACTGAGATCCAGCACTGAGGGCCTTCTGGTGGTTCCCTTATTGCGAGAAGTGAGGTTACAGGGAACCAGGCAGAGGGCCTTCTCGGTAGTGGCACCCGCAATGTGGAACACCCTCCCACCAGATGTTTAGGAGATAAACAGCTATATGACATTTAGAATACATCTGAAGGCAGCCCTCTATGAGAAAGTTTAAATGTTTTGATGTTTTATTGTGTTTTTATAATTTGTTGGAAGCCACCCAGAGTGGCTGGGGCAATTCAATCAGATGAGCAGGGTACCAATAGTAAAATCATCATCATCATCATTAATGGGAAATGCTGCTTTAAATTTTAGTTTTTCTCTTTCAAAGACTCAGTGTTGCACAAAAGAATTCTGAGCAATCTTTACCCTCCCTCTTTACAGTAGTGGAAAGCCCCGTCTTTCAGTGTTGCACAGATGTTTAGCTTTCCAACAGGGCAGTGTGTTAAAACGTTACAGGCGACTGCGTGTGTTTCACACTGTTATTAGGCTTCCTTGTGGGTTGAAATGCCATTTAATAAACAGCTGTTTTCTCTCATTGCCAGAGATGGAGCCCTAACTGAATCCTGCGAAGAGCTGCCAAAAAAGCCTTCGGAAGCAAGTGCGCATTCTGGATTGAGGAAACAGCCGAGGAAAGACTCCTGTTTTGCTTGGCGGATCTGTGCAGAATATTTGAGCCCCGCTTCCCCCCAACCTCTACCTCATTTTATGCATTTTGGTCAGTCATGGCTGGGGAACTGTGTTTACTGCTCCTGTTACTGTTTTGTGGAAGAACGATTTCCGAAGTGCAGCCTTTATACCAACCGCCTTCCGAAACTCTGGATTTTGGGTTTGTTCCTGCAAAGACTTATGACACCGCAGCGTACCACGAACCTGGAGCAATAGGGATTTTGTTTCGATTAGTCCATACTTTTCTCTATTTAGTGCAACCAAATTATTTTCCTCAAGGTAAGTCTTTAATATTGAACTGTCCTAAAGCATGTGTGCTGGTTGAGGCTTTAGTTTGGCGTGGCAGCTCTTATCACAGACTATGGTTTGTGAGCGTACCTTCAGAAAATAATAATAATAATAATAATTAATAATTAAAAAATTACTTTTTATTAAATTTGTATAGCGCCCTATACCCACAGCTCTGAATGCGCTGGAACTGCAGTTGTCTTTTAATAATAATAATGATATTAATAATAATAATAATAATAATAATAATAATAGATGAGGTGAAAAAACTTGCAAAGGGAATGTAGACAGCCCTATAAGTCAGCAATTTAGAATCAACATGTGATGGGCAGTCCATTAAATAGTACGAGTGCGGAAGTTTCTTTAGTCTGTTGCAGATTTTTTTTTCTTGTAGACTTCTAAATATGTAGATGAGAGCAGTGTGCTTTAAACTTCCTAAACTGGGGGAGCCAGTTGGAGTGGATGCATAGACCTTCTTGTCCATAGGTGTAAACCTTTTAAAATAAAAATATATTACACTAATGATAGATTTATGTATTGTGGAATTAGTTGGTCACCTGAAAGCCCTTTCTAGAGTACAAATTCTAACTTCTTTTGCCATACTTCAGATGTTACACTTGTCTGCACCATTATATTCTCCTACATGGGTTCTCAGTGACCTCTGCAGCAAGATTGCACTATAGAGCAGTAGTGTGAGAATCTTTTGGACTGCAATTAATAGATTCAGAAGATTGTCAGTGATGTCTCTTCCTCCAGCTGGTTAAGGGTCAGGCAAGTGAGAGAGGAGCAATTAGATCTCTCTTGATTTCTCTTAAAAGTAGTTGTAGGGGTCGTGGAATTTGAACAAGAGTGTGGTACTAAGGAAATGGTGTTGTACCCTTTTTATCCTTCAATGTTCTCCCCCTCCCCTGCCCTGTTTTTTGTTCTGCTGGGGGGAAATCATGCCCATACGTTTTCCATAAAGGAGCAGCTGGATTTGGATCTAGATTGTGAAACTGGGGAGAAAGGATCATCACCACACAGGCACATTCCTGATCCACTTTGAGAGGTCCATGTTGCTTCTTTTAAGAGATATCTTGGCATCTCGTCTAACTTGAACTTAGGTAGTATACAACAACAATAACCCAGAAGTTGTTTGAGGGATCAATATGGCTTATGTTCATCTTCTAACAATGGCAGACCTTCCCAAAGTTGTGTTGGCAGCCCTTTTAAGGTATTGTGCAATCCTCCTTCTGCCTGTCCCCTCGCCCAGATTCTGATCCATAGCACGAGAACCATCCCATTGGCTTAAAACATGGTTCTGTGCTTCTCTCAAGGTTCTTAATCTTTTGCTTTCTCCCTTCAAATTCGAAAGATAGGCCCTCTGGAAATTCCCACCTAAAAAAAATGTTCTTTCTCCTCAGAATATCTGTCAGGTCCCTATACTGGGATCTCAGGTTCAAAAAATGCCTAGGAACCTCTTTGAAGAGCACAACGGATTTATTGAGGACTTTGAGGCCTTTTTTATAATGATGCCCCAGAATGATATCTCTTGGTTCCCTGGTCTTAAAGACCACAATACAATCGTAGGTTATTTTAGTCTCTTTTTTTAGGACCAAATCTGTAAGCTTTCTCCACCCAGTCTTCCACTTCCTCTTTTTTTCAGATCCCAGAATTCCACAAAATATCCTATCAAAGATTCTCTGAGTTTATCCTGATCCAGATAAGGGAGCCCTCAGATAAGATTCTTTCGGACTCAATTGGAGAAACTGCAATCTCCTTCCACCCAATGCTGGTCAATGGGGCAAGGGACAGGGGCGTTGATTGAGTGGCTGTCTGCCACCGATGGAGTGACACTACATTTGGTGTCACTCGTTTGATGCAGACCTCAATGGATGGAGCTGAGCTGGATCCCAAGCCACTCTCTTAGCCAGCCCTGGCTGACAAAGGACCAGGGACCAGCCTGAAGCTGGTGTTGGGAACTATGCTGATGTGCCTGCCCCTCCTGACCTCCCATAGCTGCTGCCAGGTTGTAGATGCTGCAATAACTCCACTGCTCTTCACAGTCTTGGTGGTGGCAGCAGCAGGTTAGCATTGCTTTGCGCATTCTTGTGAAAGTGCTTGGCACAGAGCGTTCTCAAATTATAGAGCAGGCCCTAGGGATGTTGATATGTTGATAGTGGCACAGGCTGCCAAGGACAGATAGGATCTCACAGCAGGGCAGTGCTAGAGACCACTTACTTCCTACAGCATCTGGTTTTCCCAGGCTGTCTCCCATCCAAGTACTAACCAGGCCTGACCCTGCTTAGCTTCCGAGATCAGACGAGATTGGGCGTGTTCAGGGTAGTATGGGTGGCCAACTAGCTAGGCGAATCGTGGGAGCTGAAGAGAGGCAGAGAGCCTATGGAAGGACTGGTCAACCTCATTCCTTGGCTGGCAGACTTTAGGAGGGAATCTGGGGTGCCCTGCTCCCCTTCCTATGGGATTAGTGCTCCAAGCCAGGATCCTAGACTGCGCGGAGCATTTTGCCTGCAAAAGAAATGACTACCAGGAAGTTGAGTTGATGGGTTCATAGGGTAGCATGTCTTTTTAGAAAGGGGAGGGGGAATTGAAAACATTTGAGCAGGAAGTACAGCAGGAAGTTGGGGTGAACAACCTGCGTCCCTCTATATGAACTTGGACTCCAGAGTCCCATTAGTTTCAACCAGCATAGCTGGGGATTACAAGAATTGCAGTCTAGCAACATCTGCCAAAGGGAGTGGTTCACCAACCCTAGCATAAAAGAGAGTCTGCCATTCTTGCCATTCCATTTGCTGCTTTAATGTGTTTTCCTTTGGGTTTAATTCTCCTTGGTTGATTCAGCTAATATTTAAGATTTCTCCTTGAAAGATTGCCCTTGCATGCTAATTACTTGAGCAAGCTTTTAATTCATTTGCATCTCTTTGAAGACTTCTATATAACGAGCCATGCAAATATTGCACAGAGGGTTCCCATTCATTTTTGCTGGTCTCGATCCAGGGCGTTTAGCTCTGCAGCATGTTGTGCAGAATGTTAGCAGGTGAGACTTTTCTTAGGAGGGATATCTTGGGTGAGGAAAGCTTCTGCCAAAGTGCCAAGCTAGGGTTAAGGACGTCGGCAGGGTTAGTTAAGACCTGGCCATCTTTACTGCAGAAAGCAAATAATGGCAATTAGTTGTTTGAGCTAGCATCAGCAGCAAACACAATACCTTGCTGCATCCATCTCCCTCCATCTTAGCAGTCATGTTGGAAGTAGTGGACAAATGTTTGCATTGTAGGTGGTTTCCGCAGCCCTTCCACTTTAACAAACTTCAGATGTTACAGGAATACAACTGGCCACCTGCTCTGACCATCGGCTGAGGGCAATTGGTCTGCAACAATATCTGGAATGCACCATGTTAGCTATCTCTAGTGCAGACACAGTACTGAGCTGGCAGGACAAATGATCTGACAGCTGGCATATTTGATCAGATTTTGTGCATGGTGGCATTCTCAATGTGCCCTTAAATCACAGGAGGCCTTAACTGGCCGTACAAAACACTTGTGACGCATCCTTTCTGTTTTAAAGTGCTTCCTTGAATTATTTGGTTGCTTTTCAATAAATCCTATAAGATTGACTTTAATGCATTCAAAGTGCATGCCTGGATCACCTGCAAATGTTTTAAATACAAATGAGAGGATTTGAAGATATGAGCACTCAAGTTTATTATGCTTTCAGTGTGACTTGAAGCTGACTTTGTAAATTGTTAACTGAGTGCTTTAGTTGCGGTGCATGCAGATCTCATGATTCATGGTTCTCAACCTTTTAAACATATTAAGAAGTTTATGGTAAAAGGGTTAAAATGGAAAGCCTTCAGCTGTGATTTTAAGACCACAAGTAGAAGCATTTATTTGGCAAGGGAGGGGTACATACAAGTGATGATGAGGTGTGCTTTCTGTCTGCTTCTGTTTAGCTATGCATAACTTTGTAAGAGAATTGAAGTACAAGCAACAGAATACATGGAGTTCTGTGTCTTTATTTTCATTTATCTAAGGAGTTTGTGTAAAAGTTTTGCAGCGGTTATTTTTTTAAAAACCAAGCAATTCAAGAAGGATGCCTGCCTGAGTTGAGGGCAGCTGTGGAGAAGCTGCTTAACTCTTTCCTCACTGGTCATTTTCCAGTTCAAAAGCTCCCCTTTCATTTCAGGGTGGGGGAAGATGGCTTTCTTGTATCCTTTCTGCAGTGGGTGGAAAGCAAATGCGTAATCTTTTTAAAATAGATTTTTGGATATCATGACATTTGCAGGATGAATCCAAGAGTGAGCTCTAACAGCAAGTTGCTAAGTAAGAATTTGACAGACTTACTTAGGTTTGAGGTTCCAATAACTGAAAGGAGTAAATCTAAAAATATATCACGTTTACATCATTCCTTATAGCAAATTTGGTGTGTGAGTCCTGACAGGACAGAAAACCTGAGTGGGTTGATTACATTGGCTTTCTTGAGACTTTCATAGTTAACTGTATTCTGGAGAAGGACCTAGCTGGTTAAAACTCTGAACAGGAACTCTCTTGTTTGTGGGTGAGATATGCTGAAATTCAGGCATAGGCAAACTTGGCCCTCCAGATGTTTTGAGACTACAACTCCCATGATCCCTCGCTAACAGGACCAGTGGTCAGGGTTGATGGGAGTTGTAGTCCCAAAACATCTGGAGGGCCGAGTTTGCCTATGCCTGCTGTAAGTCTTCAGGTTTCATCATCTGAGCCGTGGACCCGCTATATATCTTGTAGTGGGATCATGAAGTGGGTGATATTCTTAACAAGGTAGCATGGAATTATGCATGGTTGTTCCCAACCGCAATCTCTTCATCTTTAAATTCCTGGCTATGTAGTATTTAGCGCCAGATGAGCTTTGTAAGGCGTTCTGTGTTGGAAGAGATGTGATCATGTTGGCACGTGATGGCCATGCAAGGTTTGGGGAAGGTAGTAAGTAGATGGTATTAACAATATCATTGGTTAAGGGTAAAGGTAAAGGTACCCCTGCCCGTACGGGCCAGGCTTGCCAGACTCTAGGGTTATGCGCTCATCTCACTCTATAGGCCGGGAGCCAGCGCTGTCCGCAGACACTTCCGGGTCACGTGGCCAGCGTGACGAAGCTGCTCTGGCGAACCGGCACCAGCGCAGCACACGGAACGCCGTTTACCTTCCCGCTGGTAAGCGGTCCCTATTTATCTACTTGCACCCGCAGGTGCTTTCGAACTGGTAGGTTGACAGGCGCTGGGACCGAACGACAGGGATTCGAACCGCTGACCATGCGATCGGCAAGTCCTAGGCGCTGAGGTTTTACCCACAGCGCCACTCGCGCCCCTCTCAATACTATTAAACTATTTTGAACCATGGACAATCATTGTATTAAAAAGTCCAGTTATTAATAGCTGTCAGATACAAGTTGCAAAAGCATTGCAATGTGGAAATGATTCAGGGCTGGTAGGAGCAAATATGGGAAGTCATTATGGAGAAAATTTCCTCCAGTTAAAGGGAATCGCATTGCATGGTGCAAAGTATTATTTCATTTTTAAGGAGTGGGTCCTTACCTTGATCTTCATAGACTCTTCAAAATCCTTATGTAAGTGACTGGCAAACCTTTGGCTCATTTCAGGATATCAGTGGATAATGTTTCTTCTCCAAAGATCAAGATCTCTCCTAATTATTGTAGCAATTTTGAAAGCAAAGTTTTAATTTTGAGTTACCTTTTTTATGTGTGTGTGTATTTCTTCGTTTTTCGCCTCACTTTATTGAGAAACGTGTAAAAAATTGCAGAATTTAAAAGGTTTCAAAACATACAGTGCTACCTCGGGTTACATATGCTTCAGGTTACATACGCTTCAGGTTACAGACTGTGCTAACCCAGAAATAGTATCTTGGGTTAAGAACTTTGCTTCAGGATGAGAACAGAAATCGCGTGGCGGCAGCAGGAGGCCCCATTAGCTAAAGTGGTGCTTCAGGTTAAGAACAGTTTCAGGTTAAGAACGGACCTCCGGAACGAATTAAGTACGTAACCAGAGGTACCACTGTATTACTGTTTCGGACTCGGATAACAGTTATGCAACTTAGAGCAGAATTATAACAGCAAGCGGCTGAACAGTTGAAAGCTGGGGCTGATTGCCTTTGTGCCAGGCTCGCTCTTTCAAAGGCCTTGAGCAGTGAAGAGATATTCACCTGGTGCTGAAAAGACACAAACTGGGATCAGGTGAGCATCGTGCAGAGAGTATTACAAAGGCCATGTATATGGGGAGCAGGTGATAGTGCAGAGTACAGGCAGGTTCATGTGAGAGAAGGCAACCCCTCAGATGCCCAGCTCTCAAGCTGCAATAGAGGATTTATTTTGTAAAAGCAAGCACCTGCCCTCTGAGTTTTTCTCAGAGATGGATGAGCCACCAATGAAGTTGTTTTAAGAACCAGCACAATCTGTTCCCACCACCAGTTTTCAGCCAGCAGCCCAGTAGCTACGTTTTGGAAGAGTTTAAGCTGCCTGTGCCCTTCTGCTTCCCAGTCGTACCTCGGAAGTCGAACAGAATCCGTTCCAGGAGTCCGTTTGACTTCCGAAATGTATGACTTCCAAAGGGCGGCTCCTGATTGGCTGCAGGAAGCTCCTGCAGCCAATTGGAGGCCGCGGAAGCTTCCAGAAGAACATTCAAAAAAAAGAACACTCACTTTCAGTTTTTGAATGTTTGGGAGCTGAGGTACAACTATAGTCCATCTAGGCTGCTTTATATTAAAAAAGAATCACCATTTCTGATGACAGAATTAGCAAACCCCATGGAACATATAGTTTTAGCCTCAGGCTTGCATTCTGAATAAAACATTAGAGACAAGGCTCTAGAATTTTTATTCAAAATGAAGTTGGAAATGGAGGCAATGAAGAACACATATTACAACGAAGCAAGATCTCTAAAACCCAATGATTCCGAGGCTTAGTGTATCATGGATATGCTAATTGCTGGTGGGAAAACTAGAGTAAAATGGCGCAAGGAGAAGCTTGCTGTTTATTGAAAGATTGGCATATGTAAATTTTCATATGCCGGAGGCAGTGTTAGTAACTAAGATATATAATCTAGGTGCCAAATGGCTCCTTAAACCAGGCCTACAGTCGCCAAAGGGACATCCTAAGGTGGCGCTGTGGGTTAAACCACAGAGCCTAGGACTTGCTGATCAGAAGGTCGGCAGTTCGAATCCCCACGACGGGGTGAGCTCCCGTTGCTCGGTCCCTGCTCCTGCCAACCTAGCAGTTCAAAAGCACGTCAAAGTGCAAGTAGATAAATAGGTACCGCTCCGGCGGGAAGGTAAACAGCGTTTCCGTGCGCTGCTCTGGTTCTCCAGAAGCGGCTTAGTCATGCTGGCCACATGACCCGGAAGCTGTACGCCGGCTCCCTCGGCCAATAAAGCGAGATGAGCGCCACAACCCCAGAGTCGGCCACGACTGGACCTAATGGTCAGGGGTCCCTTTACCTTTACAGTCGCCAAAACAGAATGCCTAGTTGCTATTTTTTGTTCCAGAAATTCATTTTGATTGTGCAGATAAAATATAACCGATAGAATTCTACAGGATGTGTTGCTAGTGTGTGAAAACAGTCAAGATCCAAGGATCTCCAGGCAAAGCACCACCAGGTGACGGGGACAACAAGCGCATCTTCACTTGGTTGCAAGTGATCAATAGCCAGGTGCAAAATGCGCCTGGCGAATTTCAAATGTTGGCAGGGGACACTCTGTACTTCAGAAATTGATCTGAAACTTGAAGGGCTTAAACGTTTGGTGGGGGGAGGGGGAGGAGAAATGGAAACTATAATGTGTGTGTGTGTGTGTGTGTGTGTGTGTGTGTGTGTAAAAGGTTCCTTGCTTGCTGCACTTTCTGAGTAATCATGAATAAGTTAACTTGCCATTGTGACTCCTTGATATGCTAACATCTGCAGCCCAGGGTTCCTTCAGGAGGAAGAGTGGGATATATATTTTTATATAGAATAAATAAATAAAAATTGCTACCAGGCCCTGCAGTTCCTTCCAGTCTATGAGTAATCCAATTAATAATTTTGATAGCAATGAATAGGATGAGAGCCCAATAAATATTGATTTTGGACTGAAGCTTGAAAGTGCGATCTTAGTGGATATTGAGCTGGCTGCTCATTCAATAAATTATGTGCTTAATGGCGCTTGGGGAGTAGCAGGAAAGAGAAGTGAATGAGACTTGGAGCTAATAACTGCTTTGATGAAAACTTTTCTTGGCATGTTTTAACATATTTCGCTCTTTTAGAGGGAACTACTGGAGTTCTCAGTGGCCTCTGCCTTCCCTTCCCTTCCAACCCCAACCCGGATCATGTGGATTTGAGCAACGTCACTTAATTGGCTAATCCATAATCTCTCTTGCCATATGTTGCTCTGTTTTTCTTTCTAAGTGTGTTAGTGACACAGAGGTATTTTTGGACTGCTTTCTAAATGAAGTCTGATGTCCAATTGGGTTTGAGCGAAATAATGGAGGTCTATTATACACCACTCTGGAAATTAAGGCGACTCAACCCTGCAAGAGGTTTGCTGCTGTGTCTGTGGGCAAACCATGTCGGAGCAAGCAGGTTTCCACGGTGGCAGTGTGAAATGAGAGCAATCTGGGATTCTGCATGCATTATTTGGTTGTTAGGTGTGCCCTTCAGGCTTCTGTGCCAAACTTAGGCAGCATTCTTAACCATGTCTAGGTAAAGGGACCCCTGACCATTAGGTCCAGTCGTGGCCAACTCTGGGGTTGCGGCTCTCATCTCTCTTTATTGGCCGAGGAAGCCGGTATACAGCTTCCGGGTCATGTGGCCAGCATGACTCAGCCGCTTCTGGCAAACCAGAGCAGCGCACGGAAACGCTGTTTACCTTCCCGCCGGAGCGGTACCTATTTATCTACTTGCACTTTGACGTGCTTTCGAACTGCTGGGTTGGCAGGAGCAGGGACCGAGCAACGGAAGCTTACCCCGTCGCGTGGATTCAAACTGCCGACCTTCTGATCAGCAAGTCCTAGGCTCTGTGGTAAATCCCACTGAATTACATGGGGCTTAATCCCAGGTAGATTAGGAGATCATCATTCGTTTATCAATGTGCTGCTTTTCTAGTAATCAGCAAAAGCAGTTTCCAATATTAGACAGCATGGTGAACAAAAATAAAACACTAAGAAGAAATCAGCAATGGCAGTGGTGCAGCAATAAAACTGCCAGCACATTTGCAAAGCTAAGCAGGGTCTGGTATGATTTCAAATTGGATGGGGAACCAGATGTTGAGATTCCTGCATTGGACTAGATGACCCCCAAGGTCTCTTCAAACTCTACAGTTCTATGAATCTAATTATCATCAGAAGTACAGCTAGAGATGGAAATGTTTGTTGGTTGAAGTTCTTTCAGTTCCTCATGTTTCCAATTTTCAGTTCTCTATATTTTGAAGCAGTTTGTGGTTTTTTAAAAAATCTTCATGAAAGTTGATCAGCATTTTAGTGCATTTTAGGTCTGTGTATGGATGAAGACTATGGAAAGCGGGTAGACCATGGGATGCGGGTGGCACTGTGGGTTAAACCACAGAGCCTAGGACTTGCCGATCAGAAGGTCGGCGGTTCGAATCCCCACAACAGGGTGAGCTCCCGTTGCTCGGTCCCTTCTCCTGCCAACCTAGCAGTTCGAAAGCACGTCAAAGTGCAAGTAGATAAATAGGTACCGCTCCAGCAGGAAGGTAAACGGCGTTTCTGTGCACTGCTCTGGTTCGCCAGAAGCAGCTTAGTCATGCTGGCCACATGACCCGGAAGCTGTACGCCGGCTCCCTTGGACAATAAAGCGAGATGAGCGCCACAACCCCAGAGTCAGCCACGACTGGACCTAATGGTCAGGGGTCCCTTTACCTTTATGGATGAAGACATGTAGCATTCTTATAAGCTACCTTGAGATAGGTTCATTTTAAGAGTTCTTCCTGATGCTTCTCAGAGTGACAGGTGCCATTGGCCCAAGGTGTTCTGGATCACGGCAGTGATGGAACAAATGTATTTGCCTGCGGGTGACCATTTCAGTAGCCTTCCGGTCTCCTGATTGCAGTCTCATATGCCATGATATAGAGTTGGTACATAAGTCAATTGACCACCTAATAATTATGATTTGACCATTGCCAAATAATTATTATTTATTTGTTTGTTTGTTTGTTTGTTCCCCGCCCATCTGGCTGGGTGGCTTCCAACCGAATATTAAAAACAATACAGCATCAAACATTAAAAACTTCCCTAAAGCCTTCAGTTGTCTTTTAAAAGTAAAATAGTTGCTTATTGCCTTGACATCTGCTGGGAGGATGTTCCACAGGGCTGGGGCCACTACCAAGAAGGCCCTCTGCCTGGTTCCCTGTAACCTCACTTTTTTCAGTGAAGAAACCACCAGAAGGCCCTCGGCGCTGGACCTCAGTGTCCGGGCTGGACGATGGGGATGGAGACGCTCCTTCAGTATTCCAAGAATGCGAAATTTCCTTTTATAAAATGTCATTAGCTCTCCAGGGCTGCTTTGTATGGCCCTGGGGCAGGGTCAAGTCTAGCTCAGTCAGTAAAGCATAAGACTCTTAATCTCTGGGTTGTGGGTTCGAATCCCACATTGGGCAAAAGATACTTGCATTGCAGTGGGTTAGACTTGGTGGAGCACTATGCCTCTCGATGGGGACATCTGCATCAGGCATGTGAAGAAATTTCCAAAGTGTGCATTGCAACTCTGCAGGGATTTCTTTGAAATGAGCAACTAGTACCGCTGGCATGAGATGAATTGGAAATTGTCCGTAGGAACCTGGGAAGAAAAGTGTGGCAGAGGGCACAGAAAGGAGAAACTTAATGTTTCTAGGTTTGTGGGGTGGGGCTTGCTGTGGATCTTTTGTGGTTGGAAAAGATTTGTGGTTTCATAAGCTTGAGAAACACTATCCAAACACAGCGACGGAGCAAGGGGAGGGCGGTCCGCCCCGGGTGTCATCCCTGAGGGGGGGTGACATTCAGCGCGCCGAGCGCCCATAACTCCCGAGCCGTCAGGGGAAGGGGGGAGCTGCACTGCTTTGCCAGCGGCGTCCCCCCCCCTTCCCCCTTCATTTTGACACCTGGGGGAGGCTGGGGAATTGCAGGCGGGCTGGCGGCACACCAAATGTCTGCTATTGGCGGCTTGCTCCACTCCCGTGGGTGGCTTGCTCTGCCCCCAGCTGCAAGGCACGCACACTGCTCCATGCACCCGAGTGGCTATCCTGCGCCTGGGAGGGCACCCTCTGCTCCCCTCGGGAGTGCGCTCGCCCTGGGCAGCGCGGGCGTACGCTCTGCCGCTGTCCAAACACTTTTAAGAGAATAGCATTTCAGGAAGTGTGATTTAATCTTCATCAGAGTTGTTGTCATTGGTAAAAGCAGGAGAAGACCTAGAGCCAGTGCTTTTTTTCAAAAAAAAGGTTTAGCGGTACTCTCACTTCCGTCTGAGATTCAGAAAACACCGGGAAAGGAAATTAAGCCACCATCGGGGGTATCAACGGAACTGACCTTGCTAGAAATGAAACTTAAAAAAAAAAAATTAGTTTCTTCTCCCATTAGATTCACAAAATGTTTAGGGGCATGCGTACCCCTGGGTCCCCCCAGAAAAAAAGTGCTGCTGTTATGTACTGAGTTGAATAGGATCCAAAATGCAGCAGTCTGATTGGTCCTGGAGCAATGCAGCAGTATGATTGGTCCACAGGAGCCACCCAGTCCAGCTCCAGATGGAAGTGAATCCACAACCCGATTGGCCTACAGGTTCCCATTGTGTAAATAATGTATATAAAGCAGATATTGTGGGGGAACTTCCATTCCTCCTCACCACTATGAGCTGAATAAAGAGCATGAAATCCACTCTCGACTCTGAGTATATTTCACCTGCCTAGACCTAAATCTAAACCAACATCATTAACTAGTAAAAAATAATAATGCCTGAAGGGAATTATTTTGGAACGGGGAATATTTAAAAGGATACAAGACTGACACTGCTACCATTTCAGAAAAGCTCTTTAATAATGGCTTCCATTTACACTTATATCATTCCACCTCTTCCAGCACCGAAGTGCCAACGGAGGTAGAAGCAGAATCTCTGTGCTAAGTAAATGTTCTTTTTAGTATCCCATTGCCTCCTGAGATATCAGAGCAGTCGAGCCACACTGGAAGTGTGCCATGCTGAAAATGGACCAGCCATTTAGTGCCACATGAGTTGTATTCAGGAAGAGCCGTCCTATCTGTAACTCCAGATGATACAAAAATCATAGTTCTTGAATTTACATTCTCAAGATGAAGGATCGCAAAGCGTGGGATATCAGAGCAAAGCTGTCGCCTAAGAGTTGCTGAAATGAATGCTTGCCTTTATACTGGCAAGTTGGCTGCAAGAGTGAGAACAGGCAATCTCTGGTTCAAACCACACCATAGTGGGCCATGAACTCTCTGGAGGCTAATTCATGAGCCGTGTGTATGAACCGAAATGTTCCCCCCGTCATTGAAAGTGCTTTAACCGCCCTCCCCCACCCCCCATTTTCTGAAATACGTCAGGTAAGCTCAGAAACCTTTGCTTGTTATTTGCTTCCTGTAACTTTATGCTTTGGCTGTTCTTTGGAACAATCGGGAGATATTGTATCTCTGTTAACTCACACACCCCTTGGCCAAAGATCTGAGCACAGCTGGAGAGAGTATAGTGCTGGGGTGGAAGGAAAGGAGGAAAAAAGAGGCTGCAGTTGTTTGCTGGTCCCACTGTGAGGTAGGAAAGGCAATTGTGTCCCGGGCAGCTGTCTCCCAGCTCCATCTGGTACGCAGGCTGAGACCCTACCTGCCTGTGGACTGTCTCGCCAGAGTGGTGAATGCTCTAGTTATCTCCTGCTTGGACTACTGCAATGCACTGTACATGGGGCTACCTTTGAAGGTGACCCAGAAACTACAACTAATCCAGAATGTGGCGGCTAGACTGGTGACTGGGAGTGGCCACCAAGACTACATAACACCGGTCTTGAAAGACCTACACTGGCTCCCAGTATGTTTCCGAGCACAATTTAAAGTGTTGGTGCTGACCTTTAAAGCCCTAAACGGCCTCGGTCCTGTATACCTGAAGGAGTGTCTTCTCCACCCCCATCGTTCTGCCCGGACACGGAGGTCCAGCTCCGAGGGCCTTCTGGTGGTTCCCTCCCTCCGAGAAGTGAGTTTACAGGGAACCAGGCAGAGGGCCTTCTCAGTAGTGGTGCCCGTCCTGTGGAACACCCTCCCATCAGATGTCAAGGAAATAAGCAACTTCCTGACTTTTAGAAGACATCTGAAGGCAGCCCTGTTTAGGGAAGTTTTTAATGTTTGATCTTTTACTGTGTTTTTAACATACAATTGGAAGCCGCCCAGAGTGGCTGGGGAAACCCAGCCAGGTGGGCGGGGTATAAATAATAAATAATAAATAATAAATTATTATTATTATTAAGGGCCCAGGTGCAATAGACAGGGAGTGAGTTAAGGAGCTCTTGAGGAATATTGCAGCACATATAGATCAGCAATGGGGAAGAGGAGGTGGGGGAAGTGGTAGGTGGCAAAGCAGGCAATTTGAAGCCGCCATTTGAAAATCACATTTTGCACCTGGCTATTAGTCTCCTGCTACCAGGTGAAGATGCCCAGGTGCCAGGATGGCGTCTGACCTCTCCACCATCTGGAGGTGCCTGCCTGGGGATCCTTGGATCTTGATTGTTTTCACACACTAGCAACACATCCTGTAGTGTTATATCCCTTATATTTTATCTGCAGAATCAGAATGAATTTCAGGAACCAAGAAGTATTGAAAAATAAGACTTTTGAGCCATCTGGCTCAGAAGTGGCAACTAGGCATTCTGTTTGGGGGACTCTAACCCTGGTTTAAGGAGTCATTTAAGGAGTTTCTATACCTGAGATACCCTGGTTGTATACCTTGGTTTCAAGGAAACTGGTTTAAGGAGTTTATATACCTGAGATTCTAACACTGTGTGAAGCTGAAGTGACCTGCTTTCCTGGCAAGGGAATTTGTTTAGGAATGCGGGGCAAACTTAGAGCGGGATTTGGGTGGAAAGAATGCCTGGAAACCATCTTACAGGGTCAACATGGTGGTGTGTGTGTGTGTGTTTGTGTGGAATATATGAGTACTATAGCCCAGCTCCCAGCATTTGAGGAATTCCCATTGCAGACTCTCTTCCTGTTAGGGAGAACAACCATGACCCAGGCAAACTGTGCAGTGATGGTTGGAGCTGTTCATTTCTTCCACAAAAAGCAAAAGCCCATGGGGGATTGGGGAGGTTTCTGTTGGTTTCTATTTCCCTCACTGAGCAGCAACTGCAGTCACAAGACATTGTTTTGCATTCCACAGTCAGAGTTACTGTTGGATTCCCACGGGAATGGGAGACTGGAAGTGACGTACACTGGTTTCCTGTTTTTCACTGTTCTCTCGGTTTCTTTGTTAGAGAGACAGTTGCTTCTCTGCTCTCACAGAGGCAAGATGCATGTTTGTATTCTCTCAGCATAGAGTGGAAATAAAGTTAAGAATGTGGCACATACTGCTTATCCTTCTACTGTGTGGACTACTCTGCTTGGGCTCAAGATAAGACGAGCCTGTATCAGCTTCAGATGGGCCGAAGCTGGTCAAAATCTCACAGTTTCCTTCCACAGAAGTGCTTGCTTCTTCTGATGAAACAGTGGGGGTGGGCAGCTTGTGGGGACTGCTGGTTGTGTGTGGGAACAACTGCATGTGCAGTCTCTTGTCACTCTCACTACCCAGCTCTCTCTGTTTGTCTTTGTCAGGGGGCAGCAAACTTTTTCAGCAGGGGGCCGGTCCACTGTCCCTCAGACCTTGTGGGGGGCCGGACTATATTTTGCAATAATAATAATAATAATAAGAAGAAGAAGAAGAAGTGAATTCCTATGCCCCACAAATAACCCAGAGATGCATTTTAAATAAAGCACACATTCTACTTGTGTAAAAACACGCTGATTCTTGGACCGTCTGCAGGCCTGAATTAGAAGGCGATTGGGCCGGATCCGGCCCCTGGGCCTTAGTTTGCCTACCCATGGTCTTTGTGGTTGACACACCTGCTGATGGTTTGCAGCCCCCAGAAGGGTTGCAATTGGGCAGTGCAACCCTTAAGCTGAAAAAGGATAATAAACCCTTAGGCTCTATGCAGCCAAAGGAAAACTACTGTTCTATGAGTTCTTGTGCGTCTGCAGGCTGTTGACCTATACATGCTAATGGTAAAGGTAAAGATAAAGGTAAAGGGACCCCTGACCATTAGGTCCAGTCGTGACTGACTCTGGGGTTGCGGCAGTCATCTCGCTTTATTGGCCAAGGGAGCCGGCGTACAACTTCAGGGTCATGTGGCCAGCATGACTAAGCCACTTCTGGAGAACCAGAGCAGCGCACAGAAACGCCGTTTACCTTCCCGCCGGAGCGGTACCTATTTATCTACTGGCACTGGCATGCTTTCAAACTGCTAGGTTGGCAGCAGCAGGGACTGAGCAACGGGAGCTCACCCCGTTGCGGGGATTTGAACCGCCAACCTTCTGATCGGCAAGCTCTAGGCTCTGTGGTTTAACCCACAGCGCCACCCGCGTCCCATAAGCCAGTATACCTCTGCTCTAATAATGTTGTGTCAGCTAGGAGCAGGGCCTCTACTGCTCTAGGCGCCACGTTAGGGAATGATTTCTCTATTGTGCAGAGATTTATTTAATTATGTATAGCCACCCAGGAATAAATATTCCCTGGGCTGTTTACAAAAAAAGATCCTTGTAACAGTAGACTGTAAAACAATTTTCAGCCTGGATTTAAAATGCAATACAGTGGTACCTTGGTTCTCAAACTTAATCCGTTCCGGAAGTCCGTCCCAAAACCAAAGCATTCCGATACCAAGGCGTGCTTTCCCATAGAAAGTAATGCGAAATGGATTAATCTGTTCCAGACTTTTAAAAACAACCCCTAAAACAGCAATTTAACATGAATTTTACTATCTAACGAGACCATTGATCCATAAAATGAAAGCAATAAACAGTGTACTGCAGTCATGCAATCAATCAATCAATCAGTAGCTGAACTGGGTTCCACGCAGTCACAAAAACAAAACAAAAAAGCCGCAAAAACAAAAACCCAAAATAAATAGCAAAAACAGACAGACTTCAGTGTAACACTCAAAACAGAAGTATGGCACTCAAAAGGGAGCACATTCAGCTTCCGAAAAAAGTTCACAAAGCAGCAGTGGAGGAGAGCAGGTGGGGGCAGGGCTAGCGCGCGTCCCGGGGGCGTGGCATGGTGCCCATAGGTGCGGGGCGCCCAGCGCGAGCGGGGGAGCAGCCGCAATGGCACCCCGCCAGGATTACGCTGCTGGGGGCAGTGCACTCCCCCCGCACACCTCTTTCTCCGCCAGTGCAAAGCAGAACACTTACTTCCAGGTTTGCAGTGTTTGGGTTCCAGGTTGTTTGAGTACCAAGGTGTTTGAGAACCGAGGTACCACTGTATAAAAGCATGGGTGAATGAAAAGGTATTCACCTGGCACTTCCAAAGACCACAGAGAAACACCAGGTGAGGCTTTATGTGTGGAACCTATTGTATTACCTGGGTACAGTACCAGAAAAGTCTTCTCTATGGTAAGGTTAAGATTTTTTTCAATGAATCCAGGGACACTTTTCAACTTCAATTGATTTTGTATGGGGACTGATTTGTAAATCCGGGAACTGTCCCCAGGAAACGGGGATGTCTGGTAACTTTACTCTATGGTGGTGAACCATAACACTTCACTTGGGGTGGGGAACAGAGAGCAGGCTCCCCAAAGAGGATCTTAAACTCTGGGTTCACATATATGGGATGGATCATTCAGGTAACCTGGTCTCTCGCTATTAATGTAGGTTAATACCTACATGAGTCCCATTTAAAGTGCCTGGTTTTAACCATGAAGCAAAAAAATTAACCCACTTTTTGAAAAGGCTGCAAAACATCTAATCGCATTTGGCTGTGTTCTTGACATGTTCTTTACTGCTTTACCTATTCTGGTGATGTAGAGGTATGTTTTAAAATTATATATATGTTCTGTGCATGGTACTTTGGGCATGCTTCAGAAAGCAGAGTAGAAATGTGCTGGACTGAACCATCAGCTATCACTGCAAAGGTTTCTTGTTTCCTACATTGTACATATTAAATCCCCTTGACTGTCATGATGGTGAAACTACAGTGAATTTACAGTAATCCCATGAAACATTACCAATATTGTGTTTACTAGTCACTTAGATGCATATTTATAGCAAATGCTATCAGTGACATGCAAATTAGAAGCAATGTGGCACTGTGGTCTAAACCACTGAGCCTCTTGGGCTGGCTAGTCAGAAGGTTGGCGGTTCAAATCCCCGCGACAGGGTGAGCTCCTGTTGCTGTGTCCCAGCTCCTGCCTACCTAGCAGTTCGAAAGCACGCCAGTGCAAGTAGATAAATAGGTGGTGGGAAGGTAAATGGCGTTTCCGTGCCCGCTGGTTTCCATCATGGTGTTCCGTTGCACCAGAAGTGGTTTAGTCAAGACAGGGGTCAGCAAACTTTTTCAACCGTGGGCCAGTCCACTGTCCCTCAGACTTGTGGGGGACCGGACTATATTTTGGGGGAAAAATGAACAAATTTCTATGCCCCACAAATAACCCAGAAATGCATTTTAAATAAAAGGACACATTCTACTCATGTGAAAACATGCTGATTCCTAAACTGTACACGGGCCAGAATTAGAAAGCAAGAGGGCAGCATCCGGCCCCTGGGCCTCTGGTTGCCTACCCAAGTCAAGCAATGTATGCTGTTTGTGCAATTGCTGAGTGGGTGGAAAGTATGCATATGTGTTTTCTCCCTTGACTATTGCAGCTTACTATGAGTTGAAATGGGATGCGGGTGGCACTGTGGGTTAAACCACAGAGCCTAGGACTTGCCGATCAGAAGGTCGGCAGTTAGAATCCCCGCGACGGGGTGAGCTCCCGTTGCTCGGTCCCTGCTCCTGCCAACCTAGCAGTTTGAAAGCACGTCAAAGTGCAAGTAGATAAATAGGTACCACTCCGGCGGGAAGGTAAACGGCGTTTCCGTGCGCTGCTCTGGTTCGCCAGAAGTGGCTTAGTCATGCTGGCCACATGACCCGGAAGCTGTACGCTGGCTCCCTCGGCCAGTAAAGTGAGATGAGCGCCGCAACCCCAGAGTTGGCCACGACTGGACCTAATGGTCAGGGGTCCCTTTACCCCTATGAGTTGAAATAGTTATTTAAGAAGTGAGGCAAACTTCATCTGATTCTTAGCTTGCTTGGAATGTCTTAGTGGTTTCTGCTTTGTCACTATGGAAACCAGGTGCTCTTCCAAATAAGATGATGCTCATCTGGGATATATTTTTTTTACAGTTGGATTTGCGCAGCAAGTCCTCAGCTCTACTTCATTTCCTGTAGCTGAAGTGTGAAGCATTGTTAAGGGGAGCGTGTGACAGGATGAATGCTTTGTTCCATATATTTTTCTCTCTGTTTAATATGTTCCCCCATAATAGAATTAAACCTTCTAGGTCAAACACCTGCAGGATCTTGAAGTCAACATTCAAAGGAGAATTTGCCTGTGTGATTCAACATTAGTTGAACCTTTGCGTGCCCAGGCAGAGAATCCCCCAGCCCCAAGAGACCGCCAGAAAGAATAATAATTTGTGATGTGTTATGGGATTAAAAATTGGCCACAACTTCATCAAACCTTTCAGATGTAGGAAGACCTTGGCTTAGGCATTGGGTGTGTATCCCTCCCAGTCCCCAGCCAGGGAACTGGGGCTCCTCAAGGTGTATGGGATATGGGAGGGTGCACTGCAAGATGCTTGTGTATGCAGGCAGCCTACCCCATATCCCTGCAACACAGGAGAGTTCATTGACAACCTTTCAGTGTATGGCCAGTGACTCCCTATTTGCAAACCCCTTTAAAAGGGGATCCTGGAATCACCGCTGTGGGTTGTGTGTGTGTGTGTGTGAGTCACCACTTCACCGTGCCCCCCCCCCCCAATTTAGAGAAGATAGACTCTTTACCTTCTTTCAAACTAAATGACAAAATAAATAAAAATTATTCGAGTCAACTAAGGATGACGATTCTAATGGAGTGTTTGTTATAGTCAGTGTAGTTTACACTGGTGGCTGGTGGCGCTGTGGTCTAAACCACTGAGCCTAGGGCTTGCCGATCAGAAGGTCGGCGGTTCAAATCCCCGCAACGGGGTGAGCTCCCATTGCTTGGTCCCTGCTCCTGCCCACCTATCAGTTTGAAAGCACATCAAAGTGCAAGTAGATAAATAGGTACCACTCTGGCGGGAAGGTAAACGGCGTTTCCGTGCGCTGCTCTCGTTCGCCAGAAGCGGCTTAGTCATGCTGGCCACATGACCCGGAAACTGTACACCGGCTCCCTCGGCCAATAAAGCGAGATGAGCGCCGCAACCCCAGAGTCGGCCATGACTGGACCTAATGGTCAGGGGTCCTTTATTAGGCATACTAAAGTTTTAAAATGTTGTAATAAGACATGCATTAGAAAATATCGTTAGCCTAAGACTTTGAAGACTTATTTAAATCAGGATTCAACTGCTATTGCCTTCAGCATCTTAACAAGGGACATTTTCCCTGGCTGTTCAACATTACTGACCTAAGGGAACACAGTCATCAAATTTACAGATGATGAATATCTTGAAAGGAATGACAAATACCGAGTATGGTGCAATTTTAGCATTAAGATTAAAATTCTGAAACAATACCCAACTCAGAAGATAAATCACAATGAAACTTGATCAGAACAAAAATACCATTTGGCATGCAGGAAAGAAGGGGCAAAAACACAAACCCCACATGCAAAGCAAGATAGTTTCAGGTACACTGGGGGCTGGGGGAGAGAACATATCTCCCCCAGGGGCTTTCTGTCTACACGGGTGAGATAGTAATCTCTTCACTTCATTGGAGGATACTAGGGGCCTGCCAGGAGTATTCTTAATGTCGGGGCATTGAATAGATGAGAGTTCTCTTGACCTCAGACTGGCTTAAATTGGATATAAACGACGGGCAAAATGCATGCATGCATCCAATCCATATTCATTAAAAGTACCGTATTTTTCGCTCTGTAAGACACACCTTTTCCCTCCTAAAAAGTAAAGGGAAATGTGTGGTGTGCGTCTTATGGAGCGAATGCAGGATACGCAGCTATCCCAGAAGCCAGAACAGCAAGAGGGATTGCTGCTTTTGCTGCGCAGAGATCCCTCTTGCTGTTCTGGCTTCTTCTTCTTTTTTTTTTTAAATAATATTTATTATTTTTCCAAAAACTTAAACACTAAAAAGAAGAAAAACAATACAATACAATACAACACATCAAATTAACAAAACAAAACAAAGACAATAAAATAAATCAAACAATTTCATTATCCCATCTTTCATTCACTTATTTCCACGACCTCCTCACACCTCCCTTTTTGTATTCCACTTCTGTTAATTATTTCAGCAATTCCTTTCCATCTTCCTCTGTTTTCTATCCTATAATTATCTTAACTCATTCTAACCTTATTTTTTCCATTAATGCTCTATTAACCTATCTGTACTTAATTCCTTATAATATTTCTACTAAAGCCATATAACTTCATTCCAACTTTTTTCTAGCATTCATTAATTTTACAATATTTCTGTAGATAGTCTTTAAACTTTTTCCAATCTTCTTCCACCGACTCTTCTCCCTGGTCTCGGATTCTGCCAGTCATTTCCGCCAGTTCCATGTAGTCCATCAGCTTCATCTGCCATTCTTCCCGGGTGGGCAAATCTTGTGTCTTCCAATATTTCGCGATGAGTATTCTTGCTGCTGTTGTTGCATACATAAAAAAAGTTCTATCCTTCTTTAACACCAATTGGCCGACCATGCCCAGGAGAAAGGCCTCTGCTTTCTTCAGGAAGGTATATTTAAATACCTTTTTCATTTCATTATAAATCATCTCCCAGAATGTCTTAATCCTTGGGCATGTCCACCAAAGGTGAAAGAATGTGCCTTCAGTCTCATTACATTTCCAACATTTATTTTCGGGCAAATGGTAAATTTTTGCAAGCTTGACTGGTGTCATGTACCACCTATAAATCACTTTCATTAAGTTTTCTCTTAGGGCATTACATGCCGTAAATTTCATACCTGTGGTCCATAACTGTTTCCAGTCAGCCATCATTATATTATGTCCAACATCTTGTGCCCATTTAATCATAGCTGATTTCACCGTTTCATCCTGAGTGTTCCATTTCAACAGCAGGTTGTACATTTTTGACAAATTCTTAATTTTGGAATCTAGCAATTCTGTTTCCAATTTTGATTTTTCCACCTGGAAACCAACTTTTTTGTCCAAATTATATGCCTCCATTATTTGGTAATAATGGAGCCAATCTCGCACTTTATTTTTCAATTTTTCAAAGCTCTGCAATTTTATTCTATCTCCATCTTGATCCAGAATTTCCCAATATTTCGGCCATTTGACCTCCATATTGAGTTTTTTCTGTGCCTTCGCTTCCATTGGTGTTCTGGCTTCTGGGATTCAGAATATTTTTTTCTTGTTTTCCTCCTCCAAAAACTAGGTGCGTCTTATGGTCTGGTGCGTCTTATAGAGCGAAAAATGCGGTACTTGTCAAACATTTGTTGCCATCACGAATGGCAAAATTTAAATGTGAACCTGCGTTGCCAAGGCAAAAATTGCCAGTGTTGCTTTGGGTTATATTAATAGATATACCATATCTGAAACTTAGAATCATTGAATCATAGAATTATGGAGTTGGAAGGGATCCCAAGGACACTGGAGGAGGAACTGGGGTGCGGAGGGAGCGGACCGCCCCCGGCACCACTATTCTGGTAGGGTGCCATAGCGGTGGCCCCCCAGGACACGAACTGTGCACCCCCCCACTTGCCAGGCGCCACGTCCCTACAGACAGCACATCATGCCCCCAGAACGTGCGCCATGCCCCTGCGGGCAGCGTGCCACGCCCCGGGGCATGCACCACACCCCGCGAAGCGCCAGCTATACCCCCGCCTGCTCTCCGCCCCTGGTAGCAGAGCATGCAGCTTCGCCACTGCCCAAGGATAATCTAGTCCAACCCCCTGCAATGCAGAAATCTTTTGCCCAACCTGGGGCTTGAACTCACGACCTTGAGATGAAGAGCCTCCTGTTCTACCAATGGAAAAAGAAGAAGAAGAAGAGGAGGAGAAGTTTGGATTTGATATCCCGCTTTATCACTCCCCGAAGGAGTCTCAAAGCGGCTAACATTCTCCTTTCCCTTCCTCCCCCACAACAAACACTCTGTGAGGTGAGTGGGGCTGAGAGACTTCAGAGAAGTGTGACTGGCCCAAGGTCACCCAGCAGCTGCATGTGGAGGAGCGGAGACGCGAACCCGGTTCCCCAGATTACGAATCTACCGCTCTTAACCACTACACCATACTGGCTCTGTAAGAACGTGCTCTGTACATTCAGCACGTTCAGGGTCTCACTTGAAATATACTGGGTGCAGTTTGAGATTTTTGTCCTTCTCTCTCTCTCTCTCTCTCTCTCTCTCTCTCTCTCTCCCTCTCCCCATTTATATTCAATAAGCCCGCAACTTGCGCACATTTAACTTGTGCACATTCAGCTTTGCGCACGTGGCAAAGTGATGAAAAAGGGGGCAGAAAGGGGACGGGGTTCCAGGAAAATTGGCGTTGGCAATCCCACCCACCATGGAACCCAATGGGTTTTGACTATACAGTGGTGCCCCGCAAGACGAATGCCTCGGAAGACGAAAAACTCGCAAGACGAAAGGGTTTTGCGGTTTTTGAGGTGCTCGTAAGACGAATTTCCCTATGGGCTTGCTTCGCAAGACGGAACGTCTTGCGAGTTTGTTTCCTTTTGAAGCGGGAACTGGGCTGGCAGGGAGCGAGCAGGGGAGCGACCTACCTTTTCCAGAGGGATCCTCTTCTGGAGAGGGCACAGAGGAGGCAGGTGAGCTGGGATCCAGCGGATCTGGCTGGGTCTCTGTGCCGCCTCTGCCTCTGCCTCTCTCTCTCTCTCCCCCTCCCCACGTGGCTGCTCCATTTTGCTCTAACTGCGCGAAGGCAGGAGGAGGCGGGACAAAGGAGGAGGAGGCATCCACTGTGCTTGGGCGGCCGCGAAGGCGCCTTTGCGGGGGTGGGAAGAAGCTGGGAGCAGCTGCCGAGACTGTGGGGAGCCCGGCGGCGTGGCGCAAGGTAACGGGGGGAGCAAGGGAGAGTCCGCGCCGGGCGCTTCGTGCGTCCGCCCTCGGTTCCTGGGCTCGAACTTCCTTTGGCACCTCATGGAGAGAGAGGGAGAGGAGCGGGCTGGGGCTTTGATGTGGGACGCGGTTTGGCGGAGCGAAGACGCGGCAAGGCTTGGCGACAGAGGAAGGGGGGCTGTTTTCGTGGGGAGGTGGGAGGGGTGTCTTTGCCTCTTCCCGGCAACAGATCCTCCAGGCTGGGGAAACTCCTCCTGCTGGGGAGCGACCCGCTTTGTGCTTTGCCCGCTATCCCATTATAATACAGTACCAGGGTGCATCCGTGCTTCGCAAGACGAAAAAATCCGCAAGACGAAGAAACTCGCAGAACGGATTAATTTCGTCTTGCGAGGCACCACTGTATATGATTTTGGGGTTTATCCGTGGTCCCCAGAACATAACCCTCGCATAAATTACGAGCCTACTGTACCAGCCTTAATCAAAAAGCTGCAAGGTGCTACCTTGGTGGTACCTTGGGTTACATACGCTTCAGTTTACAGACGCTTCAGGTTACAGACTCCACTAACCCAGAAATAGTACCTTGGGTTAAGAATTTTGCTTCAGGATGAGAACAAAAATCACGCAGTGGCGGATTAGCTAAAGTGGTCTTCAGGTTAAGAACAGCTTCAGGTTAAGAACGGACCTGCGGAACGAATTAAGTACTTAACCTGAGGTACCACTGTAATTTTTTTAAAAAAACAGTTGTATCAATGGAGTTCACAATAATATGCAATGCACAGTAATTCATAATACAGTCGTACCTTGGTTTTCAAACTTAATCCATTTTGGGAGTCCATTCGACTTCCAGAATCGTTCAAAAACCAAGGCGCAGCTTCCGATTGACTGAAGGAACTTCCTGCAGCCAATCGTGAGCCGTGTCAGACGTTCAGCTTCTGAAAAACGTTTGCAAACCAGAACACACACTCCCAGGTTTGTGGTGTTCAGGAGCCAAAACGTCAGAGTACCAAGGCGTTCAAGAACCAAGGTCCAACTGTGTAAGATAGTACGTAATGAGAAACAGTGTCATGTTACCTTAATCTTCTGTGAAATACAGGAGTCAGTTATTATATATTCATCTCAGGCACAGCTATAAAACATTATTATTATTTATTGAATTTATATACCGCCCTATACCCGGAGGTCTCAGGGCAGTTCACAGAAAAGAGCAACATAAAAACCACAATATATATAATCAAAATAAAAACAACAACCCAGCAACACCCCCCTTAAAAAAGAGTCACATTTTAAAAGGGTCTAGGATGTCAATCAGATCAACCTAAGGCCTGGTTAAAATATAATACTGCTGCAGCATTACAAAAAATAAGGGGGTAAGAAAAACAGGCAGCATCATAAGCAACATCAGCAGCCGAAACCACATGCAAAATGCACATACCTCTCTGTATACAAGATTAGCCCTTAATCTAAGGTTACCAGATTTTTTCCAAAGAATCTGGGGACTCTTTTTTTTTAAAGAGGAATATCTATCTATCTATCTATCTATCTATCTATCTATCTATCTATCTATCTTCTCTTCTGTGGTCTCCTCTGTCACGCGGCCTTCCTCTGGGTGCCACCCTGCTCTCTTGGAGCGCTAGCTGCCATGGAGTAGGTTCGGGTCAGGCCTGGGCTTGGCCACGTGTCCTTGCCCTCCCGGTGCTCTCCTGCCTCTCCTCAGTAGTGGCGGTGAGGCAAGGTTAGGGCTCCCCTCTTTTTTTCTCCTTCCTTTTTCTCTCTCTTCCTTCTCCTCCTCTCCTCCTTCTCCCTGCATCGGCTCCAGGGTTTTTACTGGCCTAGGAGCGCACTGGGCAGTCAGCCAGGTGGCCGGGCACTCTCACTCCCGGCTCGATTTGGGTAATGGGGGGTGTCAGCAGTTCCCCCAGTTGATGCGCCAGGCGTCCCCAGTTCCCCCTCAGCAGTGGCAGCAGCAGCGGCAGTCTCAGCAGCCCAGAGCCTGTCTGGTAGCGCAGTTGGCTCTGGCTGGCTTCAGGAGCTGCTCGCTGCCGTGGCGCCCGCCATTTTGCCTTGCTGGAAGTCCCCCATATGATGTGTCTTGTGCTGTTGAACCAATCATGCAACATTCATTCCCTACTAATAAATCGACAACACTTAAAATATAAATCCGGGGACATTAAATGAAATCCAGAGACATTCCGGGGACGGATTTGTAAATCCGGGGACTGTCCCCGGGAAATGGGGACGTCTGGTAATCATACCTTAATCACACCCTCCCCCCACAAAATGACAGGCGCTTCCAGTTCTCAAGGGAGCTGATTCCCGTCTCCCAGTCTGTCACCTCAGGAGATCTCCACTTCCCTGCTCCTTCCGCTATTGATTTTCAGCCTCTGCCCCCAATGACTTCCAGAAGGTAGGACACCAAAGGGAAGTTCTTCCTCACCTGACATTGGCCGGCAACTGGGTGGCCTGCTGCCTGAAGCATGCCTTACTGACTTCGCCCGATCCTGAACCATGTGCTCAGGGTGGGTAGAGTCCAGTGGGCCCACAGCTTCAAAGGCATTAACTGGTACCGCCCTACATATCAAATTAAACTGTCTCATGCTGGCGTCGCACCTCTGAAGGCCAAGAAGTTCTAGCCTGAGCAAAGAGATGGACACCTCTCTGCTGTCATCAGCATGGTGATGGGGTTCCAACATCACCATCTGCTTGGCATTGTTGTTTTAAGTGGGACACGGCAGTCAAATTTCTGGGAGGCTTTGGGGGTTGCTGGAAATCACTTGGGGGGCCAGATGTGGCCTGTGGGCATTGAATTGGCCACTCCTGCTTTTGGGAAAATGCAAATGTATCCAGAATAGTTCATCCCCATCTTCTTGAATGAGAGTAACCACCACAAACCTCTATTTTGTCAGAATTGAGTTTTAGTTTATTGGGAGGGTGGGGAACTGCTGAATGTATAGATTAAAAATCGTTTTATGGTTCTGGAGAGAGAATCCAGGGCAATGAATAGTGAAAAATATGCTTTTTGAAACTTTAACCAGTTGAGACTGGGCATCCTGAGTGGCACCCTCATCTGAACTCTTGCCCTTAATCTATTGCAAATCCCTACCAGATGGTGGCTTGCAGAAAGAACTTTGGATAGCCATGATAAGCAAAATATAATGATGGGGGAAACTTACAGAAGTGTAAACAATATGGAGTGGCTGTTTCTAAATATGTGTTGGCTGTCTTCTTCAAAATAACGCTTGAAAAAGAGGATTGTAAGGACCTTGTATTTAATGCTATACTTAATTTTAGCTAAGCAAGCATATTGTAGAATACAGTCATACCTCAGGTTACAGACTCTTCAGGTTGCGTTTTTTCGAGTTACGGACCCCCGAAACCCGGAAGTACCAGAACAAGTTATTTCCGGGTTCCGGCTATAGCACATGCGCAGAAGCGCCGAATCGCAACCTGCGTGTGCGCAGATGCGCCGCTGCAGATTGCGAACGCTGCAGGTTGCAAACGTGCATCCCGCACGGATCACGTTCGCAACCCAAGCGTCCACTGTACTGGGACAAGCTTTGTCTGTCTCTTCTCAGCTTCAGTAGCAGTGGGAAAATAACCTGGTTGATGGGGGCAGGCAGGCAGAAAAGATTTGTCTTTCCACATAAGTGACACCTCAGCCCCCTCAAAGTATGTGGGGATGGGGCAGAGCGCCCCCCCCCCATCTTGAGGGACTGGGCTTCCCTCTGATGGCAGGCCCCACTGGGCCTCCTTCTGACGCACATGACATCACACGTGTGACATCACACACACATGACAAGGCCCCCCTCCCAGTATCGGGCAGATAGTATGTCTTTCAATCAAAGTAAAACGCTGAATCATTTGAAGCAGTCTCTCCCCACCCCACCCTCAAATTTTGTAGCTGTGCTATATTCCTCTAGTACCAAGCTGAAACATATTTGCAAGTTCCCCTTTTGTTCTGCAAATTGCTTTGATAACTTTTTATTGAAATGTGGTATATAAATATTACATATCAATGTAGGGAGAAGAAATGTGGGAGAATAATAGGCTTGGATGTGTTCAAGGCCTGAGATGGTTAACCTACATGCAAAAACTGTTGCCCACACCCAGAGAAGTTAGCATGTTAAGAAGAGATCTGTGTTCTAATTCTCCTCCAAGTGGTTGCTTTCTACTTGCAGAGGATTATCTGCATAGAGTACTGTTCAACTCAATGTGAGCCCTCACCTGAAGTGTACATTCCCAATTCAGTTTTATCATGTAAGTGAGAAAGAAGTTGGCAAAATTTAAAGTGCAGACTCCCTATTGGCTGTTTCACACGTTATATGGTCAAGAGCGGTAGACCCGTAATCTGGTGAACCGGGTTCGATTCCCCGCTCCTCCTCCTGCAGCTGCTAGGTGACCTTGGGCCAGTCACACTTCTCTGAAGTCTCTCAGCCCCACTCACCTCACAGAGTGTTTGTTGTGGGGGAGGAAGGGAAAGGAGAATGTTAGCAGCTTTGAGACTCCTTCAGGGAGTGATAAAGCGGGATATCAGATCCAAACTCTTCTTCTTCTTCTTCAGTTATGCTCAAGTATCCAACAGGTTTGCCATTTTATACTCATGTTAGATATGTAAAAAGGTACAGGACCCCTTACAATTAAGTCATCGTGAACGACTCGGGTTGCAGCGCTCATCTCGCTTTACTGGCCGAGGGAGCCAACGTTTGTATGCAGACAGTTTTTCCGGGTCATGACTAAGCCGCTTCTGGCGAACCAGAGCAGCGCACGGAAACACCGTTTACCTTCCCGGCGGAGCGGTACCTATTTATCTACTTGCACTTTGACGTGCTTTCGAACTGCTAGGTTGGCAGGAGCACGGACTGAGCAATGGGAGCTCACCCCGTTGCGGGGATTCGAACCGCCGACCTTCTGATCGGCAAGCCCTAGATTCAGTGGCTTAGACCACAGCACCATATTAAATATATGAACTGGACCTTTTGAAATTTTCAGTTATAAAGGCAAAAGGCTCTGCGGGATTATGGTCTGTCCAGTACTCCTGATGACTTGAGGCTGTGCTGATGAGCGTTCAAGGGTCTTGTTTATCCTGGACTCTTGCTTTCACAGTAGTGAGTTGTTTGAAGTTTCCAATTCTTCCTGATAAGGTTGAGTGTGCAATTTCAGGTCCATATTTACTGGCCCACCCTTGTAAGAATGACTATGGATAGGAGATGCTTCAAACACTCTAAACCAGGGGTCAGCAAACTTTTTCAGCAGGGGGCCAGTCCACTGTCCCTCAGACCTTGTGGGGCGGGGGCCGGACTATATTTTTTTGGGGGGGGGAATGAATTCCTATGCCCCACAAATAACCCAGAGATGCATTTTAAATAAAAGGACACATTCTACTCATGCAAAAACACCAGGCAGGCCCCACAAATAACCCAGAGATGCATTTTAAATAAAAGAAGAAGAAGAGTTTGGATTTGATATCCCGCTTTACCACTCCCTGAAGGAGTCTCAAAGCAGCTAACAATCTCTTTTCCCTTCCTCCCCCACAACAAACACTCTGTGAGGTGAGTGGGGCTGAGAGACTTCAGAGAAGTGTGACTAGCCCAAGGCCACCCAGCAGCTGCATGAGGAGGAGTGGGGACGCGAACCCGGTTCACCAGATTACGAGTCCACCGCTCTTAACCACTCCACCACATTTTACTCATGTAAAAACACGCCGGACAGTCTGGATTTAGAAGGCGATTGGGCTGGATCTGGCCCCCGGGCCTTAGTTTGCCTACCCATGCTCTAAATAGTACCGCCTAAATGCTAAGATGGTTGCTACTTTTAATTTTTTTTTTAACCCTTATTCCTAGTTTCCTGTCATCCTGACCAGTTTCCTCTGGTCCATGAGAATCAAAAGTATAGTGCAGCTTAATGTTTCTTCCCCAACTCCAGCTTAGAAGTATCTTGGAATGCAGGATCCTGTTTCAACAGGGTGACGTAACCTTAAACTCCAGGGCAAGAGGGGTTTAAAAAGCTTCTTTGCTGATGTAAGCCCATGGCACATCCAGATGGGAGAATTTGTATACCCTGAGAAGACATTGTTTATTAGCTAAACTGTTTACCTGTCATCCATTCCTGTAAAGCTCTTTTGGCAGAGGAATGACAAACCAATTTTTTTGTTGGTGCTTAATGTCTAGAGAGATTATCGCTAAGCCCTTGCTCTTTCTTCCTATCTCTTAGTCTCTGAGCGATGTGGTGTGGCAACGCAAACCTTTTTTAATTTATTGATGTCCCAGTTCTTCTGAGTGTTCGAACACTGAGTGCAATTGTTAGTTCAGATAAAGTTTTCTTTAGCACTTTATCAAAGCGATTCACACACATGTATGCATATATGTATTCAAAAAGTATCAGTACTTCATTGGGAGCATTGTGTCTGATCAGGCAGATGGCATCCTTGAAAACGCAAGGATACCAGGAAAGCAACTGAGTAAAGAATTAATGTAATTAGTCCTTCCAGTAAGCTCTAGAAGATAAATCCCTTTTAACCTCTGTTATAAGAACATGTGCTGTGTCAAAGCCTTGGGTTATTAGTCTTTCAAAACGAGCTCCTACATCATCTGTGGCATAGAGCAAAAGTAATTTAGTTAATTAGTAAATATATGATGTCATCGTCCTCACAATAAAGCCATTTTTGGTTTCCAGCTTTTCCGACAGACCTGGTTCTGACCTGGTTTTTGCACATAGCAGAATGAGATAGTAAGTAGACTGCAGGTGGAGGGTTATAATACTCTCTGTATAAACACCCTGCTAGGAGAAAAGTAGCTTAACAGGGAGACATTTTAAGCATTTCTCTCTCTGATGAGATAGTCATTTCAGAGAGTCTCTTTTCATGTTTATGACCATTCAGAAACGTAGTCTTCTACTCATTCCAGCTCATTCCACAGGGTTTCTTCCACCTCATTCTGCTACATGTATATATCTAGCTTCTATTATTATCACCCAGTCAAGTGGTCAGTATTGGCTTCTACTTTGGGGCAATGGGAGGAGCTCTTTTTAATAATAATAATAATAATTATAATAATAATAATAATTTTATTAAGTTTTCAGTTTTACATTTCAAAATAAACATTTTACAAACTTTAAAGGATCCAATGACTTTCCTTCTTCTCCTTCCATGGTTCATTTTACATATCATACATTCCTGAATATTTTACTATAACCATTCAAATCAGTTTTCCACTTTAGCATCAACCACAAATTACCGTATTTTTCGCTCTATAAGACGCACCAGACCACAAGACGCACCTAGTTTTTGGAGGAGGAAAACAAGAAAAAAATATTCTGAATCTCAGAAGCCAGAACAGCAAGAGGGATCACTGCGCAGTGAAAGCAGCAATCCCTCTTGCTGTTCTGGCTTCTGGGATAGCTGCGCAGCCTGCATTCGCTCCATAAGACGCACACACATTTCCCCTTACTTTTTAGGAGGGAAAAAGTGAGTCTTATAGAGCAAAAAATACGGTATTTATTCTGTTGAATTTATCTTAGTGCTGCCAGCGTTTTCAGTTGTATACCGTCTCTCAGCTGTATAGAGTCTCCCGGACTCTATATCAATTCTTCCTAAGAATGCGGTTCATGAAACTTTTATAGATTTTAGCCTTCCCATACCAAAGACATGCATGCCAGCCAAATTTAAAATCATGACCTTCTAAATCTAAAATGTCTGCATTGTCCAATACAATCCATTCTTTTAACAAACACAAACAAGCTGCCTCATAATGCAATTGCTAATCTGGCCTCCTCTTTCTTTTGTATCTATCAGAATTTTATATTTGATTCTTGGCCTTTTTCCCTGCCAGATGAATTTAGAAATATATTTTTTCCATTCCTTGAAGCAGTTTGAATTATTTACAATCGGGATTGATTGGAATAAAAACAGTATTTTAGGGAGTATATTCATTTAAATGGCTGAAATTCTACCTAAGAGGGAGTTTCATTCTCCCCTATATCTCCAACTCTTTCTTAACCTTTCCCCACAATTTAATATAATTATTTTCCAATAGGTTGAGCTTTCTTACTGTCAGCCAAATTCCCAAATACTTTTTTGCCTGTTTTTAAACCAGACATCCTTTCTAAAAAAAATTTTGACTGCTCATCCATGTATTTAACCAAAATTTTGTTTTAATCTGAGTTTATTTTGAAACCCACCACTTCTCCAAACCTTTTAATTTCTTCTAATGCTTTGGGAACGTTCTCCAAAGGTTGTTCCAGGGTCAACACCACAGCCCCCACAACACGTCAGTAAATGTCCTTAATTTATAGACGCTGTGTCCCACCTCAATACCTTTAATTTCCCCATTTCGCCTTATATTCTGAAGCAGTGTTTCTAATGTTATAATAAACAAAAGTGGAGATAAGGGACAGCCTTGTCTCTATTTGGCATTTGTCTGAAAGAATATTGTTTACTAATATATTTGCAGATTGATCGGTATAGATTGCTTTCATTCCTGCTAGGAAAGAATAACCTATTTCCATTTTCTCTAAAACCTTAATCATAAATGACCATGAAATATTGTCAAAAGCTTTCTTCACATCTAGGAGGATTAATGTAGCCCGTTTTTATTTTTTTTACCTCCAGGTACTCTATTAAATTGATTATATTTCTTATATTGTCTTTCATTTGTTGGCCTGGTAAAAATCCACACTGGTCTCTGTGGACTGAGTCAGTCAGTGTCCTTTTCAATCTATAAACCAAGATTGTAGCAAATAGTTTGTAGTCACAATTCAGTAATGAAATAGGTCTATAATTTTTTGTCTTTGTTAAGTCTTGTTTGGGGATCAATTCTGTTTATGGTGTCCTTAAGTGGTTCTGTAAGTGCTTCCTAAAACTTTTTATAATAAATTGCAAGAAGTCCATCTGGCCCAGGTGCTTTTCCCATCTTCATTTGGTTTATTGCCATTTGCAATTCCGATATCTATATGGGTGCATTCAAAATTTGCCGATTTTCCTTAGATACTCAGGATATATTACAATTACCTTAAGAGTACATTGTCCTAAAGTTCTCCTTCTCACAATGATATAATGAAGTATATAAAAAAAATGCTTGTCTTATCTCTTTTGGGCTAGTCAAATGCTTATCGTCATCTACAATATTATTTATGGTCCTATTCTTCCTTTCTTTTTTGAGTTGCCATGCTAACAGTTAACCCAGTTTATTAGCAAATTAAAAAAAATTCTGTTTCATCAATTTGCTGTATTTTTCGCTCTATAAGACACACCTTTTTCCTCCTAAAAAGTAAGGGGAAATGTCTGTGCGTCTCATGGAGCGAATGTGTGGTCGATCGCTGGCTCCCTTTCCGGCCCCGGCCCCTTGCCCAGGCCTCCATTGTTGAATGTTCTGCAGATGGAGGCTGTTTGTTTCCCCAGCGACATGTGACTGGCTGATTAGATTATCTGTCTGGAAACTGTAGAAATGGCTCCCTTTCCTAAAGAAGCTGCAGAACTGTGAGCTGATCCCCCAAAAACGGGGCTTTCCCCCTTTCCTCCTCTAAAAACTAGGTGCATCTTATGGTCAGGCGCGTCTTATGGAGCGAAAAATACGGCACTTTTCATCTCTTGATTAGCTGACATTGAAAATTGTGCTGCAATAGCTAAAGAGCTCTTAATGCCATCAACAACGATAAACGTTGGGCTGAATCTTTGTACTAGCCAAACTGTAGGGATTACTTTTGGATCAGTAGCGATGGGTATGAACTTAGTTGATTCTTCAGGTTAGTCACCGTCTAGTCGCTTAGACCTGGCCTACATATGTGACAAAATGAGCTGGTAAAATCCTGAAGTGAAGTGTACTATTCCAGATGTCAGGAGCTTATCAAATTTTTGAATGCTCTCCAAGTAACAAAAGGCCCCCCTGCAAATAGAGACTGGCATAACAGGGAGGGAGTTGAGCCACAGCTTATGTCCGTGATATTTTAATTCTTTCTTCCAGTGTATGTGTGTGCACCTTGGGCCAGTCACTATCTCTTAGCATAACCTATAAATGGAATAAATAAATAATAAATAATGCCTATCTATATGTTTCAGAAATACGACACGCATCTCTATGGTCTGAGTGGTACAGTCCACTCTAGCACTTCATTTTCTGCTGTAAATAGGGAGTTTGTCGAAAGACCTCCCAAATTTCGACAAAGTCAAGCTGATAAAGGCTGGGTAACACGTCCCATAAAATGCTTAGCTTTGACCTCTAAACATTTTAGCAAAATTTATTTCCCTATGTCTCCAAGTGTAAAACTGCATATGTAAACAGAGACTCTTGTATTTCATCAATAACCACCAATGATATTTGATCAGCATATTTTGTTTGAATGGTTTTTAAATTTACAAAAATCTTGAGTTTATTCTCTAAAATTTGGAAGTGTTCTTGCTTTTTTTCAGATCTTATCAAAAAACTAGCACAGCAATCGTTTGGCAAAAACCCTGGTGATTATCAAAAGGTAATTCTTTCACGTGTATTTATTATGGTTTGCATATGACTGTGTGTCTGTATTTGTGAAGCTGATCTTTTTAACAACAACAACAACAGCACAGTATGTTAACTTTGCCACATCTGCTTCTTGTTTATCTTTTAAATAGAAAGTTTCCAGATGCAAGTGTGTCAAAACTGCATGATAAGGTTTCATTTTGCTTAGCTTCACATCAAATATTTTCCAAGAAGATTTTGGGGGATATTTTTGATCAGTGTAAATAGAAACTCTTGCTTCCTTTGCATAGGGTTTTCTGTGACATTTCATCTGATTAAGATACTGATGAGTAAAGATTTTTAGGCAAACCGAAATATATGAACACGTTAGTATTTCCCTTCGTGGCGTAGATTTTATTTATGTAGCCCATGTCTTCCAATTCTGGAGACTGGATATTAAGCATCTGATATTGGTCCATATCTTGTTCCCCATTGCATTATCAGCTCCAGAAGACACACACTACACACTGCACTCCCCATTTTAAAACAACTACTCCTTTTCAGGGAGCATCTTCCAAGTAGGGGGGAGGGGTGTGTGCCATAGGCACAGGCAAAGATAGGATGAATGTCACTGAATGGCTTTCAAACTGTATTTCTTGATTATACATTCAGGAAGGGTAGACGACTCTTCTTTGAAAGACAGCTTGCCCCTTCCAATCTTTCCCTGTGATTACTGGCTACTGGGTCTGTTCCCGAGTGCATGCTCAGTTCATGAAGGGTGACAGTGAGGTTCAAAGCTGGCTGTGCCCTCTAAAACCTATTCCTGCATCCTTTGCAATATGCAGGGTTGGAATGGAAGACTGCAGAAAGTGTTCCCTAAAGGCGGAAATCTTGAAAACCCACTGGCGTAAATTTATTTAAAAGATTAGTTGATTCTAACTTGGTGATTGGAATAAGTGCTGTGGGTTTATGCACCTCCTTCAGTTTCTGGTTTGTAGGCAGTCTTTAGCTAGCAAACCATTGTTTGTTCAATTTTGCCTTCGCAGCAAACTATGGTTATCTCACATGGTGGTAGGGATGGGAGATGCTCACAGAGGTCTTCTGATTGCCAAACCATGGTTTTTGATTGGCACAGTGACTTCTGAACTGAACCAGTCCTTTTACCTTTTCAAAGAGCATTTAAGTGCTTGTTTTGGGTGAAATGCTACCTGTAATTTTGGAAGCCCACAGCTGTGGATGTGTTCACCCATTCTGACTAATCAGAACATAGTAATTATGGCTGCAGAAAGGCATGTTCATGAGCAGTGGCTGCAGCTTGCAAACCTTTGAGGGCTTTTTTGTTATTTTGGAAAGAAGGCGACTCGAATTGTGTCATGCAAAACAAAGAGAGAAAATCACTTGATAAACTTAATAATGCTGGTTGTATCAATCACAGCATCATTCAGGTGCTTTTAACCATCAGTGTTGGAGTCAGTAAATCATGGGCTCCTTTTGAAAAGTTTTGTAGGTAGGAAATAGTAATAGTTGTGATTCCTTCAGGTTGCAGTATTTCAAAAAGTATAAACCAGGAGCTTCTTAGAAAACAAAAATGCCCCCCCCCCCAAAAGGCGAACTTTCAATTGACTTGCCAGGACAAAGCACCACCTTTTGGAAATCCCAACTGGACATCAATTCCACCTTTGAAATCCCAGTAATGTCCTTCTTTTGACAGTCTATCTCCTGATGACCTCTTTGCTCAAATTGCATTGGGGTTTGTACAACTGGCCAGTAGCAAGCAGTGCAGTGGGACAGAGAGGCTTACCTGACCTCTAGGCAAATCAGTTGCTGCTGCTTACCAAGAGACACAAGGTGGTGGGCAGTATCAGCATGCCATCAGGACCACCAGATTGGCCCTGCTGCTGTGTTTGCACCATGCTGACCACTGGCTTGCCGCTGCCTCTCCCAGTAAGCACCAGTGGCTTACCTGTTTGAAAGTCAGGTAAGAATCTCTGTCCCATTACAGTGTATGCTGCTGCAAATAGCTATAATATACTTGTCTCCTGTGTGGTTGTGCTTTGTGGAAAAGAAACCATTATCGGAAGTTTCCCAATATCCAGGCTTGAGACAGACTTCAGAAATTTGTAAAAGCCTGCATTAAATGATAAGTGAGCTTGTGAAGTCATTGAATTCTCCCAAGCTTGGATAAACAAATAGAGGAGGAAAGTTTGTCTCTTTGCTCCTTCTTTTTTCCTGATGCACTGGGTTTCAGTGCTGTGTGGTTTAAAACTCAAGGAATCATGGAAGGGCAACATCAATCCTAGTGTCCAGGCTTCGTGCCCTGGTGCACTATTCCAGAGACAGAAGGGGACAAATCACCCTTTGTGCCTTCATCACTACCACCACGACTGGGAAGGGAAGGGGGAGATTTTCCCAAGCCAGACAATAGGGTCAAACACAAAAGATGCCCTTGATAAAGAGTGACTTTCTCAAAACATGTTGGGAACATCAAGACCTGTGCACATGTGCTCTTGTGTGTGTGTAGCATGCTGCTTGCACAACTGAACATCACCCTCACTTCAAATTCTGACTCTTCCTTCTACTTAACACTTCTCCTCATGCAAGGTGATTCCTTCCCTGGTTTGAGGCAAACAGCAGTTTGCTGCTCCATTTGCCCAGCTGCTTCGATTAAATACCACAGGGAATTCAATTCCCTAGATAAGGTTGTGCAGTTTTAAAGGTGGTAAACAACACGTCTTACGTAACCGTGTTTATTCAGAAGCAAGTCCTGTTGAATTCAATGGGACTTACTCCCAGATAAATGGGGTTAGGATTGCAGACTTAAGTGTAACATTCTTCAGGGTGTAAAAATAAATAAATTCCACCCCTTTTGTGATGGAAAACAGTAGTCCAAACAGTAATAAAAATGTTTTGTAGTGTTCAAGTCAGAGGAATTGGGAAGAAAATGCAAGCTATTCTGCATCTGGCCCTCTTTAACAGAACACAAAGTGTAATAATAATAATAATAATAATAATAAATTTTATTTATATCCCGCCCTCCCCAGCCGAAGCTGGGCTCAGGGCGGCTAACAACAATAAAATCGTACAACATTCTAAAATCATTTCACTATAAAATTAATTCAACTCAAATTGATGGCAACCATTAGGCTAAAGTTCTGTGAAGATTGCCAAAGGAGGGGGTCAGACTGTGCCCTGACCAAAGGCCTGGTGGAACAGCTCTGTCTTGCAGGCCCTGCGGAAAAATGTCAAGTCCTAGGGTCCTAGTCTATTGTGACAGCGTTCCACCAGATCAGAGCTACAGCCGAAAAAGCCCTGGCTCTAGTTGAGGCCAGCCTAACCTCTCTGTGGCCTGGGACCTTCAGGATGTTTTTGTTTGAAGACCGTAAGTTCCTCTGTGGGACATACCAGGAGAGGCGGTCCCGTAGGTACGAGGGTCCTAGGCTGTATAGAGCTTTAAAGGTTAAAACCAGCACCTTAAACCTGATCCTGTACCTCACAGGGAGCCAGTGCAGCTGGTATAGCACCGGGTAAATTGAATACAAATAAGTAAAAACCATGAAAATCCTAAACCATTTGATTTTGCAAAATTGGCAAGATGCCTCTGGAACTACACTGCATCATGGTTTTGTGTGTGAATACCTGATGTGCTAAACTGCTTACTGACCTTGTACATTGTTTTTTACTTTGATGGGCATCATAAACATTATCTTTGGGTGCTTAATTTATTGCTCACCTGCATTCTTTTTATGCATGCTGCCTTTGCATCATATATACTTTCCATCTGCCTTGACTTCCACAGCCAGAAAATGTTGTCCTCACCCTTCAGGTAAAACCTCTTATTGTTTCCGATGCACACTTTGTTTGGGAAAAAATATATTCTCAACTAGGGTTGCCATATTTCAAAAAGGAAAATTCCTGACACCCGCAGGTGTTGAGCTTTTTCTAGGAGACCACCAAAATTTGGGGAGGGGGGGGGACAAACCCAAATTGTTGAGCTTTTGGGGGGAAACCTACCCTCCCAATAGTGATTTTAAGCTTTTGGGACTTTTTCTGCTGCTTTTTCCATCGCGATGCCAGACATTTCACCAATTTGGCAAAATTCCCCCCGACGCCATTTTTAGATCCGAAAACCAGGACATGTCAGGAATTTTCCTGACGTATGGCAAGCCTATCTTAACTAACATGTAACCTCTTCTGATCATGGGTTCTAACGTTTTAGGTGGAGTATTTTCAGAATTGTTAATTTGGTTAGTTGATATATTTTGTTGTGGTTTACGAAAGAACCTAACATTCCCATTTCCCGCTATCTAACAAAAACCCTTAACTCTCCTTGTTACTGTAATTAGGTCACTGGTATAAATGGCCATGTGTTGCAGTTGTTTGCGCTTAGAGCTATTTTCATTGAGGAAATGGGGGGATCTGAAGCAGATTCACTGAGAGTAGAACTGGAGCATGAGTAAATGTAGCTGGTGGGAAACTGGCTTGCAACGAGCCCTGGAGGAAGGTGTCTGACTGCTCTTCTCCCTCTGTGCTTTTAATAGGCGGGCACTCACAAATGTGTAATAGCAGTGGGAGAGAAGCCAGCTAATCTACAAAACAAAAACATTTTCCAAGTTGGTAAATGAAAGCGATTCACATAATAGTCACGAGGACAATGCACTGCCCAGCTGGCATCAAAAATCAAGGAAGGGTCTTCAGAACATGCAGGTCTCCTGCTAGATCAAAGGGTTGTGTAGACCAGGGGCCAGCAAACTTTTTCAGCAGGGGGCCGGTCCACTGTCCCTCAGACCTTGTGGGGGGCCGGACTATATTTTGAAAAATATATATACTGTATGAACGAATTCCTATGTCCCACAAATAACCCAGAGATGCATTTTAAATAAAAGGACACATTCTGCTCATGTAAAAACACCAGGCAGGCCCCCACAAATAACCCAGAGATGCATTTTCAATAAAAGGACACATTCTACTCATTTAAAAACATGCTGATTCCCGGACCGTCCTTGGCCAGATTGAGAGGGCAATTGGACTGGATCCGGCCCCCGGGCCTTAGTTTGCCTACCCATGGTCTAGACCATAGCTGTCAACGTTTACCTTTTTTAAAGGGAAATCCCCTTATTCCAAATAGGATTCCTTGCAAGAAAAGGGAAAAGTTGACAGCTGTGGTCTAGACCAGCTTCAAGGTTTTCAGCTGTGACCAGGCTGATGCTTCCACAAAGTCTACAAGTAGCATATGAAGTCATTGGCTTTCCCCTGCTCTTTCCTGCCCAGAAACGGAAGATCCTGAGTTTTGCTTCATTCAAGGAAAAATAGGTATATAAAAAGGAGAATTCAGGAAAAAGTATTCAGCAAAGTGTGGAAATATAGACTGTAAAGGGGCCCTTTAAAGTGAGTTCCAAAGCTTCCCTCTTCAAAGGTCAGATTGACGTGCTTCAGAAAGTTGCACAGGCAGTAAAACTAGGCTTAGTTAGATTGGTGAAAAGTCCTAAATTATTGGTATAGGAACTCAAGAGTGGCTTGTGAGAGCCATGTAGTGTGAGCTTGGAGCAACCAGCTCAGACCTCCTCACATGCTGAGCTTGTCAGGTAGACTGAACGTTGAAAAAATAAGCCTGATTGCCCATTTCCTCCCAAGGCCAGGGGAAGTGACCTCACTAAACTGGGCAGAACAGCTTACTCTATGGTATGAGCTGCTTCATGCATTATTTAGATTTCAACATGTTAGTTATATGAGGTTGGTTCTCTTACAAATTGTATAGTGCTGTCATAGCTGACAGCAAACAATGTCTAGCCCCTTTCATAAAGCTACAGTGGTACCTCGCAAGACGAATGCCTCGCAAGACGGAAAACTCGCAAAACGAAAGGGTTTTTGGTTTTTTGAGTTGCTTCGCAAGACGATTTTCCCTATGGGCTTGCTTCGCAAGACGGAAACGTCTTGCAAGTTTGTTTCCTTTTCTTAAAACCGTTAATATAGTTGCGACTTGACTTCGAGGAGCAACTCATAGCACGCGGTGTGGTAGCCTTTTTTGAGGTTTTTGAAGACTTTGGTGATTTTTGAAGCTTTTCCAAAACTTTTCCGACACCGTGCTTTGCAAGACGAAAAAAACCGCAAGACGAAAAAACTCGCAGAACGAATTAATTTCGTCTTGCGAGGCACCAGTGTACTAAGGCAGAGGTCACCATCACGTCTTCCAGTTGCGAATTCCCCAAGCTAATTGCATTGTGTGAAGTTTATTCCCTTCTGACCTTAAGATGAGCTTCTTCTGTGACCCCAAGTTCTTCCCAGGCATTCTTATTTATGTGTGCAAGACGTGCACAGCAGTGCTTGGCTTCAAGGCATCCAGCTACCTTTCCTCATGGTTGCATTTCAATTTGTAGGGATATTTCCATTCCTAGTGCTTAAACTGCAGTACTCTTGAGTTCCTATTTCTGTCTCTTACTTGGAAATCCCTTCACGCACTGCTGAGCTGTACTAGTGTGGCTCTTGCTACCTCTACAGTTGCTTTCATGCTGTTTTAGGTTATTTCTAAAAGTGCTGATCTGGATCCTGTATTTACATACCACAGAAGCAGTGTACCTCTAAAGGCAGATACCGTATTTTTTGCACCATAACACTCACTTTTTTCCTCCTAGAAAGTAAGGGGAAATGTCTGTGCATGTTATGGAGGGAATGCCTACGGGTGGCATGCCTACGGATTTTCCTCCTCTAAAAACTACGTGCGTGTTATGGTCGGGTGCGTGTTATAGAGCAAAAAATACGGTAAATGCCAAAGAACGAGCCATGTGGGTGGATCCATTTACACCTGAACTGATGTGGGGGGAAACTGCAGAGGCAGCAACACCCATGCTGGCTTAAGTTTATGTTGAAGTACATTATTGCAATTGTGTGAAATGTCAGAAAACAGCCTAGAGTGGTTTCAGTGTGCAGTTCTGCTCTGCAGCGCTTTTCCTTTCTGGAGCTAATTTACCCTTAACATTTTATTAATTAACTCCTCAGTCACATGCGTCCATGTGAGGTTGCTTCAGAGGAAACAGGCTTGAAGGAGCAAGGGAATGTTCACAAGTATGAAATAAACCAGCCCTATGTCTTGCATTAAGGGACGTGGGTGGCGCTGTGGGTAAAACCTCAGCGCCTAGGGCTTGCCGATCGCATGGTCAGCGGTTCGAATCCCCGCGGTGGGGTGAGCTCCTGCCGTTCGGTCCCAGCTCCTGCCCACCTAGCAGTTCGAAAGCACCCCTAAGTGCAAGTAGATAAATAGGTACCGCTTTATAGCGGGAAGGTAAACGGCGTTTCCATGTGATGCGCTGGTGCTGGCTCGCCAGCTGCAGCTTCGTCACGCTGGCCACGTGACCCGGAAGTGTCTCCGGACAGCGCTGGCCCCCAGCCTCTTAAGTGAGATGGGCACACAACCCTAGAGTCGGACACGACTGGCCCGTACGGGCAGGAGTACCTTTACCTTACCTATGTCTTGCATTGGGACATGGGTTAAACCACAGAGCCTAGGACTTGCCGATCAGAAGGTCGGTGGTTCAAATCCCCGCGATGGGGTAAGCTCCCATTGCTCGGTCCCTGCTCCTGCCAACCTAGCAGTTCAAAAGCACGTCAAAGTGCAAGTAGATAAATAGGTACCGCTCTGGCGGGAAGGTAAACGGCGTTTCTGTGTGCTGCTCTGGCTCACCAGAAGCGGCTTAGTCATGCTGGCCACATGACCCAGAAGCTGTACGCCGGCTCCCTTGGCCAGTAAAGTGAGATGAGCGCCGCAACCCCAGAGTCGGACACAACTGGACCTAATGGTCAGGGGTCCCTTTACCTTTACCTTTTTATGTCTTGCATTGGTCCTCATAACCTGGGGAGGGTTGCTGACTAGGATCGCCAATGGTCAAGGATGGCGCCGTAGTGTGTCTTGCTACAACTAGCAGAAGCAGAATAAATTAGGCAAAATAAGAGAAATTGTGTTAAATCTATGATTGAGTAGAATCATATAGTTGAAAGTGACCCAAGTATCATCTAGTCCAACCCTCTGCGATGCAGGAATCTCAGCTAAAGCACCCATGACAGATGGACATCCAACCTCTGTTTAAAAACTTGCAAAACTCAGGGGGCGTTTTTTTAGTGCAGAAAGCACATAGTCTTGTATCAGTCAAGAAAGCCTTTAGGCATGACTCCCTTTGAGAACTGTTGGTTTAATGTAGGATTTTCCAGACTGTGTCCCTTTTTGCAGCGCTACAGTGTGCACTACAAGAACTCCTAACACAGACGACTTTTCAAAGTGTATTTTAGGGGGGACGGGACGGGACACTTAGTGCAGCGGCGTCCTTCCTGGCCTCCAAATTAGAACTGCCAGCTCGCTTCTTTCTTGGACTAACAAATGTATTGTTTTTATCATTTTCCAGAACAATGGGAAGGATTCTTCTTTGCAACTCCAGGATATCCTAGTTAATAATTTTCTAGTACCCCATGTTCCAGTTTGTACAGTTGCAGCTCAAGGATGGGATCATGCTGCTGCTAGACTTTTCCTGCCCCTCTCCTCTGTAGCGTGGGCTGCATCCGGGAATGTGCATCATTCACCCCTTGGGATGATGTCAGTTCCTTTAGCTGAGAAAGCCGGATCAATACTGCACAGTGCCTCTCCAATTGGGCAAAAGTTGTACTTCCATCCAGCGTGCTGACTTAGTTAGTCAGCCCCTTTCATCGCACAGTTCTTTTCCTCCAGCATGTAGTCTGAGTTCGGTTTTGAAACTATGTCTGTAATGTGAATCTCAGTTATAATATATCTGCTTTTGCTATTGTTTCTGTCCGCATTGCAGGCAGTTTACTATGAGATCGGTTTTATAGTCTCTGCTGCTCTGGGAGTGCTGTTTGTTCTGTTGTTGCCTCTGGTGGGGCTTTGCTTCTGCATGTGCCGTTGCTGTGAGAACTGTGGTGGGGAAATGCACCAAAGACAGAAGAAGAATGCAGACTGTCAGAGGGGATGCTTTGCTACAGTACTTTTCGTTGCCGCTTTAATCATCAGGCAAGTATAGCCAAGCTGCTCACAGTGTGAATTTTGCTTTGCCATATAAGCAAGGTGGGTTAAGTCTGGTTTATTATTTATGGAGTTTTTATTGGGCTGGGAATAATGTGCACAAGTTTAAGGGAGATAAAAGTCACTAATTAAAAGAGAGCCGCTCTGTTTGATGACCACAGGCTGACTGCATAACTATACTGAAAGATCTGGAGCCAAGCTACAGGATCAGCAGGCCCATTGGATGTGTTTAGTTGTTAGAATGTACCACTTTGTACTAATGATAGTTGAGGATATAGAATATTGTTACAAAAGCCACCCCCCCACACTCTCTGCCAGATTCCAGGGGGTTCCAGGCACTCACCCAGGGTCTGCGTTCCTTTGGAGAACTGAGACACAGCAGAGACTGTCATGCTTTAAGAAATATGGTTTACACCTTCAGTCTGCACGGAGGGAGTCCAGATCTTACAGCACGGTCATTTCAAAAGGAGCTTGTCTCCCACAGCAGTGAAGCCCTGGAGTCCAAGCCATCTTGGAGTCTCAGCCAGCCTTCAGCCAGCCTGCCCAAGATGGATCCCATTCTTTCTTCTTCCCGGAACACGTTACTGAAAGACTCCCTTTTCCTGTCATCTCACACCCAGTTACCCCGGCCCCATCAGTCTCCCCAGGCCAAAGTATTCCTCTCAGATGGCCCATCAACACCTTTTGTCATGTTGACAGATTTGCTCTTCAGAAGGCCAGCCAAGCTGGTTTGCATAAGTCAGGGCTGGGATTCCTTGTCTGACAGAGCTCTGGAGCTTGTACTTTCATCCATATCCCAATTAATCAAAATCCTACAGTTTATTAATTTCCAGGGTTTAGTGGGGTCCCCCTCAAATCTATCTTTTAATACATTCCCACTCTGCAATAGCAATACCAATACCAAGGAAAAGGTTCTAGGATAGCTAATGTTGTTTATGTAGGATTTGAATGTGAGGAGACGGTAATTCAGTCAGTCCCCCAGGTGAAGCCTACAGTGGTACAATACAGAAGAGAATAACATCATGTGAGACTGCTGACCATACAGCTTCTCTCTATGATTGATTATTGTTATGGAACTGAGCGCGCAAGGCTTTTGCCATTTTTTTTTTAATAAGAACTGCCTGTGCTAGCTTTTTCACTGCAAAATCAATGTATCATACCTGCATCAATTTTAATTTTGTATGTCATAGCTTTCTTGAACAAAAGGCTGCTTCCGTTTTCATTCTGAATGTATCCGTTTTGTTGCTGAGGATGGGCAATGCGAAACTTGATCCTGCTTTTTCCTTATGAGCTAGAACCCCTGGCCCCTTCATGACTAGACTGTACTCTCTAACATAACAAAACGTGTTTCCCAGTGTGGGCAACACAGCCTAACTTACCAATATATAGCGCTTCATGGTTGATGGAGCTGACTCAGGATTCCAGAATTAAACCCTGGTTTGAACTTTCAGTCACCTTGAGTCATGTGGGCAGAAAGTAGATTGTGGTCCACAGGTGACCCACAGGCCATATTATGTTGGTTCACCTAGCATCCTGTTCAGTGCTGGACTTAAGGTGATGAACCAAACTGTTTACCAGTTTTTGGGTAATGGTCTTAACTCATTTCTGAGCCAGTCCAATAGGAACCAAGGATAGCCTGTCTCTAAAGGAAATGAGCAGCTCTGCTCATTTTGTCTCTTAACACAATTGATTCCCATTAACCTCTGTGGGTTACCTCTGTCCAGGGCTGCAATCGGGAACATTCCTAAAATGTCCTCTGTTCTTGTCCTTTCGTTCACCAGAGTTTTGGAAACAGATATCAAGGGTTATGCACGTATATGCACACAATCCTCAACATTTTGTCTAATTGTAGCTCTTTGTTTTCACCTAAAAGAAGCAAGTGGTTTCCATTATCTTGTATGGAAGATGTAATGGATTTAGGGGTTGCTCGTGCGTAAGTTGCCGCCACTCCTGGCGAGGTTACCTGGTTAAACCCTTTCTGACTGAACAGCCTCCAGCATCGTGACTGTCTCAGTCGCTGACAGAATCCGTCAGTGGGCGTTTCTTAAACTTCTTCCAGCACAAAAGTTCCTTGACGCCTAGTCTCCGCCTAGACTCCCTGCGCGGAAGCCTTCTGCGCAGGGAGGGTGTGGGCAGCGGAGGACCCGTACTCTCTCCGCTGGTCTCCGGCAAGGAGTCTTGGAGCCTCCTCTCCGATTCCCCCATCTGCCCCCCTTCTCTACTGGTGTTACGCTGATTTCCTTCCCCAGCGGACGGGCTGCCTCTCTCCCTACTGGGACCCTCTCCGCCATCCCTCTGGAGCCTTCCCTCCGCCTCTAGCTCCGATGGCAGTTCCCTGACAGAAGAGAATAAAGGGTACATTTGTGGTTGCAAGGACCCATGGAAAGGGGTTCTTTCCAATTGTAGCCCCATAGTCTGCTGTCTTTGAGTGAGTAAACACACATGTAGGAGCCTTTGGCTTCTGGTGGAAGAGAGACAGAACCCTTGAACATTAAGCAGGCTTATCTAAAATCTTTTGTTCCCCTTCCACGAGGGCAATTGTTGCCAGAAAAGAGGCTTCTGGGTATGTCTTTCCTTCTGAATCCTGCCCTTGTGCTGATTGTGGGAATGTTAAGGATGTCAGGAGAGGATATATTATTTATTAATATCCTTCCAAACCTGCACTAGCAACCTTTATGGAGCAGAGTTACATTCCCCTTCTTACATGCACAGCAGATAGCTGGTTGCAGGCTCGTGTGAGCCTCTCACTATTACACAGTTCAATCTGTCTCAGATTGAATTGTACGTTCCTGGTAAATTCCCTTGATTTATTGGTAAATTCCCTTCTTTATTGAAAGAATAAAGACACCACAATCTTATTCCAAGTCAGTAAAAGAAGTTTACTGACATCAGTTCATAGTTGGATTCCTGAAGGCAGACTTAGTTACAAATATGTACATGTGGATCTACCTCATATGGGGGAATAATGCCAGTGCTTCTGCTAGCTGAGAGCTAGCAGAGCAGTCCCAGCTAAAAGCTGGTCAAACGAAGAAAGAAGTCAAAAAAAAGAGGGAAGTTTGCTGCGTGACTCGTCCTTTTGTAACCTGGACAGGTAAAGTCACGCCCACTTTCTATCACATGCAAAAGGAAGGATGCTCCAGCCAGGAGGAACAGGAAGTTTTGACTGGCTGGACCAAACATGTCTTCTCTAGCATTACAAGGAATGTTGTACTTGACTTCTTCTCATGGATCACATCCCACACCGATTTGGGGCAGAGGCAGGATTTCTGTCTCTCTCCACCCCCCGCCCCCCAGTAATTGGCACTTGGGTCGCCATACCAAAGTATGTGCACCCACCACCTCTTTGCTGAACATGTACTGTATATGGAAACATTTTTATATATTTAATGAAATCTTGCGCTTGTGCATGGGCCAGTTGGCTTCTCAGAGTGTGATTGAGTAGCACACTCTCCTCATTTCTGGGAAAGCAAGGTCTCTAGTCATCGCTTTATTAAGGAATGTTAAGCAAAAGTTTGCTTTTCATATCACCAAACATGAAGGAGAAGTCTGTTTAATAGTCTTCATAAATGTGATCAGTGGGGTGACTGGTTTTCCTCGTTTTTGTAAAGTGTTTTTCCCACTCTGTCGGAGAGGCTCAAAATGAGAAATTATCAAAGTTTTGCAAACAGAAAACCTTCATGGTGCATTGAGCTACTGACCTTTTTGTAGTGTGAGCACAAAGACCGAAACAATCGCCTCCAAAGAACATAGTTGTTACTGTAATTCTAGCCATGTGAATTGGAAATACACTTTTCATCTGACTGTCCATTGTGAAATGTTTTCCTTTTTAGAGGCAGCCAAGAATAGATAATAACCCCCAGTACAGACTGTGCAGGCAGCAAAACTGGAAAGCATTGCTTACCCTTGTAGGTGTCCAGTTCTGTGCCCAAGTCTCTGCCTTCTGCCAAATCATCTTGAGATAGTGGCATCTGCAGAGCACAGCCCCACATAAGAGTCTTTGCTGAATCTTACCAAAGTCTATCTATTGCACCATCATTTCCAACTGTTAGAAGTCCACAAGCTGGATAGGAGGTTACACGAAACACTGTGAGGCAGGTCTAAGCAGCTGATGCCACGCAAGCCAATTGGACAGCTTTAAAAAAAATAAAATCCTGGGCTAATCCGTGGGCTTTAGTTCATAGCAAGTTGTACCCTGTTAGATTCAAAGTACATATGAGAAGCTACAAAATCATGTCAAGGCTTTTTCCAGAGGTGACTTCTTTTTGCAACTCTAGATCAGAACGTAAGAGATGTCTTCATCCCCATCCTGCCAAGCTATATCAGAGAGAGGGATAAGCTGTTCATTTTCTTGTAACCCTTGACCTATGGACACAATTTCTCCACTCACCTGAAGATGGGAGGAATCGTCGTGATTAAAAATAAATGGGTTGAGTTGGCCTAAGGGCACAGGCTTCTCTGCTATTCTGTACCTTGAGGGCTTACAAAGGAATTATTAAGCTGAATTTGTGGACCACTACAAGTCCATATTTTAAGTCCCTATGTCCTTTAAAAAAAAAAGCTTACTTATTCCGGATAGCAAAACATTTCCCACCAATTTTGTTGCTGTTTATGTATAGCTCTCAAGCTTTCCATTTGAGCGAATGCTTTAGTGTGTGCCCAGATTGTGACAAAATACATCATGGAAAACAATTTTGCAAAATCTGGTTGAATATATCTGGATATGTGCATGTTCAGCCCATGTTGTGACAGATCCCTTGAGAAGTGGCAGTTCATGTTGACTTAGCACAGTGAGAGTTGTTACGCGAATCATGGCAACTTCCCAGTTGTCTTAACTTCCTCTTTTAGTTTGCTAGTCTTTAGCCTATGCATTCTTGGGAACAGGAAATATAGACATATGTCTGACAAGTTGAAGTTAAAACTATTCTGGTTAAATAATTGGCACGAATGTCCAGTTAACTCTGTCCCAGCTACTTCTCTGACCCACATAATGGTTAACAATCGATTGTGTCTTGGAAGTTTGAATGTGCATTTTTATGTTCTTCATCAGATATTGTTCTTTTTGTAGATGGTTTTACTCTGATTTGAAACTAGAACTATTTGGCAACAGTAAAGTAAAATCTTTGCTTTCCCTCCCCTTTTACACATAGTATTGGTGTTCTTTTTGCTTATGCTGCTAACCAGCACCTCACAAGTCAAGTCAGAGGAGCAAGGAAGCTGGTGAACAGTAATTTCAAAGACCTGAGGATTTTCCTGAATGAGACACCTGGGGTAAAGTGATACTTTCTTCGTTATAGCAATTAAGAAAGAAAGTGGGCACAGCAGTAATGCACATAGCAAAATTGCAGATTTCAGACATTTTTATCAAACAGCGGCTTGTGCTCACGGTATGGTAGAACCCAAGCCATCATGAGTCGGTTTGCAAGTAACACCAAGCCAAACAATTCCTTAGTGTGAATGTGCAAATGTATGGGCTCCCAGAAATGAACATGTCTGTTTTTCTTCTCCTCCTGGTTCTGCTGCTAGTGCTCTTTTGTGAGCCAACTCATGGTTTGGCTTAGTGTTCTGTCTGAACCTGGGTTCACAGTTTGTCTCGCACCAGGCAAGCTGTAAGCTCCCTATCCAAGAACAAACCTTATTTACAACTCGCAAAAGGGCCTGGGGGAATGTGTGGGTTGACTCCACCCTCCCGATGCTGCTGCACACACTGACAGCACCCCCAAGCCAACACGTGATTGGCTGAGTCAGAAAGGAGTACCACTTCGTTCCAACATGAGGATGGGAGCCTGACCAGTCCTTCACAGAATGAAGGTCACCCTCCTTCAGACAGAGCTTGGGACCATTTCTGATGTCCACAGCATCATTAAAGGGGTTGAGTTCACCCTGCACATTCCAGAGGAATCCTTGCCAGCAAACACCAGATGCAGAAAAAAGATCAAGCTTTTATTTACCTTTCTAAAAGATTGTATATGCCCATGGCAACTGGAAAACCAATACAGCTTGTTTTGGTGTGGTGTACATATGTTGGACATAGCTGTCAACCGTCCCTTATTTGGCAGGAAAGTCCCTTATCCCAGTGCTCTGTCCCGCTTCTCTCCCTGATTGATGATGTCTCTTACATTTCCCGGGTTTCAAAGGAAACAGCTCCTCTCCCTCCCTGCCTGCCGGCCAGGGAGGAGGGAGGCTCCAACTGTGTTGCTTGGCTGCGTTGCTCACCCAATAAGGAGTCTAAGAATGACTGGGGGGTGGAGCTTGCATGCCTTGTGCCGATCAAATCGGCTGCGTTGCCTGGGGACTCGCCTTTGCTCAGCGCTTCCCAGCGGAGAGGTGACGGTGGTTTTCCTTGCTGCATCTCCTTTGCTGGGTTGCTGCTCTGTGGGAACCACCGCTTGAGGCTTCGTTTGGCTGCTGGCTGGGCTTTCTGCCTTTGGCTCGGAGGGGCTCAGAAGTTGAACATACCTGTGCTCCAAAAATCCCTTATTTTGGCTGCTGATCCCTTATTTTTGAAGCTGCTGGTCCCTTATTTTCAAATCTGTAAGTTGACAGCTATGATGTTGGATAGAACTATATAGTTACCGTATTTTTCGCTCTATAACACGCACCCGACCATAACACGCACATAGTTTTTAGAGGAGGAAAACAAGAAAAAAACATTCTAAATGAAACAGTGGATGTATGATTTTTGTGGTTCATGCTGTGGCCACAGACATGTGATCTGACGGTGAGTTTGGGGTAGCCCAATGCAAAAATCCTGAGGATCCATGTGGATCCATGCTTTGTAACCGCATTTTTGCACCACTGCAGGCCCAGGCAACAGTGGGTGCGTGATTTTTTTGGTGCAAGCTGTAGCCATGGACATGCTATGTGATCTGATGGTGAATTTGGGGTGACCCAGTGCAAAAATCCTGAGGATCCATGTGGATCTGTGCTTTGTAACCACGTTTTAGGTGGGGAGGGAAGGAAAAGCACTCAAGGGACAAGGAGCACATGTGGGGTGTGTGGAGAAGGATGCTGCTAATAATGCAGGCGAGGGGTTTAAGGGGAGAAGGAACACGGGTGGGGTGGGTGGAGAAGGATGCTGCTAATAATGCAGGCGAGGGGTATAAGAGGAGAAGGCTCCTCTCCTCTCCCGTTTTGCTCCTTTGAAGCAAGCAGGCTCTGCTTCTCTCCCACCTCCCCGGCTTAGCGAGCTGAAAAACTTTGCTGCTATTAGCAAGCTGAGTGGGGAGGAGAGAGGGACAGAGAGCCTGCTTGCTTTAAAGGAGCCAACTGGACAGGAGCCGCTTACACTCGTGTAAGCGGCTCCTCTCCTCTCCCGCTTTGCTCTTTCAAAGCAAGCAGGCTCCCTGTCCCTCTCTCCTCCCCACTTAGCGGCTCTTCTCCCGCTTTGCTGTTTCAAAGCGAGCCGCGGAGGAGGGAAGGAAGGGGAACCATGGATCCTATGCTCACGACTGCAGCAGATCCCCCTGCCATCCGTAGGCATTCGCTCCATAACACGCACAGACATTTCCCCTTACTTTCTAGGAGGAAAAAGTGAGTGTTATGGTGCAAAAAATACGGTAATTGAAGCTTACTGCATAAAGCAGTTATCTTGGATGTGTTTTAGGTTGCAGAATGCATTTCGAAGATCGGACTGGTTGTTGTAGGGGACAACATTTTTATAGAAGCCAAACGTATAGTTGTGCTTGATTTCTTGCCACCTCTTCAGGTGTTCATTCAACAGGCCACTCAACAGAATAATCAAGGCTGTCTAATTAGTACATACATTAGAGAACACCTTGTCCCAAAATGGAATAAACTGTAGGAAGGAGCTTGCTGCTGATATGTATTGGGGTGTTCTTCTATATGTATAAAAAGTAACATTTAAAATATTTATTATTTTATCTTGCAGCAAATTGACTATTTGGTGAGTCAGTATGACACTACCAAGAAGAAAGCACTTTCTGACCTTAATAGTAAGTATCATCAACAGCATTTCATTGGAGTACTTAAAACTTTCCTTAGGGAAACCACTGTTCTCTCAATCTCAGCTCCCCTGCATGAAATTTGGAAACCTTACAGCTGAAATACATCATATAAATTCTAAATACAAGTTATAATAACCAAGAATATACTGAAGTATTAAATAGCAGGTTTATGTGTTAACAGTTATTACCAAGATCTGAAACAAACTTGTGGTTGTAAGTGGATTATGTTAAACACCAAGAAAAATTATTTGGGTAATATCCAGCTAAGTTACCTGGAGTAAACCCATTGAAAACCCATTGGACGTAAAGTTACTTGAGTCCATTGATTCCCGTCAGTCTATTCCGCCTATGACTAACATTGAATATCACCCTTTATAATGAAACAACATTAGCATTGCTTTGCTCCAGTCGTGCTCAGTTTCAGCTAGAAAAGTAAATTCTTATCTGCTTTTTAAAGAAGGGATTCTCTGTGTGTTCCTTAGGGAATTCTCTAGCACAGCATGAAAGTCATACCTGAGCTCTTGAAATGGAGCGTATGCATGGATATTTTTCATGCGAGATAACAAGCAGAAGAGAACCACTAGCTACTGTAATTTTTATCATTTATTAGAATTTAGAATGCAAACCCTTGCCATTTTATGTAAGCATCTTCAAGGTGACTTGCAAGCATTAAAAAAAAACCTATTAAAATAAACAACAATAAAACCGTTGGGATAAAAGCAGCAAAAACTGCTAGAAACTAGTAAAGAGATTTTTTAAACCATTAAAAGCACAGGGAAATTGGGTTAACTCTGACTGATGCCAGGTAAACATCTTTAGGGAAGGAGTTTGGGTTATATACCATGGACAAGAGCCTCAGAGTTTGCATCCACATTGCAGGATAAAACAGTGGTTCTCCAAATAAAGGCATTCTTCCCTAAAGTGGAACATGCAGTTGCCGGAGGAGAAATGAGATCTCCCCCAAATTTCAAGGTGGCAAAGACTTCAGGACAGGGAGGAGGCATCTGTCTTTATTCCTTTTGATCTTCATGATCTCAGGCCTAAAAATAGGGTGACCATGAGCAACTGAACTGCCATGCTTCAATAAATATGAGGTCTGTTCGTACAGTTTCTCTTTAAAGACATAACACTAAAAGGAAAATTTGCCTTTGCAACCTACTGTTGCTTGAAAGTCCTAATGATGGGAGTACTGGCAGTTGGCGTATTCTAGGTGGGTCATTTTAGCTTAGGAAGTCTCTTCAGAAAGAGGAGGAAGAAATACTTTTCAATGATTTCTATCTCAAAAAGCATGAGGACGATACTTGTTGTTTAGTCGTGTCCGACTCTTCGTGACCCCATGGACCAGAGCCCACCAGACACTCCTGTCTTCCACTGCCTCCCGCAGTTTGGTCAAACTCATGCTGGTAGCTTCGAGAACACTGCCCAACCATCTCATCCTCTGTCGTCCCCTTCTCCTTGTGCCCTCCATCTTTCCCAACATCAGAGTCTTTTCCAGTGAGTCTTCTCTTCTCATGAGGTGGCCAAAGTACTGGAGCCTCAGCTTCAGGATCTGTCCTTCCAGTGAGCACTCAGGGCTGATTTCCTTCAGAATGGAGAGGTTTGATCTTCTTGCAGTCCATGGGACTCTCAAGAGTCTCCTCCAGCACCATAATTCAAAAGCATCCATTCTTCGGCGATCAGCCTTCTTTATGGTCCAGCTCTCACTTAGACGATACTAAGGCAGCCAATACTCAACTGTCCTTCAGCTGCAAATTGTGTCATGGTTGCAAATAGCACTGCAACTTTTAAATCCAGTGCAATCAAATGACAGCGCTCTTCCTGCTTCCAGTTTTCATTCTTGATTTTTTATGGGGGGGGGAATATAAAAGATACCAGCTCTATGCAGTGTAAAATGTGCTAGTCCAGTCCACTAGCATTTAATCATTGCATGCCATGTTGGTGATGCCTGTGGTGATCACACAGGGTCCCCGGATGTTTCACCGTCTATTGATCCCTGTGCCACCACTTTATTTCTCGCTGCCACCACCCAGGCCCTACCAATACAATATTGAGTCCAGTCAGGGTTAAATTGAAACATAAACTTTTGTTTATTTATTGCAGTTTAACAAGCGTGTGGTTTCATAAACAGTATCAGTCAATTACATTCATGGGGTGCCTATCCAGACCTATAACTTCCGCTACCTGCTCTCACTCACTAAACCACCTCTCAGATATTTACTCGTCTTCCTAGCTCCTAACTGTTCCTGACTCAGCCTATTTCACTACACTAACTCAACCTACCCACAGACTCTATCCCAGTTCACTCCCACTCCAACCAACTCCCAACAAACTCTTCCACGAACTCCCCCCAGAGCTGGTTTTATAGTCCCTCTGACTCCACCCCCCTGGGTCCTGATTGGGTAACTTGTTTAACTATTTCACCTCCAGCACTCTCATGTTAACGTCACAATGTCCAACTGTATCAAGCAGCCATTTAGATCGGATTATTTCTTCCTGTGTCCCTTTCTAACAGATGTTGGGCCATTGCTTGGGAGAAGAGTGCAAGAGCAGCTGGCAAAGGAGGTGCGCCCTGCGCTCGATGGAGCCCTAACCATGGCAGGAGGTAAAGAGACCACTGTCATTGCCAATCCCCTTGTCCACTTCATAAGTTCTGCTGGGAGCTTCTGCAATACGGCCGGGATCAACTCATTTTATGCTCCCCGGGCTCCCAAGTTGGTTGAATGCCAGCCCCCCATGCAGCTTGGACTGCACACACTTCGAAATATTTCTTTATGTGTTCGTAATGTAGTCCTTTGGGTTAAAAATCCACAAGACCATCATTTATTTATTTTAATAAATTAAACTTTTAGGAGTGTGCAGCTGCTTAACCTTGCTTCACCTTTTCCCTGAATGGGATTCTGGAGGTGTGACTGTCACATCATGGGTTAAACCAGGGGTAGGCAACCTAAGGCCCGGGGGCCAGATCCGGCCCAATCGCCTTCTCAATCCGGCCCATGGATGGTCCGGGAATCAGCGTGTTTTTACATGAGTAGAATGTGTCCTTTTATTTAAAATTCATCTCTGGGTTATTTTTGGGGCATAGGAATTTGTTCATTTCCCCCCAAAAAATATAGTCTGGCCCACCACATGGTCTGAGGGATAGTGGACTGGCCCATGGCTGAAAAAGGTTGCTGAACCCTGGGTTAAACCCAGTGCTTTTTTTCCCTTAAAAAAATCTTTAGGGGTACAGTGGTACCTCTGGTTAAGAACTTAATTTGTTCCAGAGGTCCGTTCTTAACCTGAAACTGTTCTTAACCTGAGATACCACTTTAACTAATGGGGCCTCCCGCCGTGCCACCACCACACGATTTCTGTTCTTATCCTGAAGTAAAGTTCTTAACCCGAGGTACTACTTGTGGGTTAGCGGAGTCTGTAACCTGAAGCGTTTGTAACCCAAAGCGTTTGTTACCCGAGGTACCACTGTACTCTCATTTTGACTCAAGAAAACCACCATTTTATAGTTCAAATCTGGAAAAGTAAATACAGTAAATGGACAAAAGTACAGAGATTCACAAAATGTTTAAGAGCATGCTTACCCCTGCATCCCCAAGGAAAAAAACACACTGGGTAAACCGTTCTGAAACCTCTGGGTTTAGGGTGGTATATAAATTCAAATAACAATAACAATAATGGCAGTTTTGGGGTAGGTGGAGACAAAGTTAGGGCTGGGCAATATCTGGTTTTCAACATTGCAATTTATCACCAGCTAAGCGTTGCCATATATTGATACATCACAATGTCTGAAATAAGGATGGAGCTGTGAAGAGGCTGGCTGGCTTCATGGTTTTTCCCACATCATCATTTTTGCATAGCGCGCACACACACGCACACCATGACTCGCAATATATTGCCAGGTAAAAAATTATGAAACCAATATCACAATACAGACTTCAAAACAGTTTTGGACAATACACTTTCAAGGTGTTTGGAAGCTTAAGTTCCCAGACCTGGTTCTGCTGCCAAAACCATAGTTTCAGATATGGTGTGTAATAATAATAATAATAATAATAATTTATTTATACCCCACCCATCTGGCTGGGTTTCCCCAGCACCTTTGGGTGGCTTCCAACCAAATATTAAAAATACATTAAAACACCAGACATTAAAAACTTCCCTAAACAGGGCTGCCTCCAGATGTCTTCTAAACATCAGATAGTTGTTTTTTCCTTTGACATCTGGTGGGAGGGTGTTCCACAGGGCAGGTGCCACTACCGAGAAGGCCCTGTGCCTGGTTCCCTGTAACTTCGCTTCTCGCAGTGAGGGAACTGCCAGAAGGCCCTCAGCGCTGGACCCCCGTGTCCGGGTAGAACGATGGGGGTGGAGACGCTCCTTCAGGTATAGTGGACCGAGGCTGTAATTAGACTCTATTCTGTATGAAGGTAATGTCCTGGTACAAGATACCTTAAATGGTTTTGTGTCAATGGAGAGGCATCTCTTTCTCTCTATGATTATTATTATTTTGCTGTGTGTTGGCAACTGTGTTTGCATACCTCACCAAAACCTTTTCTCATTCTCCGCTCTTTGCTTTATTTCTCTGTTTGTCTTGAAGTCAAAGTGGAAAGGGCCATTAAAGGTAAAATATCACAAATGACTCGTGTTAAATGTCTTCCTTGCTTAATCCCCCTTGTGCAGTTTGTTTCGTTGTCATCTTTCTTTTTTGTTCAACCCTTTATTGTTTTGGCTCCATAGGACGGATCCCAAAAGCAAAGGCTAACCAGTTATCGGCTGCAAACTATAGCTAATATACTCTGGGAAATAACTCTGATGTGGAGTTAAGCAGGCCGTGGATTGAAGCTATAGGACTTGTAGTCTGTGGGTAATAACTTGTACACCAGAGCTTTCCAAACTGTGTGTCGCAACACGTTAGTGTGTCAGATGCAGTGTGAATGTGTGTTGTGTGAAGGCTCCTTGCACTCCTCACAGGGCTGGAAAGAGGTTAGTTTAACCTCTGATTTGCTGGTAAAACTGCATTACTGTGTTGCAAAATGATGCATGCCATTAACGTGAAAAGTTTGGAAAGTTATGTTGTACAGTGTCAGTTCAGCATAGCAGATACAGTCGTACCTTGGTTTTGGAACAGCTTAGTTCTCGAACGTTTTGGCTCCCGAATGCCGCAAACCCAGAAGTGTTCCAGTTTGCGAACTATTTTTGGAAGCTGAACGTGTGACGGGGCTTCCGTAGCTTCCAAGTGGCTGCAGGAGCTTCCCGCAGCCAATCAGAAGCCACGCTTTGGTTTCCAAATGTTTTGGAAGTTGAGCAGACTAGTGAAACGGATTCCGTTTGACTTCCAAGGTACGACTGTATATGGATAATGGGAGTAATGGCAAGCTAGCTAGAGTTCACAGGCAAGTGCACTGGTTTTGTTTCTCTTGCAGTAAGCAAGTTGGGTTTTGGCTGGCAATAAATTGGATGAACAGGAATGGGAGGAAAAACATTTTTAGGGTAACAAAAAATGGGGGGATGTTGTTTCCCTTCTTCGTGTTTTTCCCGGTGCAGACAATAGTCAGCACTTAACAATGGTTGATGGCCGTCATGGCTTCTTGCTGCTTTAACCCTGATTAATATTGTGAAATGTCCAGTGAAACCATTTATTTTTGGACGAATCCCAGGGGGCATGCAAAGGAAGTGAGACTTGCCTGTCACTTTGCAGCCAGAGAGGCTAGAATGCTGGTTAACACAACTACAGTTAATAAACACACTTCAAACCATTGTTTCATGTGATCAGTTGTTAATTATGGATTAGATATTAGATATGGATATAAAAGCTTGCAATAATATGTTTATTTCAGTGGAAGTAGACATTGTAGCTTATTTGGCATCTAGAAGCTCCTGAACTTGTTCCGCTACCCTTGAAAAGAGCTTGCTTGGCCCCACTTAGCAAGCAACCAAGCAGCAGAAAACTGCAGGGACAGTTTACTTGCCAGCAGACAAATTCAGGAGCGGGTCTTGAGGCTCCAGTCCACCATCCCTTACGTGCTTTGTAAATGGCCGTCCTAGAGAAACTGGTGCTAACTGGGGCTCTAGTGATAGAACATGATTAGAGGACTTCGGTAACCAATGTGGCTTGTGAATTTCAATCTCTCCTTCCAGAACTGTGTTGTTCTCTTAATTGTAGTATTGGTACATTGATCTGGCAGTAGTCCTTTCTGTGTAGCTAGATGATGCACAGAGCTGGTGTCTAAGCCATATGGTAGGGTTGCCAAAATTGGAGAGCAAAAAAGAGGACAGCCTGAGTCAGGGAAAGAGATGTGCAGGCGCGCGAAGCCACCGCATCTTCATGCCTCTTTTCCCAGCTCGGGCTGGCAGCTGCTATAGCATACAGAGCAGCCCCAGCCCAAGCTGCCCAAGCCTGAGCCCACCCCCCAAATTAAAAAAACACCCTGTACATTTCCTTTAAAATGTAAAAATCCACCCGGATTGGAATGTTGCCCCCCCCAAAAGAAGACATGTCCAGGTTTTCCCGGACGTATGGCCACCCTACCATATGGCTAAAGTTCTTGGGTGTTTTTTTGTTTTGTTTTGTTTTGAATTCAATCATCCCAGCTATTCGAGAAACAAAGGAGGCTTTGGAGAACGTGAGCGTGTCTGTGGAGGTCTTGCAGGAGGGCACTGAGAGGCTGCATGCCAACCTGACAGATGTTAAAGAGCACCTGATCAACACACTCGGGGATTCTGCTTGCACAGCTGCCCAGGCAGCATCCACCTGCAACGTCATCAGGAATTCCTTAGATCAGCTAAACATCAATGCCAACTTCAGCAAGGTAAGGGAGATATTCCATCAGCATTCCACCAGTTCTTCTCAGCGGCCTAATTCTCACTCGGAAGCCAGCCTTTTTTCTGGCCATTGAATGAATGAATGAATTTGCACGTCACCCTTTGTCTGAAGTTCTCGGCATCAAAAAAATACAAAATAAAAAAACAAAATGCTTAGTAAAAAATTGGAGCAACAACAAAACAATCGCACCTCCCAGAAACACATTTAAAAGGCCATAGAATGTCAATCAGCCAAAGGCCAGGCTATGGAGAAACATTTTCACCTGGTGCCTAAAGATGTATAATGGAGGCATCGGGCAAGAGAGAGACTTCCAGAAATGGGGAGCCACTGCAGAAAAGGCCCTCTGGATCTCTAATGGGGGAGGCACATGAAGAAGGGCTTCTGATGATGATTACAGAGACCAGGTCAGTTCACTCAGTCTATTCAGGCTGAAGGTAGGGCCTCATGTGACCAAGCACCTTTCCAGACAAAAATGCTCATTGGGACATGGAAAACAAGGTGCTAATGAGTAGGGGTGGTTCTCGTCTAACCTTCTCTCTGGTGTGCAAGTTTTTCCTTGACCAGAGAATGTTTTTTATGTGCAGGAAAACTCATGTGAGCCCCTATTTGCAGTCTGATGTGGTACACCATGGGTTTACCATGTCAGTGAGACCTAGGCCAGCATAAAAAAAGGTAAAGGTAAAGGACCTCTGACAGTTAAGTCCAGTCACGAACGACTCTGGAGTTGCGGCGCTCATCTCACTTTACTGGCTGAGGGAGCCAGAGTTTGTCCTCAGACAGTTTCTCCGGGTCATGTGGCCAGCATGACTAAGCCGCTTCTGGTGAACCAGAGCAGCACACGGAAACGCAGTTTACCTTCCTGCCGGAGTGGTACCTATTTATCTACTTGCACTTTGACGTGCTTTCGAACTGCTAGGTTGGCAGGCATAGCACCTCCTTAAAAACACTCCACCCTTTAGAAACCTCTTCCATATTGATTTGCCTTCTGTGGAGCCTTTCTTCCTGGATAGCTCAGTTGGTAGAGCACGAGTATCTTGATCTCAGGGTCGTGGGTTTGAACCCCATATTGGGCAGAAGATTCCTGCAAAAGATTCCTCACGGTCCCTTTCGACTCTAAAATTCTGTGATTCTGTGTTGCAGCAGACTTGGGATCATATTTTAGAATGTATTCTCAGCACATGCAGGGCAGCTGCCAAGTACACAACATGCCCAGTGCTTTTCAGGGGCTGGATATTGTAGGGGAAGGTTGGTTGTTGTTGTTTGCCATTATTTAACCATTTTTTGCGGGAGAGGGAAGCCCACAGGATGATATTGGGGATTACAGTGAAGCTGAACAAATGATGCAAAGAACAAAGGAAGACTTGACTTTACAAAAAAATGATGCACAGACTAAAACTAACTTTAACATCTCTTTTCTTCCCTTCAGTTGCCGGGAGTGAATGCTCAACTTGCCAAAGTCAATGAAGTCCTTAAAACAGACCTCTCTAGTCTGGTTCAAAAGGTATGTTACTAGAAGGTATAAATCCATTTACTCTAATTACAGGGTAACACCTGGTGCTCAAGAAGCTGTCGAAATTTGCACCTTAAGAAAAGGTGTCAGCAAATAGATGCTCCAGGTATCTTTGTGTACCAAGGAACATAGGACAAGGGGAGGTGCACAGCCTTTGTGCCAATGTTACCCTTTCCTAAAGTAAAATTGGAGGCATGCCTTATTTATTAAATTTCTATCCCACCTGCTGATTCAAAAGGACTCCCATGGCAGCTTACAAACAAACAAACAAAAAAACCACTACATTGGGGGTGTTTTACCTGCTCTGGTACTTACAGTGAGGGAAAAAAGTATTTGATCCCCTGCTTAATTTGCCCATTTGCCCTCTGATGATGAAATGACCATAATTTTAATGGTAGGTTTATTGTACCTGTGAGAGACTGTGAGGTCCCCTTGCTCAAGACGGCACATGTACAGGCTCGTCTGCAGTTTGCCAGTGCACATCTGAATGACCCAGAGGAGAACTGGGTGAAAGTGTTGTGGTCAGATGAGACCAAAATCGAGCTCTTTGGCATCAACTCAACTCGCCGTGTTTGGAGGAGGAGGAATGCTGCCTATGACCCCAGAACACCACCCCCACTGTCAAACATGGAGGGGTACATATTATGCTTGGGGGGTGTTTTTCTGCTAAGGGGACAGGACACCTTTCCCACATCGAAGGGACAGTGGATGGGACCATGTATCGTCAAATCTTGGGTGAGCACCTCCTTCCCTCAGCCAGGGCATTGAAAATGGGTCGAGGATGGGTATTCCAGCATGACAATGACCCAAAACACAGGGCCAAGGCAACAAAGGAGTGGCTCAGGAAGAAGCACATTAAGATCCTGGAGTGGCCTAGCCAGTCTCCAGACCTTAATCCCATCGAAAATCTGTGGAGGGAGCTGAAGGTTCGAGTAGCTACACATCAGCCTTGAAATCTTACTGACTTGGTGAGGATCTGCAAAGAGGAGTGGGACAAAATACCTCCTGAGATGTGTGCAAACCTGGTGGCCACCTACAAGAAACGTCTGACCTCTGTAATTGCCAAGAAGGGTTTTGCCACCAAGTACTAAGTCATCTTTTGCAAAGGGATCAAGTACTTATTTCACTCATTATAATGCACATCAATCTCTGACTTTTGTCTTCTGGGTTTCTGGGGGTTTTCCTGTTGTTATTCTGTCTCTCACAGCTACAATAAACCTACCATTAAAATTATGGACTGGTCATTTCTTCGTCAGAGGGCAAACAGGCAAATTTAGCAGGGGATCAATTCCCCGCCCGCCCCCTCACTGTAGCATCAGACCTGGAGCCAGACGCATTTAAATCTCCCACCTGCAGACAAGGGATGTGAATGGCAGGGCAGACACAATTGTGGATGCCTTTCTGTTGATGTTTAGAGTGTCAGTGCAATTGCTAGGCCTCTAAGTTATCTCTGAAATCCCCCCATGGGTTGCAACAAGGCATGCCAGCTTGACATACGTTTCCATAATCCACATAAGCAAAAATATGCATTCCATATAATACACAGGCAGTTCAGGGCAATGAAGCTCATAGATTCTTCAAAGAAGCATTATCCCTACACACCTCCAAGAATGCGTAAGCCAAGTATTCTATAATGATGTCTACTCGTGATACCACCCACCCCACTGTGAAGACATGCTGGGAGAGCAAGCATGCACATGTCATTTGTGTGATTAGGCATCTGTGTGAGAACTGAGGTCTCCACATTGTTTGAAGTGTCTGATAGGAGAGAGAGGAGTTCTCTCTAGCACCATGGGAAGGCTGTCACTGGTAGCATGAACCAGACGTATAGTGAGTGTGCATCAGCACTATGGAAGCTTGCGGTACAGTCTGATAGAATAAACCCAGCTTCCAGGTTAGCCCAGCTTCCTTTGTAAGAAGCTAACTTTAAAATGTGGTGATATAAACTTTTTGGGTGTGTCCCTTTTAAAGGGTAGAAATAAGCATACTGATATTTTGTTGTCAAGACACTGCTGGACATCTCAGTTTTTTATTCCAGGGTTATGCAGCGTTTAATGATACACCTGATTTGGTGCTCAATCAGACAAGGAACATTTTATCAGGTAAGGAGGATGAGATAATTAGTTCTCCAACTGGATTGGTTAAAATTATTGGCATGAGCTATCATTTTAGTATCATCTGTTTTTTAATTAGGGAAGTTTTTATCTAAATCAGAACTATTAAAGAGAAGCCATTAAAATATAGGTTGCTCCTTGGGCAATGCTTAATCATAATATTGACTACTTTTTTTATTGAAGAAGAGTATTTCCTTGATTGCGGTGGTTGAGGGAGATCTTCACTGCATCAAGGCTATGGCAAAGGCTTCATTCCAGGGAAAGAAGAAGGAAGAGATGGATGGGTGGTTGGTTGGTGGAGGAGTCAGTAATCCAACCATCACTTCTTAGTAGCTGACCCAGGAGCAGTGGAATGCCATGATCTGAAACACTCTCCCAGCTAGGAGAGGAAATCGTAGTCTAATCTACTCACAAGTGAGGCTTTGTTGATAAGATGAAGGGAAGGGGCACCAAAATGTGGCTTAAAAGTGCTGACTGTGTCCATACAATGGAGGGAGAGGTCAAGGAGCTCTTTGGGTGAAGGCAATTGTGGAGGATGTCAAGTAGCAGAAGGAACATGAGTAATGTGGGAGGGGAGAGAGGGAAGGTTGGAAGAAGAGTGTAAGGATCTTACTGTGGTGTGGCAGTGGTGAGGTACACTCCCCCCATCTTTGTACACTGACATAAGACCAAAAAAACACAATGGCTTAGCACTAGCATTCAGTCTTAGTGCAAGGTAAGGGTAAAGGGTAAAGGGACCCCTGACCATTAGGTCCAGTCATGACCGACTCTGGGGTTGCAGCGCTCATCTTGCTTTAGTGGCTGAGGGAGCCGGCATACAGCTTCCGGGTCATGTGGCCACATGATTAAGCCACATCTGGCGAATCAGAGCAGCGCACGGAAGCGCCGTTTACCTTTCTGCTGGAGCAGTACCTATTTATCTACTTGCACTTTGACGTGCTTTTGAACTGCTAGGTTGGCAGGAGCAGGGACCAAGCAACGGGAGCTCACCCCGTTGTGGGGATTCGAACCGCCGACCTTCTGATCGGCAAGTCCTAGGCTCTGTGGTTTAACCCACAGCGCCACCCACGTCCCTTCAGTCTTTGTGTAGGATCCCTTAAATCATGGGTGGCAATTTTCTCAATTTTCAGTGGCCATTCTGGTCTCTAGATAGTGGTTCAGAGGCCAGAGGTCAGCCTTCATAATAAAAAGCATAAGCTAGCCAAGAATGTAGATGGGAGGAGAAATTGGACATTCTTAACATGGAGGTGCTCAAATTGTTGGGAATGGAATATGGGCAGACGTAGCCCATCTCGATGAGGTTCCTTGCCTCAATTCTTCTTGCACCCCATGCCGTCTAGCGGCTGCTACCTCTCCTCCAAGGAAGAACCCCAGCCTTCACTTTGGAGAAGATGGGAAGGCTGCAACCTCAGGAGGAAAATGGCACTCTGTGCAAAATGGGTAGCCTGCTGGGGGCATGCCAATCTTTGTTGGAGCCTCTCTGGCACCTGCCATTCTGTTTCTCTTCCCCAAGTCATAGGGACTTCTTTATTGCTTTGCTCTGGAGAAGAGGGGACGCGGGTGTCACTGTGGGTTAAACCACAGAGCCTGGGACTTGCTGATCAGAAGGTTGGAGGTTTGAATCCCCGCCACGGGGTGAGCTCCTGTTGCTCGGTCCCAGCTCCTGCTAACCTAGCAGTGCGAAAGCACGTCAAAGTGCAAGTAGATAAATAGGTACCGCCCTGGCAGGAAGGTAAATGGTATTTCCGTGCACTGCTCTGGTTCGCCAGAAGCGGCTTAGTCATGCTGGCCACATGACCCAGAAGCTGTACGCCGGCTCCCTCAGCCAATAAAGCGAGATGAGCGCCGCAACCCCAGAGTCGTTCGCGACTGGACCTAACAGTCAGGGGTACCTTTACCTTATGCTCACAACCGATATTAACTTACCATGCTAACATTCAGAAGTTCATGGATGTTGAAAAGGTTTTCCAGGCGAAAACCTTTTCCAACTGGATCTAATGGTATGGGGTCCCTTTACCTTTACCTGGAGAGGAGAGACTGCCACACCAGCAAAAGAGGGCTGGCATTAGCACTCTCTGAGAGTTGAACTGTTGGCAAATGTTTTTCAGGACACAAATGCAAGACTGTTTGTCCATTTCTAGCAAGAGGGGGCTCATGGCTTAGGAACATGGGTGCCATAGGCATAACACTGTTTACAAGTAGGCACATTTAGAAATGATATACACGTCACAAATAAAACCTGAAGAAATGTAGACTATCTCTTAATAATTGCAGGTTTCTTCCTTTTCAGTTAAGCTCTGCACTAACCCATAAATGTTCCAGAACTAAGCCCCCAAGCACTATTAAAATAGCTAACATGCTAGCGTTTTCCAGATGGGCATGGGTTGGTGTATCCAGAGTGCGAAAATATTTATTAACCTCTCTCAATTTTTATTCTTGCATTGTGGACCTGTTCTACCAATATAACCAGCCGTACCTTGTAAGTTTGCAAAAAGCAATTCACAGTATGTATATACGCATATGGCATACTGTGCAACTCATCAAGAAATGCCAAGCTTTTTTCCCCAAAATGTCATGTTCCTCCTTAATTTTTCAACCTGGGGGACTTTCAAAGCAAGATCATTATTTCTCAGTTACTATTAATATGCATTAAGCTTTAATAATCTTCATGCTCCTGTACCTGAGAAGGGGAGTAAAAGCAAAGGGCAGAATTATAACAAAACTAAGCTTGTGAAGCACCACTGTTTTCATTCTTCCCATTGAAATTATTGGGACTCGAAACTGTTCAGCACTGGGTGAAGACAGACATGACCTGTATAGAGTGGTGGGAACAACGGTGGAAGTAGAAAGGCCTACATTGGCTCCCAGTACGTTTCCGAGCACAATTCAAAGTGTTGGTGCTGACCTTTAAAGCCCTAAATTGCCTTGGTCCAGTATATCTGAGGGAGCGTCTCCACCCCCATCGTTCAGCCCAGACACTGAGGTCCATCTCCGAGGGCCTTCTGGCGGTTCCCTAATTGCGAGAAGTGAAGTTTCAGGGAACCAGGCAGAGGGCCTTCTTAGTAGTGGCGCCCGCCCTGTGGAACACCCTCCTGTCAGATGTCAAGGAAATAAACAACTATCTGACATTTAGAAGACATCTGGAGGCAGCCCTGTTTAGGGAAGTTTTTCATGTCTGATGTTTTAATGTATTTTTAATCCTTTGTTGGGAGCCGCCCAGAGTGGCTGGGGAAACTCAGCCAGATGGGCGGGGTATAAATAATAAATAATAATTTTTATAATTATTATAGAAGTTGACTCCTTGCGAACCCAGACGCACACCCCCTCCCCCAGGAGCCAGGCCTCACGTTGAAAGGAAAAGACACGACAACATATATCTGGGATTAAAATGGCCACAACTTTATTGAATTCAAGTGTAGGAACGCCCTGCAAGGGGCATTGGGCAGGTATCCCTCTCAGCCTTCTGCTGGGCGTCTGAGGCATGACAGGGTCAGTTAGCAGTTTATGGGACCAACGCAAAGCGCGGGTTTATGCAGCTGGTCCCTCCCAAATCGCTGAAGGTAGCTCTGTGGCCCCTCTGCCGTGCACTTGTGGACAGAGACCACCCTCACGACCCCTCTAACGGGGTACCCTGTTATCACCGTCACAGGAAGTGGGTGAGTCACCATTTCACCCCTTCTTCAGATGTTTGACTAAAGGATTCTGCCCAAGGTCTAAAGCACCAAAGTTCTGACAATTGCTATAGGGAAGGCAAAACCTACAGAGCAGGGGAAATTCCTCCCTGGCTCTGAAGACAGCAACCGTTGTACGACCAGAGCAACGCCAGCGTGCCTGGAAAGCAAAGGTTAGCTTGCAAGAAAATAAGATTAGAGTGTGGGTTGGGTGGGTGACACTCTGGGGATGACTGTGTAGCTGAGAGCAGCACCAGCCCCTTTTTGTACTCCTGGAGCAGAGTGAATGTGCTCTGATTGGCCCGTCCCACCAAGGCCACCATGGATTGGCCAGAAATTTCAAAACTGGGTTTGGCAGGAACCCAGCAGGCACTGTGGCGGCCCAGGAGCAAATATGGCATCGCTTTGGGAGGAGGGGGAACTGCCATGCCGAGTCGCAACTGCCACCGACCCCTTTACCGGGTAAGCGGCCGTTTCTGATTAACATACATTGTGTGCCATTTTCCATGTGGTTGATTTTTAAAAGGGGGAAGTCAGTTGTATAGTCATACCTCAGGTCACAGATGCTTCAGGCTGCGTGTTTTCAGGTTGTGCACCGCGCTGAACCCGGAAACACCGGAACTGGTTACTTCTGGGTTTCAGTGCTCGCACATGCACAGAAGCGCTAAATCGTGCTTTGCGCATGCGCAGAATTGCGACCCGCGCATGCGCAGACACGGTGCTGCAGATTGCGAATACTGTGGGTTGCGAACGTGCCTCCCGCACAGATCACGTTCGCGACCTGAGCATCCACTGTAGTTGATATTGATATAACTCAGTCCCTGAAGCAGTTTCCCAGTTATTCACGTTGCTTTTTCATTAAAGGTGATGAATTGAATGCATGTGCACAGGTGCACACACACACGTGTGTGTTATATAAAAATACTGGAAGATGGATGGATTTTGATTCGCTGGTGTTCATCTTCTACATTTCCCCTTAAATATGTCTGTCTGTCTTCACACTTGGTCTGACTCGCGTCCCATGCTTACAGCGGATTTAGTGCAGATAAATAAAATAAGTGAGAGCAGTTCCAAGTAATTTACTTCTCAAATAGAATTATTATGGCATGTTATCTCAGTGAAAAGAGATATACCTCGATTTGGGGGGCATGTGAACTCTAAGATTTCATGTAGAGACACTAAATTTTTGAAATGGGGTTCATTTTGGCATATGCTGACACAATGGTTGGATTTTAAAATTCAAAATTACTTTTAATGCATATTGAAAGTCACGGTTGCCCATTCTTTCCATCATAGGAACTTTAAACAGTGTGCTTATACTCCTTTTGCATGATATTGTTTTTCCAACAAAGTGGCATTAGATAGCTTTAAAAATATCTGCTGCTACTGTGTAGGCATTAGGGATGAAATTTATCATGTTTGTTGCACAGACTGATTGAAATTATTAGTAATTTAAAAGCAGCCAATGTTCATTATTTCTGTTTTCTGAGGTGGGGCTTAATGCAGCGCTCACTCTATGGGTCCGGATTACTTGTTACTTCCAGACACAACTCTCAGCCCACAGTGAATCTCCCTGTCTTGTGGTCCCACCCAATGCTGGGTTGAGAAAGTGGTAAACTGGGCTATGCAGTGTTTGCATACGTTAACTGTTTTTATTACTATTATTGGATGCTTAATCAGAGATTGTGTGCAAATAAACATGGTACAACCCAGTTCATGTATTACATTCTAGATTGGGTGAGGATTGCATGCATATCCGAAATGTGGACCAGATAGAGATTTCTCTCTAGAAAGTAAGAGGCTTATGGTAAATTGGGATTTGTTATGTACTGAAGTTCTCACCCTGGGCCAGCAGGGGGATACTGTAGATAGTTCAGATCCACATATGCAAATAAGGGATTGAAAGTGACGTTCAATGATTTCACTCAGTGTTTCAGCTCAGTGATTCAGCTCTGCTCAGAGGGTGGCTGCATCTGGCTCTGCTCTGTTGTCCATCCATCCCATCCTCGTCGTCAGTGTTAAGTTGTGGGTGAACATATCAGACAACACAGTGATTCTTCAAACAGCTCTTGTTTATTCACAGGCCAGAACAGAACTGAACTGAAGGGTTCAGCCAGCCTGCTTATATAGAGCTCCACTAGAACGCAACAGTAACCATTTTATGTAACTATCCAATCACTGAACGTCACTATCGATCCCTTATTTGCATATGTGGACCTGAACTATCTACAGTATCCCCCTGCTGGCCCAGGGTGAGAACTTCAGTACATAACACCTTTCAAGTTTTTAACCTGGCGATTATAATACTGAAACTGCCTAGAGAAGACACTCTATTCTTTGGTCTGGTCTCACTGAAGTGAGAAATCTGTGTCTGGGCTGTACAACTTCAAGAGATTCACACACACACACACAGCAAAATCTGAAGTGGAATATCCCAGACACAGGTTTACCAGTAGACCACAGTTTCAGTACACAGAAGCAGGAAACTGTGGCTTGCATCAACATGCGCTACATTTAGCACTACATTTGTATGTATGTTTTGTGTGTGTGTGTGTGAGAGAGAGAGAGAGAGATAGTGCACATTAAAACGCCATTTTACATTGAAATTGTGGCTTGCTTTTTTCAGTTTCACTCTTCTCTTCATGCCTTATTCTGTTGCCTAGAGCTGCAATCCAACAAGCTTTTTTTTTAGTATGTGACAAATCGTTTTATCTTGTGTAGCATTATAATAATCATCATAAACACACTCATTTATTTCAGATATTAAAAATGTACTGGAAGCTGTTGGTTCAAATATCACAAGCTTTACTAAAATGCTTCCCATCCACAAGATAATAGCAGACTTCACCCTATATCTTACTCAGGGTGAGACATATGCTCAAGAATATTTTCCAGTGGTGGAGCAGTATGATTTCTACAGGTACGTAATATTATCTGGATATTGATGCGCAAAGGGCCACACTGCAGTTAGTGTGCCAGCTCACATCCACATCATACATTAAAACACTCTTCTACCACTTAGCAGGCATGACTTCTCTCAAAGTATCCTGGGAACTGTAGTTTGTTAAAGGTGCTGAGAACTGTATCTGTGTGCAGCGTTTCCTAGCAACTCTCAGCACCCTTAACAAACTTTTGTTCCCAATATTCTTTGGGGGAAGCTGTGAGTATTGTAAGTGGTAAAAATGCATAGTGCGAGCACTGGGGATTAACACCAGTAAAACTGATACTAAACAGGTGACTGACAACTCAGCTGTACCACTGCAAATACAATGTTTTAAGTGTGTTGTAAAGTGCAATGTACAAATGTGACACCTGATGGCGATGGTGAGCTATGGCAAATTCAATATATTTTTCAAAACTTTTTTAAAAAAGCATTTTCACAGCGGTTTTTAATATGTGTGTAGAGTCCACCTTATACACAGTGTGGTGAAAGTATCTAGTAGGGTTGTGGATTGGCTCTGTATATATCCCAAATCACAAAGCAAATCTGGGTGTCTTAGGGAAGACTTTTGTGTTCCCAAATTGGATTGTGCTATGAACAAAATGTGTTGAAGCAGTTCAGGAAGTCCGCAACCCTCTGAATAGCTTTCTTTCCTTGGTTTATCCAAAATTTTGGAACACACAACCTCCCTCCACCCCCAATTTTCCCCTTTTCTTTTCTGACAAACGAAACCTAGGTGATTGTGTAAATGCACATATCTCAATGAGGGTGTGGAAATCTTATTTTGGTGGATTTTTCCAGTGCATTCCAATCACAGTGATTAAGAAGTAGGGGGTGCTGAAATAAATAAACAAAGCAGATTCTGTCACCTTGTATATATTTTTCTTCTTTCCATCTCATTTTAGGGTGCAGGACTCCAATATAGGCTTTCTAAAGCTGGTTTGAAGCTAAATTAGAGTATTCCAGTACTATAAATTCAAGGATGTACCAGTGACATTTTTTTTAATGTTTAAATGTTTGCATGCCTTTTTTCTCCCAACACACAACTGCTTTCTAGCTTGTAGGTTTTCTTATCCTGGATCTGTGTTTAAATTGCCCACTGCCATGCATGTTAATGTGACAATTGTATTTTTATTTATTTGTCTAGGTGGCTGGGTTGCTTAATTATCTGCTGCCTGGTGATATTGATCCTTGTGTTTTACTACCTGGGGTTGTTATGTGGTACCTGTGGTTATGACAAAGATGCCACTCCAACAACGAGAGGCTGTATCTCAAACACTGGAGGAAACTTCCTGATGGCGTGAGTCCTTCTTGTTTATTTCAGAATCTTCCCCAGCCTTACTCTGTCTATAACATTAGTGTCTCGCATCAAATATAACTGATCTGTAGCAAAGATTCTATGAACGGAAAACAGAGACAGCATAAGTACTTTTGTAATAACGAGAAAAATCTTTAATGAAAACATAAAAACAAAGAATGTCACCAGATTAAGAGGGCTGCATTGACAGAATAAGTTTGGAGACAAAAAAAGAAAGAAAAAGAAAGAAAACAAAAGAAATCCTTTTTGTTGCATCAATGGATGTTCTCAATATGGCGTGTGAGCTTTTGAATTCCTTCCTGAGGCAGGATATTAAATTATTTTAAAAATTAAAGGTCTTTTAAGCAAACACCGTTGATCCTTTAGAGAGCTGACTGAATTCTTAAAAAGATGGTGAGGGAGCCCTCTGCAGTCTAATGACATTAAAACGTGAGCCTTTCTAAAATATCTGATCTTTATACAGAGCAATGGAGGATACGTTGGAGAAAGTTAGTGTGGGTTCATGTGTCACAAATGATATTGTTTAGATGTGCATGCTATTTATACAGTCCTAAACATGTCACATGTAAATGTGACCAATATTTGCTTGCAGGCGCTTGTACCATACAGGTATGCTTCATCCCTGAACTCCAGGTGACTGCTCCATGTATACTTGGTGAGAAAACCAAGTTGGCTGTTGTGTGATTTATGAAGGGGCCCTTAATTAGATGTGAAGAATTAGAAGAAAAAGGGGGGAAAGATTAGAAAAAGCTCTATAGTGTCTGATCTGGCTAATTTCTTTAATAGAGAAAAGAATATTGAATCCTATTGCTGTGATGAAACTGCCTTTGGCAGCAAGCAACTATTTTTAAACCATCCTGGGAATTGAAGACTTCAGAAAAGCTAATGCTAATTAGGGTATAAAAGGAGTGTTTCACTGCAGTCTCTAAAGCAAACCTGTTTGAAGCAGGCGTTTCAAAATCCCTCTGAAGTCTCAAAGGAGGAAATCGAAAAGTGGGTGGAAGAGAGAACTTTTAAGCTGTTCCTCAAAGATTATTCTAATGCTTCCCCCCCCCTTGGGGTCCACTTATGGGAAAGTACTAAGGCTGCAATCCTAACCCCATTTACCTGGGATTAAAGGTAAAGGGACCTCTGACCATTAGGTCCAGTCGTTACCAACTCTGGGGTTGCAGCGCTCATCTTACTTTATTGGCCGAGGGAGCCGGCGTACAGCTTCCGGGTCATATGGCCAGCAGGACTAAGTCGCTCCTGGCGAACCAGAGCAGCACACGGAAACGCCGTTTACCTTCCCGCTGGAGCGGTACCTATTTATCTACTTGCACTTCGACGTGCTTTCAAACTGCTAGGTTGGCAGGAGCAGGGACCGAACAACGGGAGCTCACACCGTCATGAGGATTCGAACCGCTGACCTTCTGATCGGCAAGTCCTAGGTTCTGTGGTTTAACCCACAGCGCCAGTTGAGTGGGACTTACTTCTCAGTAGACATGGCTAGAATTGCACTGTAATGCTGTCTTCCTCACTTGAAAGGACAGATTGCTGCCAATTCCAACCCTTAGTCTGGAAGTTCTTGGTTCCTGTTACTCGAAAGCTGCGCTTGCCCCCAAGGTTCTGATTTGCCTCCTTGTTTTCACAAATTCTCATCACAGTTGACACTCTTCCCCAAACTGGGATGGGTCTCTGTGTGTGACAGATACAACAAATACTTGCTCATGTGAGCTTATAAGACAGCAATCTTTGCTAGGAATGCTATGGTATAAATTTGTGTGCCGTGCTTGTTTTATTAAGAATCACTTTGCTTGTCTTTGTTTTCCTTGTCACGATTCAGTAAGTTGATTTTAGTTGGTCCTTTTCAAATGACTCTTAAACCAACTCATATGACGTATTATTATTTTTCCCTCGTTTTGTTTCAGCGGAGTTGGATTCAGTTTTCTTTTCTCCTGGGTTCTGATGCTAATAGTAGTGGTCACTTTCATTACGGGAGGAAATATGGAGAAGCTTGTTTGTGAACCATTTGAAGACAGGAGTTTATTCAAAGTAAGATTCCTCATATCAAGGCCTTTAAGTGATCAACAACAATGGAAAAACACACTGAAGTCAGCATTGCCTTAGATAGCATAACTTCAACTTAGATAGCAACTTCAACTACACTAGATAATCATTTATATTTACATAGTGCTGTTTTTTGCTTAAAGCACTTCCTCTACTTCTTGTTATCCCATCAGCAGCGCTATAGGGTAAATTAGTAGTATTATCACCCTGTTGCAGTTTGGTGAATGGACCTGAGTGTGTGTGTGTGTGTGTGTGTGTGTGTGTGTGTGTTGTTCCTAGTAGAGGTGAGATCTGAACTTGGACTTTCAGGTTCCTACTTCAGTCTCTTTATAGCACCCTTCAGTCACTGTCAACTCAGAAGTTAGTCTCATTGAATTCAGTGGAGCTTACTCCCAGGTAAGTGGGTATAGGATTGTAGCCTCGTCATCCTATACCATCATCATAGTATAATCTGGTATAAGATGCTTCCTGTGTCCCTAATTGGCTTCTAATTGGCCTCAGTGCACATCTTAGTGACTATAATCTAGTCACTGTCAATTCTAGGTCACACTTAGGATACATAACAGTGAAGTCAGGGCTACAAAATAAATCTAGATTAATAACACATTCCAGAGGGGTTGTTATAGACCATGTCCAAAAATTGCATTGTTTAAAAGTGCCAGTACAGATCGTATGACTGGTTATAATTTTAAATGGGGGCAAATGCAAGCGAAACTGAATTTCAAAAGAAGTCTTCTTTCAGGTCAGCAGAGGACAATTCAAAAATTACATTTCTCCAAATCTCCAAGTCCATTCTGTCATTTGTAGATCCTTTCCCAGGTTTTTCACGAAATTTTGGGGAAGCTCAACAGCAAAGAATAAATTTGACTTACCAGACTTTTCACCTAAGCTGAGGGTTTTCTCTTTCTCAAATTGTTAAATTTCCTAAGCAACAATAAAATGTGTCTCACTTGGACGTAGCAAATTCTTGCTGGTCTCACGGCCTTCATATCATCTAAAACTTCTCATATCCTAAGACATTATTATTTTAATGAGTTCCTAATCAGTCTAAATTAGGTGATCAGATTATAGAAAAGGTGTGTGTTACCTATTTGCTTATAAAAGTTTGCAGCCTCAGGTTCTAAAACCAAACTCAGGATTGGTTTAAGTCTATAACCAATTAAGACATGAATAGATTGTGCATGATTTCTCTAACCTTAAGGTCCATGGTTTTTCTTGAAACCAAACTACATTAGACTCAAGAAATCACATGAGATGCTTCAATTTTATATGTAAAGCTCTTAGAATTGTGATGTAGAGAAAAAGAACATTGGTTTTTTCGTTGTTTTCCAGGTTTTGGATACGCCATATTTGCTGAATCAGCAGCTGAAATACTATCTTTCTGGAATCATTTTAAAAAATCCAAACATTGACTTGACATTTGAAAAAGTTTACAGGTAACTCTGCATGTCTTATGATATAAACAAATGCAGTTATGGCTTATTTGAAATTTTGCACTGCTACACGATTGAAGCTCATTGACTAAACTGAGGTTTACATGTTTCAAAATGTCACTAAAACTGCCTTTTTGTGAGACCTCCTCTTTTCCTGTCTTGGGCTGCAACTCCCTTGCCATATCATTTATTCTGTTATCACCAGGTTGTGCACTCTTTTCCTTTTGGGAGAAGACAGAGGCAAAGTAGATGTTGAGGAGTTCTCTGTCACCCAATAGTATTTCTCTTCTTCTCCACGCAGATCTTACCCCCACTTACTTGTTCTTCCTCCGACTTCAAACATAGACAAAAAGCCACCATTTTTATTATTTTTAACCTCTTTATGCAAGTCTGGACTCGTTCTGAGCTTTAGCCCACCTGACCTCCCTGCAATTGTTGACTACATGTGTCTTCTCCTCCTTCGTCATCTTCCATTTCTTATAGATGCCCCCCTTTAAATCTCTGCTCTCTCTCACACACACAAAAGGAAGCAAAATCAGTCAAGTACATATAAGTCAGAAGAGTCTATCAATAATAAAACTAGATTTATTGCCGAATCTGATTTCCTCATATTATTTCAATATAAATTAGTAGGACTCCTTCGGGTTTAGATGGGAATCAGCAAGGACAGAAAAATTGGGGGGGGGGAGTCTGTAGTGGACTGAAAGGAAGTCTAAGAAAATTCTGATTTTTCCCATATTGACTGCTTCAATGCTTTTTTTAAAAAAATGTTGAATTTTTTTTTAAAAAACCTCTTTTTGTGCACCTGCTTTGCTGGTGCCCTAAGCACATGCCTCTTGGGTAATCCAGTACCGCTGGCAGACCTCCACAACATATTGCAAACTGATTAGCTCCTTTCTGTTTCAAAAGAGGTGGTATATGGGTTTCCGAGGGAGGTCTGGTTGTGGATGTTTGTGAAACACAAGTGTTCCTCAGCCACCTGGAAATAGTTCTCAAGGACACCATTATTTCTCACAAGTGCATTTGTATATCTGGCATCCTTATCTAAAAAGGGGAAATTTTTTTTTTGTTTATTTTTTAAAATGATATTTATTAAAATTTCAAAAACAAAAAATTACATAGTTAAACAGAAAAGAAACAAGGAAAAATATATAAAAAAAGAGAAAAAAACATACAAAATACAGAAAAAAACAAAAAAAACACTTAAAAACAAATTAATCCTTCCGTATCTTACATTTCATTTCCTTGCTTCCCTGACCTCCTCTCACCTCCCTTTTTTGTATTCCAGTTCAATTGGTTAATTCAGCAATTCCTTTCCCTCTTTGTTTATATCTTAGTCCTTTAACTTAATATTTTATAACTTTAGATTCTCACCTATTAACCCCATTTTTACATACACCTTTATGACCTTGCTACTAGAACCACTTAATTTCATTCTAACATCATCTAACATTCATTAATTTTACAATATTTCTGTAAATAGTCTTTAAATTTCTTCCAATCTTCTTCCACCGACTCTTCTCCCTGGTCTCGGATCCTGCCAGTCATTTCCGCCAATTCCATGTAGTCCATCACCTTAAAAAGGGGGATTTTTGATGGCCAATGTTGCCAGCTATTTTTGTTAACCTGTTGGTGTTTATTTTACATGTGTCTTTAGTGACTGCAAGGAAAACAAAGGCCTTTATACTACCCTGCGCCTGGAAAACCTTTTCAACATCCATGAACTTCTGAATGTTAGCATGGTAAGTTAATATCGGTTGTGAGCATAAGGTAAAGGTAAAGGTACCCCTGACCGTTAGGTCCAGTCGTGAACGACTCTGGGGTTGCACGCTCATCTCGCTCTATAGGCTGAGGGAGCCGGCGTTTGTCCGCAGACAGCTTCTGGGTCATGTGGCCAGCATGACTAAGCCGCTTCTGGCGAACCAGAGCAGCACACGGAAACGCCGTTTACCTTCCTGCCGGAGCGGTACCTATTTATCTACTTGCACTTTGACGTGCTTTCGAACTGCTAGGTTGGCAGGAGCAGGGACCGAACAATGGGAGCTCACCTCGTCGCGGGGATTCGAACTGCCGACCTTCTGATCGGCAAGCCCTAGGCTCTGTGGTTTAGACCATAGTGCCACCCGTGTCCCGGTTATGAGCATAACCTATAGTATAATGGGTACTTTAGTGCTGAATGTCTGCAGTCTTCTTTTAAAAATAAATAACTTAGGTCATACCTGGATTTAGTTTATTTGTTCAGCCCGCCCGCCCATCCACTCCTCAGCTGACGTGTTACTTTTGCTGCCCCTCCGGTTGAGCTGAGTGCCATATTGATGAAAAATCAGCCCAAGCCAGCAGATCATGGGCAGGAAACCTCTTTCAGCCAAAGGCCTTCCTTCCTTCCTGGACAGCATTCCAGGGGCTGCAAGCCTATAGAACAGCCTTTCTCAACCTGTGGGTCCCCAGATGTTGTTGGACTACAACTCCCATCACCCCTAGCTAGCAAGGCCAGAGCTCAGAGATGATGGGAGATGTAGTCCAACAACATCTGGCATGTCCAAAGTCTGCTCTGGGGGCCTAATCCAGCCCACCAGTTGATTTAATCCGGTCCCCGTGGCAGTATATGTCCTAGGGTAAAATCCTAAAAACAGCTCAACAACTTTCGGGTAAAATTGTAAAGAAAGCTCAACAACTTCAAATCTAAAAAAAGCCCAACAACTTTGGGGTAAACTTCAATCCTAAAAAAAGCTCAGTAACTTTGGGGTAACTTTGTTCGGCCCTCACGCATGTTCACTTCATCAAATCTGGCCCTCTTTGAAAAAAGTTTGGGCACACCTGAATTTTATGGTGACGGCCATTTCTGGCCATTTCTGTACACTAGTTACTCACTGAATTTTGTCTGAATGAGGCAGTAGAGTCCTGATTTAATTAGAATAGGGTCTGGGTATTTCATAGCATGTAGAGAAGAATACATTTTTACATACAGTAAAAAAAATTTGTTAATAGAAAAGAAGCGTCTAGCACAGCACTTTCCTACAGGAATAATTTAAAAATAATATGAAATGAAATGATGCATTCAGAAAAAAATATTTCCTATCTGCAGTCTCAAGTGGTGATATTCTGTTTATTCATTTCAGAATGTTTTGTCCTGTCTTTCTTCTATGAAACACTCAAGGCAGTTAAAAAAATGGATAGAACAGAAAATGACAAACAATAACTTTACCACACTAGTTCTGCTGCATGTCAAGATGAAAGCTGTGTGTGTCTCAGATGAGAAGCTGGCAGTAGGGATTTTTCCACTTGCTGTTGTAAATGTTCTAACGTTTGGTGAGAGCTGCTTCCTCCTGCTTTTGTCTCCTATAGTACGCAGAAGATGTATCGCTGAAAATCAAGCATATTAATATAAATCTAAGCAATATAGTCTTGCTTGATGAGAGGGGAAAGGAGAATTTGATGAATTTCAGTTCCTCGGGAATAAATGAGATAAACTTTGCGGCGTATCTGTCAGAGGTAAGACAATGAGGAGGTAACTTCTGTTTTCATGTGGTGTAAAGAGGTTTTCCCCCCCAACCCCTCACCCCAGTAAATACAGGTATTTGACACCAAGGCATGCCTTTTAAAGATATAAGCGCTCGCCTGTATATACTCATCTCAAACTGCAATGAAATCACCATAAACCTTTGAAGCAATTGATTTAAGCTCTGTGTACTAGTGCTCCCTAGTGTGGCTTGAGAGAATGGCTAGTTCACCATGAGAAATAAATTCAGTATTGAATACACCTATTGGACTTTGGGTGTGCACCTTTTAGACACCTGCAAGGTCACATCTCTCTCACACTGGGAGACCAAAACTTCATTCCCTCCAAGGAGGTCATCCGCTGTGTATTTGCTGTGCAAGATGTTGTGTCTTTCTTCCAGCCTTTTCAGTTGTAAGACTCGAGTGTGCCTCCAGTTTTAATTCAGAACAACAATATTGCTCAACTACCAGAAGCCTAACAATCATCATTCTCTCAGTGCTACAATGATCTGATTTTTGCTTCTGTCTTGTGCAGATCAATAAGAGTGTTACCAAAGTGGATCTCTTGTCCTTTGCTAATGATTTGGAAGCACGAGCAGACCAATTGGTGAGTTTTGATTTGATCGACATGAAACTGTGACCAGAACGTGTTTATTCTGAATGGACTCTTATGTATTCCACTTTCCGTTGTTGAGGCGCGGCTGTAAATGGAAGAATATATTTTTAAAGTAGATATCTTCTTAGCCAAGCTCACCTAAAGCATTCTGATGACTTCCCTGGAAGACATGATTAATACAAGATGCTGTGCGTGTCCTTACAATGGGCCATATGAGCTAGCGAAGTAGGATGCCTGCGAAAGCAGAACGTGGGTGAATTTATCTGTACTTTATTTTGGCATAAAAATAATTGCTGGCAGTGGGCATTAATCTGAGTGGGCATTAACCTTTCCATGTTCCACCTGGCCAGTGTTGCTAACATGAGGAATAATGTCTTCCTGCTTGGCACTCACAGAGAGATCTCCCTTTGACATCTCATCCAGCAAAAAGGGGCAGAAAGCATACATTTGCTTCCAATAAGTATTTGTCCATAATTAAATATCTCAGTGGAGGGCGCCATTACACCTTTTGGTCTACTGGAAAAATAATTGACTTAAAGGAAAATGTATTTATCCCAATTACTGAATAAAAATTAAAGTTTACCAGAACATATTTTTCAGTATTTGAGCTTCGCTTTTTCAGTATTGCAAAGAGAAACAGCCGTGTGGGGAAAGTATCTAAATAACAACTCACAAGAATTGGTAGAAGGGCGTATATTTTCTTAGAACTTTAATGGCATTTTGCTGTTTCTGACACAGAATGAGAAATGACTTTGGAAAAGAAGACTTATTTATCTAGAATTGTAAGCTGTTTAGTAACTTGTTTGTTTGTCTTTGCAGCCTAAAGGAGCATTAGAAAATGCATTAAAAGGACATGCAAATAGTATTCGCGTGATACATAACCAACAAGTTGTTCCACTGGAGCAAGCAATGGTAAAAAAAAACAAAAAACTTTGCAGTTATTGAGCTAGGACATGATTGGGAAAGTGTATTCAACAAGCTACAAATCAGTTTGGGATATCAGTCAAGACTGCCTCCATTCATGCTATTTCTAGACTTTAACCAAGGATGCTTCTTGTACAAAGATTTTCTGGAGTAAAGTTTTAGTGTCCTTTTGTGTGTGTAAGCTAAACTATGGTTTTATGTTTAGTGTACTTCCCTCTTATTCCCTGGCACAGCTATGAGGAAGAAATCTGAAGCTTTCTCTCCCGTTTCTGCTTTTAAAACTAAGCAGAGTTTCTTTTAACATCCAGCATACAAGTTGTGTAAAGCTGAGTTGAGCCGGGGAGAGGCCAGTTGTGGCATTTCATATCTTTCTACACGTTAGGCTATAATTTGGCTTTTCTTGTGATTTTACTGCTGCTTCAGGAAGCTATATTTTGTTTTGAAATAATTTCCTTGCTGAAAAGTACTTGTTCGTGTTCTTGTCTTCTTGTTTCCTCCCTCCCCCCTCGCTCTTCTAATTAACTCTTAATCATTCTCAATATTTCTTTTTCCAAAAACTGACTGTCAAGAAATATGTTAGAGCTAGGGTAAGTGCTTTTCCTTTCTTACACTGCAAGTGGGGGCTTTGGACACATTTCAGATCAGGGACTCCACATTCAGCCTCAGTGTGATACTTTTATCAACCTGATGATGTTATACGGTACATGGCACTTCGCAGAGAAACCTAAGCAAAAAACCAGAACAGTGGGGACAGGGACAGTATAAGACAGCGGTACACTTGGTTGTAGACAGATGCTGGGTCCTTGCATATGGGTCCATAATAACACCTTGCAGCTGCTCTGTTAAATGAATATGGCATGTTACAATCCAACATCATAGTACAAAGCTGTAAAGGTAAAGGGACCCCTGACCATTAGGTCCAGTCGTGGCCGACTCTGGGGTTGCGGCGCTCATCTCGCTTTATTGGCCGAGGGAGCCGGCGTACAGCTTCCGGGTCATGTGGCCAGCATGACTAAGCCGCTTCTGGCGAACTAGAGTAGTGCACGGAAACACCGTTTACGTTCCTGCCGGAGTGGTACCTATTTATCTACTTGCACTTTGATGTGCTTTCGAACTGGTAGGTTGGCAGGAGCTGGGACCGAGCAACGGGAGCTCCCCCGTCACAGGGATTCAAACCGCCGACCTTCTGATCAGCAGCCCTAGGCTCTCTGGTTTAACCCACAGCGCCACCCACATCCCTGGGTGTAATTACATGTTCCAATAAATTACATGTTCCAATAAATTACATGTTCCAATAAATAAAAGCTGAGTTGGGTGTAATTACATGTTCCAATAAATTAGGGCTGACTCCATAAACACCAGCCCAGTCCAAGTTTCTCCCCTTCCCCTCAACATGTTGTACAAGTTACAAGATGTGCAAGATGTACAATATGTTTTGGGACTACAACTGCAACTCCCATCATCCCTAGCTAACAGGACCAGTGGTCAGGGATGATGGGAATTGTAGTCTCAAAACATCTGGAGGGCTGAGTTTGCCTATGCCTGCATTCATGTCACTAGGTTATGTTTTGTCACCAGTGACAGCCCATGACATGGAGCAGGCACTGCGGAAACTCATAGGGTGTTGATATTGGGCAGCCCGTCTTTCTCATGACATGTAATTCTGACCTTGAACTTGCAAAGCCTGGATTTAAATTGGTGTGCCACCCATGACACTGAGTGACCTCTCCCATAGAGATCTGGAAGTGTGCATGTAATCTTAACCGTGGACACCTGTCCACACTGCAGAGTCATGGAATTATGAGAGAAGGGATGAGGAAGCTTGTGATCCTCATGTGCTGTTGGCTACAATCTCTGCCATTGGCTGTTGGTCTTTCTGGCTAGGGCGGGTGGAAATTGCAGTTCGTTAATACCCAGAAGTCCAAAGATTAGCAGCTCCTGGCCTAGAGCTTTGTAGTCTATAAAATGGGAGGGAGGGTAGTTTCTTAATTTTTATGCACTCTCGTTTTCCATTGCCTGAACTTTGTAGCATTGAAAACAATTTGACACCGTAAATTCATGTTCCAGCTGTATTTCAAACTACATAAAACTACACCACAAGAATGGTTTCCATTCTACTTAAAATAGATACGTATTTACAAGGCTTTATGTTCAGGAAATATGGCTTTACAGATCAAGCTTTTCTCTGGAATATGGTATAAGAGGTTTGTGTGATAGGCTTCCTTTTGTTTTGTGTCTTTAACCAGAGCACTTTAAACCAGAGCATAAGGTTCCTGCAGAAAACATCATCAGAGCTTCCTGTAAGTTTTTGTTCATTTGTTTCTTCTGAAATAAAACCCCCGTTAGGGTTGTTTCTTTAAAACATTAACTACCTATTTTGCAACATATTTGCTAGGCAGTATTTTGTGTTCATTTTACTCTAGTGAAGAGATGGAATGCTGTACATTAAATTCACCTGATAACTGAGTTCAAACATTTTCAGTTCCATTCAGACAATGCTGAGTACAGTGGCCTCTCGGGTTACAGATGCTTCAGGTTACAGACTCCGCTAACCCAGATGTCAGGGAACTGACATCAGAGCGAGAGGCGAAGGGGAGGCTCCTGGATGATGCTGGAGAAGGACCCAGCAGCAGGGGGAGAGGCGACTCAGTGGAGGGGGAAGCATTTAAGCGCAACACCAGGAACAAAAGTGAGCAGATGGGAAAATCGGAGAGAGGGCTCACGGACTCTTCACTGGAACTCAGTGAGGAGGGGACAGGTCCCCCGCTACCCACGCCCACCCTGCGCAGAAGGCTCCCGCGCAGTGAGAGGCGGAGGCGATTGGGTGTCAAACAACTCTTATGTTGGAAGAGATTCAAGAAACGCCCACTGACGGATTCTGCTAGTGACTGAGACAGTCATGATCAGAAGGGGCTGTGCAGTCAGAAAGGTTTAACAAGGCAAATCAGCCTAGAGAGGCACCAGTTTATGCACGAGTAACTCATACTCATTACAGCAATCCGTCAGTCCCTGAAAGTTGCTCGTGCGCAGCAGCAGGCAGGCAGCATCATGAGCAAGCCCGGAGAAGCAGGCACCCAAGGGGGAGCAGCTGGAGGGCAAACGCTGGAGGAGAGGAACCGAGATTTGGAGCAGCATGTGGCCATTCTGACGGCACGGCTGGACGTAAGGCGGTCTCAAGATGCACAGGTCAGACCCACCCCCATAGCAAGGAAGGTACCGGGACTGGTGCACAAGTTTGGGGGGAAGCCGCAAGAATACAGTGCGTTTAGAACGGAAATAGAGTACGCATTGGACTTGCAGCATAACGATTTTGAAGACGACGCGGCGCGGGTGGCATATGTTGTGGGTCACCTGCAGGACGGGGCCAGAGAATGGGTCAGACCCCTTATGGCGACGCAGAATTCCGCCATGCAGGACCTGAGGAAATTCTTCCAAGCGATGGACGCGATGTTTTCCACTGATGTTCAAAAAAGTGTGACTAAGCGGGAATTGATGAACTGTAAACAGGGGAGCCAGTCAGTCAGGGACTACTGGTCGCGCTTTGCCATGATAGTTCATCGCCTCGGGTGGGAACTGGGCTCCGAACCCATACAGATGTTATTCGAGGAGGGGTTGTCCCCAACGGTTAAGGATGAACTTTCCCGCGCACCCCGCCCACAGGGGATGGATCAGCTGACCAAGGCTGTGCTTGCGATTGGCGCGCGCCAGGAAGCGCGGGCCCAGGAGAGGCGGGAAGGGAGAGAGCAACGTTGCCATGACTACCGCATTCCTGAAATACCAAGGCAGCCCTCCCCGCCAGCAGAGCCAATGGAAATAGATGGGGCGCGCGCGGGAAGTTTCAAGCACCAGCGAAGGGCGCAAGAAGGAGGGAAAGGATTGGAAAACCTCCAAAAGGTGTTACCTTTGCCAGCGGCCAGGGCATTTTGCCAGAGCCTGCCCTCAAAGAAAGGCTTGGCAAGGAATGGTGGGAACCGCAGGGGGTGAGGAGGAGGTGGTAAAGGAACAGGAACAGGGAAACGAGAACGCTTGGCTGCCAATCAAGGGGCACAACAGCCAAGCCAGCCACCAGTAAAAGTGCCCCAACCAGACCCCCCCAAGGCGGCAATAGCCATCGAAGTGGTGCTAGAACTCCCGAACGGGCACCCAGTCAAGGTGAAAGGCATGCTGGATTCAGGCAGCTCATGTAATTTCTTCAGCAAGGACTTTGCATTAGAGCACCAGCTCCACTTACTGCCTTTGGATTTTCCCTTGCAAGTGACCACCATTGATGGCAGGGAGCTTCTAGGAGGGGAAGTGACACACCAAACCCCGCCAATGAGAATGAGGGTGTCCAGGCACTCGGAAACCATCGCCTTTCACGTCGCCTCGCTAGCAGGACCCCCAATAATATTAGGGATGAGCTGGCTAGCACAACATGATCCAGTGGTGGCGTGGCATCAGAGGACAGTCACCTTTGGATCAGCTTACTGCCTGGAACACTATCTAGGGGGGGAAGCCCCAAGAATGACCGTGGCCAGGGTGGCTGGGATGGCGGTGGAGCGGAAAGGGGAGGTGCCGCCACAATACGCAGATCTGCGGGAGGTCTTCAGCGAAAAGGAGGCAGATAGACTACCACCCCATAGGCCCTTTGACTGCCAGATCAACTTGCTGCCGGGGGCTCAGCTGCCAGTGGGTAAGCTGTACGCCATGTCAGACAGGGAGATGAAGGAGTTGCGAGAATTTATCGACAAGAACCTGAAAAGAGGCTTCATAAGAGAATCAAAGGCAGTAGGGGGCAGTCCGGTGTTCTTTGTGGACAAAAGGACACAAATAAACCCAGGCTCGTAGTGGACTATAGAGCTGTCAATTTGGTGTCAGAACCCGTGACCTTCCCAATGCCCAGGATTGACGACATTTTAACGCGAGTGAGGAAAGGCAAAATTTTTACCAAGCTGGACTCAGGGGCGCATACAATTTGATCAGGATGAGGGAGGGGGACGAATGGAAGACCACAATGTTCACACCCCTAGGTGCCTTTGAGTACTTAGTTATGCCTTTTGGATTACAGTCAGGCTCCGCCTGTTTTCAAGCTTTCATGCACCACGTGTTGGGGTCTCTGCTGTACAAGAACTGCGTAGCCTTCTTGGACGACGTCTTAATTTATTCGGACAATGAGGAACAACATGTTAGAGACGTCAGGGAAGTGTTACAACGACTGCAGAAGCACCAGTTGTGGGTCAAGCTGGAAAAATGTCAGTTTCACGCCAGAGAAGTCGAGTTTCTGGGGTACAAGTTGTCTGACAAAGGCTTAGCGATGGACCCAAGCAAGGTGCAGGCAGTGCTGGAGTGGAAGGCTCCCAAGACACGGAAGGACGTACAGAGGTTCCTAGGGTTCAGCAACTTCTACAGGAAGTTCATCAAGAACTTCGCCCACTTGACAGCGCCAATCACGGATTGTCTCAGTAGCAAAAAGAAGTTTGTGTGGACAGAAGAGGCCCAGCAATCCTTCGAAAAACTGAAGAAGGCGTTCGCATCGGAAGAGCAACTCCTGCACGTAGATCTGGAGAAACCCCTGAGGCTAGAGACCGACGCGTCCGACAGAGCCGTGGGGGCGGTCCTTTGCAGCCAGGGAAGGGAAAGCAGGAATGGAAACCGTGTGCCTTTTTCTCCAGAAAACTGAGCAAGTCGGAGCAAAACTATACAGTGTATGACCGCGAACTGCTGGCAATCTACGCGGCCTTTCGTCGTTGGCGTCATCTACTGATAGGGGCGCAACAACAGATCCAGGTTTGCACAGATCACAAGAACTTGGAGTACTGGAGAACCGCACGAGTACTCAACCAGAGACAGATTCGATGGGCACAGGAGTTCTCCAAGTTTTTCTTTGAAATCCGCTACGTGCCCGGAGAAGAAAACGTAAGAGCAGACGCTCTCTCGCGTAAACCGGAGTACCTGGAAGGAGAGGGGCCGCCGGAGAAATGACACGTGATCCCCGAGGACCGATGGGTGTGTGGGGGAACTTTGGTGGGGAAACGAGAACTAGCCGGGCTGACCAGAAACGACGTGTTCGCGCAAACTAAAATCCGGGAACTACGAGACGGAAGAGGGACCCAAGAAGGGTTTGAGGAGAAGGAAGGGGTACTGTACTATAGGGGAGCGCTGTACGTACCGGGGGAGACCCTGAGGGAAAAGGTACTCAAACAACTCCACGACAACCCCACAGCAGGGCACTTTGGACAGCACAAAACCATGATGCTTGTGACCAGGCAGTTCTGGTGGCCCAGGGTGAGGGAGGATGTACGGGAATATGTACGGGGGTGCGACCGCTGCCAAAGGGCAAAGGGGGAGCGGGCTGCCCCCAGGATTGCTGGAACCCTTACCCACGCCGGGAAACCCTGGGAGGTGGTATCCATTGATTTTATGACAGATTTGCCCAAGTCCCGGGAAAGACAGCAGTCATGGTAGTGGTCGACCTACTGACAAAAATGTGCCACTTTATAGCTTGCTCACATGCTGTAACGGCAGAGGAAACAGCCCGGTTGTTTGTGGAGCACATATTCCGGCTGCATGGCGCCCCCTTGAGGGTTATCTCCGACCGCGGAAAACAATTTACTTCCCGGTTCTGGAGGAAACTCATGAGCTTACTGCAGGTGGAGGTGGGTTTCTCGACGGCGAGACACCCAGAGACCAACGGGCAAGCAGAAAGAGCGAACAGTATACTCCAGCAATACCTACGCTGCTATGTCAGCGAGAGGCAGAACGATTGGGTAGAAAAACTAGCGCTGGCTGAATTCGCGTACAACAACGCGGAACACGTGTCCACGGGAATGAGCCCATTCATGGCCAACCATGGGTGTCATCCCAGGGCCTTCCCGGGAGTGGGGAGGAAAGCTGGAGCGTACCCGCCGCAGAGCAGTTTGTGGAAGAAATGGAGGCCCTACACCAGCAACTTTAGATGAACATGGAGAGGGCCAAGGAAACTTACAAGAGGCAGGCAGACAAGCACCGCAGGGAAGGGAGACCATACGGGTGGGGGACCGGGTGTGGTTGTCCACCCAAGGGCTACCTTTCAAAGGGGGGTGCAAGAAGTTGCAGCCCAGACGGCTGGGACCTTTTGAGGTAACACAGCAAGTTAATCCCGTGGCATTTAAGCTCAGGTTGCCTGATAGCATGAAAATACACCCGGTTTTCCATAGGTCCCTGCTTTCACCGCATAGGGAAGGGCGGGAATTCCAGGGGCAAGAGGGAGAAGTCACCACACACCCGCAGGTAGAAGAAAGGGAACACCACCACAGGGCCACGGAAATACTGGACTCAAGGTGGCAAGGGCGCCGGGTGGAGTATTTGGTAGCGTGGGAAGGGGAACCCAGGTCCGAAAACACGTGGGTCCCCACGGAAGCCGTCGAGGACAGGTATCTGGTGGAGGTATTCCACCACCGGTTCCCGGACAAACCCAAACCCCTGGAGAGATTCTGGGAGGAGCAATTTGGAACCACAGATGAGGAAGAGGGTTTTGAGGGATTTTCTGACTCCGAGGAGGGAGGAGAGGTTTCGGAGGAAGAAGCATCAGACGGGGAAGACCACCCCGTTGGTAGGTGGAAGAGCGATTGGGAAGCGGGTTTCGAACCCACGGTAGATGGTAACAGTTCCTTCCGGGGTTTCCCCACCTCCTCGGCCGACGAAGGGGACGAAGTTGGTCCCACAGGTCGGCTCAGGGGTGGAGGGGATTCTGGGGGGGGGGAGGTGGATGTCAGGGAACTGACATCAGAGCGCGAGGCGAAGGGGAGGCTCCGGGCTGATGCTGGAGAAGGACCCAGCAGCCGGGGGAGAGGCGACTCAGGGGAGGGGGAAGCATTTAAGCGCAACACCAGGAACAAAAGTGAGCAGATGGGAAAATCGGAGAGAGGGCTCACGGACTCTTCACTGGAACTCAGTGAGGAGGGGACAGGTCCCCCGCTACCCACGCCCACCCTGCGCAGAAGGCTCCCGCGCAGTGAGAGGCGGAGGCGATTGGGTGTCAAACAACTCTTATGTTGGAAGAGATTCAAGAAACGCCCACTGACGGATTCTGCTAGTGACTGAGACAGTCATGATCAGAAGGGGCTGTGCAGTCAGAAAGGTTTAACAAGGCAAATCAGCCTAGAGAGGCACCAGTTTACGCACGAGTAACTCATACTCATTACACCAGAAATAGTATCTCGGGTTAAGAACTTTGCTTCAGGATGAGAACAGAAATCATGCGGCGGCAGCGGGAGGCCCCATTAGCTAAAGTGGTGCTTCAGGTTAACAACAGTTTCAGGTTAAGAACAGACCTCCAGAACGAATTAAGTTCTTAACCCGAGGTACAACTGTACTTGAAAGTCCACCAGACAAAATAATCTCCACATAGGAAACTACATGTTAGGCGAAAGTGTTAAAATTTAGTGATCTCTCTGATATGCTAGCTTGTTACACAAAGGGAATTCATTAATACTAAGAAGTTTTCAGACTACAGATTTACCACCTTAGTGAAAATTAGGCCTCCAGCAGTGACTGGATGATCCTCCAGATTATAGTTTAGAGCAGGGGTCAGCAAACCTTTTCAGCAGGGAGCCGATCCACTGTCCCTCAGACCTTTTTTTGGGGGGGGGCAGACTATATTTTGAAAGAAAGAAAAATGAACGAATTCCTTTGCCCCACAAATAACCCAGAGATGCATTTTAAATAAAAGGACACATTCTACTCATGTACAAACACGCTGATTCCCGGACCGTCCATGGGCCAGATTTAGAAGGCAATTGGGTCAGATCCGGCCCCCAGGCCTTAGTTTGCCTATCCATGGTTTAGAGGACTGGAAATCATCCCTGTGCTCCCACCTCCCCTTATGTGTGCAGTTTATGGAATTGCTTCCTTATCTGATGTTGTGGTGGAATGTAGCAAACCATGGTTTGCTCAAACCAGGAAGCAATTAATTAAGCTGCACAAAGGGAGGGACAGGAAGGGACCACGTGAGCACTGGGCCCATTCCCGACCCTCCAACAGTGGTTTATCTGCATGCAGCCTTCAAATTTTTAAGTGTACACTTAAATATCTTCCAAAACACCACAATGTATAGCGTGAAGCTTTCACAACTGGCTTGTTTATCTCATGATAAGGAACAATCATAGCAGTGTGGCAGCCACACACAAAGCTTTCATAACTTTTTGGATGTAATATTATAATGTCCTACGTGTAGCCATTTGCCTGTCTCTCAGGACCATAAGTGATATGGGGGAATCTATGGTCTTTGGTTAAAAGCAGCTATGGAGGGTGGAAGAATTTGAATCAGGGCTGTAACCCTTTTTCTAGCATTGTTTTCCTGATTTAAGTTGCCCCTTTCCACAAGCTGCTATTAGCTGTGGAGATGGGAAAGACTGCTTCATTGTCCCTTCTTGACTTGCAGCTCCTGGTCGGGAGGTGTTTAAGTCAGGGAAACAGTGCTGGGGAAAGCTTACATTCCCTCGCCTGCCCCAGTCCAAATTCTCCTGCCCCTCACAGCTGCTTTCACCCAAAGAAAAAGATACTGGGAGACTGAGTTGCAGACCTCCCACATCACATATAGTTTGACCTACATTAAGGTCTGAATAACTGACTGACATCGCATTATTTATATCTTTCCATTTATGAATGACTTCGTATAAAATACTTTGAGGCTATTTAAAACATCAATAAAAATAATGAACTATAGAAAATCAATGATAATATAAGGCGGATAGAATTGGTTTCTGTTTTGTTAGCTGCGGCTAAGATAGTTTAGTTGGAAGTAGAAAGACTCAAATGTTCTTGTAGTATAGGAATGGTCAACGAAATGTATTCAATCGGCCATTATGAATCAACTGAGTGATCTAGAAGGAAGGAAGGAAGGAAGGAAGGAAGGAGTGGCAGATGTGATCTGCTAGAGAGATGGAACTGTTTTACCGGCTATTGGAATGTCAGCTATAGTAATGTGAGACTAAAAGGGTATTTATTCATATAGTATATACAAATTCTACGTATTTTATACTTGGTTTTAAAGTATAAGGGGATGCCATAAATTTAGAGATTTTGTATCTGACTGGAAATGATGCTTATTTTATCTGGTCAAACTGGTCTTTTATTTTGGAAAGATCATATGTTTCCTGCTTATCTCATATATATATGTGTGTGTGTATGAATGAACATTGTGCATTCTGTGTTCTGTATTGTAATCTATATCATTCTTTTTTTGAAATCATTCTCTCGTGTGTGTGTGTGTGTGTGTATGTATATATATAAAATTACAGAGGTACCTCTACTTACAAATGATGCAATCTGTTTTGGGGTGCTTTTTGCACACCAAAAATTCCCAAAGTAGAGCGCCACTACTGCGCGTGCACGAAGCACAATAGAGCGCATGTGTGAAGTGCGCAGGTCGCTTCTGCACACGGCGAACCCAGAAGTAAACACTTCCGGGTTTGCCGTGTTCGTAACCTGAAAAGCCGCAACGTGAAGCAAACGTAACACAAGGTATGACTGTACTTGATGACACAGTGAATCTTAGTTTTGGATTTGAAACTCTTACATATGAATGACAAGAGTCTCAAATCCAAAGCCAAGATTCACTGTATCATCAAGTAATGAGCATGCGTGTATGAACGAGTCATGGGTGTCCGGGTTGTTTGCTTTTTACTCCCCTTTGTGTAATTCTGACTGTGTGTTGGAGAAATAACTGTATAATGATTAGTGGTTTGGATGGTTCAATGGCATACTTTTTCTTTCACCACCCCATAATCTTCTTTTTCCTCCTCTTCCAGGGGAAAGTCAGAAGTGTGATCACGGCTGTTAATAGTGCACAACTTCTTATAAACAACAATGCTTCGTTCGTTATTGTTCAGGTAAGTTTTAATGTTTTTTTAAAAAAAAAAAACAAAAAGCCCACATATAGTGCATTGTATTTGGAATTCTTATGTGTGTAACTTAATGTGTCCATTTCTTTTTTCCCTCCGAAAAGGAAACTAAAAAGTATATGGATACTATAATCGGTTACTTTGAGCAGTACGCTGAATGGGTGAAGGAATCGGTAAGATATCTCCCCACCCCCACCTCTTGGGCAATGGCCATTTAGAGAACTTCCATTTTTTTTGGGGGGGGGAGGGGAAATTAAACATATTGGTGTAACACTGCTACTAGAAACAACATAGTAAATTAGAACATAACATTAATTATCCTACCAAATATTCTTAATTCAAATTGGGTATCAGAATCATATGTGTATCTTTCCAGCTTAATACAAAATGCTTCTTCTTGGGAATTTTCTGTATCTAATGTTCAGCACTTGAATTCTTTTTCTGATCTCTTGTAGATTGCTATGGAAGTGGCACCTTGTAAGCCCATTGCCAATGTGGTCGATACTGCTATAGATATATTTCTATGCAGCTATATAACAGATTCTGTGGTAAGAATAGTTTGCATTCTTCCAAAAAAAAAAAATTGTGAAGGAGGGAGGGTTAAATCTTTTTATTTCTCTGCTGAGACAACTTATTCTAAGACTAGAGAATTGGTACATTTGCATAAAGGTAGACTTGGGTAATAAGAAAGGTACATGTGTATTACACAGTAACTCCCAAAGAGTTGCAGTTCACATGTCTTTCGGGAATTTGGAAATCACATGTCCAGAAAGTACGGTAATCTTGAGAAACAGCTTGTTGCGTGTCGAGGTCCCCAAGCCACCCCAAGAAAACACAATTCACACAGAATTTTTGTTTAAGGTTTTTGGCATAATTTTGGCCACAACGTTATTAAAATACAAAAAATGCGAGTGGTTGCTTAGGCATTGGTTGCGACTATCCGTCCCGCACGGGGACAGACTGACATTTGCACGTCTGCGAAAGTCAGAAAGGGAAAGAATTTGGGGAGAAAGATGGAGCTGGGTACCATGCCCTCACCTCTCCCCAAATGCTCCCAGGGGCTCTTGCGTGGCCCTAGCCCCTTGATAGGGGTTCGGAAAAAAGCATGGCGAGCCCCCGGATTCCTTTAATGGAATACCCTTGCAGCAGCAGCATTGGAGGGGCAGGCACAGCCAATCCATACCCCTCCACCAACCAAAAAATTAAACAATGCCTAACCTCAACCTTACAAGTTGTGATGATTTGCTACGCAGTAGGCAAAAACCAAATGGCACCAGCCAAATGGACAAAATTCCTACCGGGCCCTGCCCCCAAAGCAGACGACCCCATGACAGGCATGGCAAGGTCAATGTGAACAACCCTAAATATAGGGAGGGGGGCAGGTGATCCGCTGCGCACAGCAAAAAGAGGAAGCTCAACACTGCGCACAGGGAATTTAACTCCTCTGGCTGTCAATCACAAAATGACACATCGAAATCTCCCCAACGACAAGGGGAGCCCAATCGCAACGGTGGCCAACTAACTTTACCCGCCCAGCAACAGTGGGGTGTCTTGTTAGCCCCCCTCTCCACGAAGGATAACACGCTTTAGCATTTATAGACACCACCCTGGAAGAAAGATGAAACAGTTAGACTTTTCCAACACAAGTGGTCTTTTCAGTGGTTCTGTCCCTTCTGAAAATAAACCTGACAGGCCCTTTCTGTTCTCCTGGCCATCTAAATTATCTAAGTGCATGGGCCACTTGCTTAGATGTTCTCCTAGTCACATGGAATCTGTTCCACAGATATGCTGCTTCCATGTGGATGGGAAGGCAGAAGGCAATATGCCTTTTTTGAAATAGCACTTCCATCTTTCTCAACTTTCTGCTGATTAATTTCATTGAGTGGCCTGGAATTTTAGTGCAATGGGAGATAGCATGCATAATTTTATAGGAGCCTCGATAACCCTGAGGAAAGACAGGATATAAATCTCATAACTAACTAAATCAATAAATAAGCCCTTACAATTTCATCTTCATTCATCTCTCTCTCTCTTTTTATAAAAGTAAAAAGGCCCAAAATTTGAGCTTTAAATTGGGTTTTCCATTTGCCCAGTCTGGAGACATATGTTTGGAGCTAATCATTTTATCAAGCAGCTTATAATGAAATTTACAGTATTTAAATGCAATGGGAAACTTTCTTCTGTTGACTTACAGAAAGACATTTTGGATGCATTCCTGAACAGTGGCAGTGTTCACTGATTCCTTTTGTCCTGAAATGGCAACATCTGCATTTTCTAGTTGCCTTGAGAAATGCAGAAGTTGTATATTTGTGTGAGGGAAAAAATTGGCAAAAGACACAGAAAGGAATAAGCTAAATGTTCCTCAGAAATTTCATGCAATTACTGCTAATAATTGAGGGCACCTAAAGGACCATGAGTTGTTTTCTTTGCTGCTTAATTTAGGATAGGCCTGGATTTTTCATGCATAACTGGGTGAACAAGTTCAGACTGTCTCCAGTTCTGTTGAAAGCAAAGTGTAAAACCACCTTTTTAACAGCTGGAACTAATTGGGCTGGTCTGTGTAATCATTAAATTATTATTTCTTGTATAAACAATATTTCCTGACCCAGAAAATTGCACTAAGATACCAAGGAATTTACTCCACTGAAAGCAGGGATAAAGCTACATCTGTTGTTCTTTACAGAAGGAGGAAAGCCTGGCTAGGATATTAATCTTCTGAGGCCTACGCATACATTGCGGTTTGTTGTAGGCTGGTTGGAATAAAGCAATGTGCTTGTGTGATTTATTTATTTTTTTAAGTTGTTGTAAGGGTTTCACATGCATTCCGTGTTCATCCCAGGGTAGCGCTAGACTGATGGCACACTTCGGTTGAGTTTTGCTTGGCTTACAAGTATATTTTGGTTTGGCTGCTTACGTTATGGAGGGTGAGGTGTTTCCCTGGTATATTTACTTTCTGTAAAAACTGAGCATTTGCCAGCACAGGGCTTGCAGTAGCATCCTGGTGCCTACCACTCAAACACAACACAGCAGGCAGGGCCTCAGATATTTGGACGCCTGAGGCAGAAGGTCCCGTCTCCAACCACACAATGTGTGTGCCGGGGGAATCTCCGCAAGAGCTTCCCTTGAAGGAAAAGCCCTTGCAAAGACTCACCACCTCCAGGCAAGCAAAGGGCAAGCTTCACAAGGGCTTCTGGAAATGCCGCCTCTTGCGTTTCTGGCGCCTGAGGTGGCTGCTTCACTCTGCCCAACTCACGGTCTGGCTCTGCGGTGCAGGAGCCCTTCTGCATATACTGTGGGGCTATAGAGCTTGAAAGCTGCCCTCCAGCTCAGCGCAGCACAACTTGCCATGAAGGTCAGCCCGCTTTTCTGAGGAGAATAACCAGAGGCCTGTTAAACACTGAGCAGGCTCACAGTACATGGCCAATGGCTCACATTTAGCTTAAAGGTAAAGGGACCCCTGGCAATTAAGTCCAGTCGTGAACGACTCTGGGGTTGCGGCGCTCATCTCGCTTTACTGGCCGAGGGAGCCGGCGTTTGTCCACAGACAGTTTTTCCAAGTCATGTGGCCAGCATGACTAAGCAGCTTCTGGTGAACCAGAGCAGTGCACGGAAACGCCGTTTACCTTCCCCCCGGAGCAGTACCTATTTATCTACTTGCACTGGTATGCTTTCAAACTGCTAGGTTGGCAGGAGCAGGGACCGAGCAACGGGAGCTCATCCCATCGCAGGGATTCAAGCTGCCGACCTTTCGATCGGCAAGCCCAAGCGGCACAGCGATTTAACCCACAGCACCACCCGCGACTCGCATTTAGCTTGCTCAATTGCAAATTATGAGGCCCAGTATATGGGCTGTTCCAGTGAATGTGGGAAGCTTCCCTATACTGAGGCCGATCATTGGTCCAGCTACCTCTATCAGCCACACTGGCTGGATACTTTTCCAGCCTTAACCTGAGGTTGAAACTTTGAACGGCACATTCCGTTACTCCATTGTTGCTGCGCATAGTAGCTACTGTCGTAGCCCCACAGCTGACTGGTGCTCTGAAGATGGTTAACTGTTGTTTAGGATCTTAAACCACCATTTAAAGTTGATTTCATGCCAGAGCAAAACTTAACTATGGTAAAAACCTTGGTTCCAGCACACTGTTTAATGCGGGAGGAAAATTCAGTCAGAGGGCACTTGCTTTCCAAAACAGTCCAATATTGCTACAATTCCACATATGTTAAGAGCCATGGCTGTTGTCGTCCTTACCTCACTAATGCTGGCGGGGTTTGATGTTGTGTTTTAATCTTGTTATCTGAGATGCCTTGATCTCAAGTGACAGAGCATTTGTGGACAGTCCCAAGCAGCTTGTACAAAAGTGGCAAAGAGTTGAACTCTTTCCATTCTTGTCATCCATTTTATATCATTCCCAGTTGAAATTTGTTGTAGTTGATGGTTCTACAGACTAGCAGGGTCCAATTTAAAAGAGGCAACATCACATCTACACTGGCTCTTGCCCCACCCCCCTTCTGAGTTGGGAAGAACTTTGTAGGAAATCCTAGAAAATGTGTGAGAAGGAATATGGATAACTGAGAATATATTAAGTGCCTCAATGTTGTTTCTTGTCTTCCCTAGAATGCCTTCTGGTTTGGTTTGGGGGGCTGTTCAGTATTTCTAATCCCTGCCATCATTTGTGCTGTGAAACTAGCCAAATTCTACCGCCGGATGGATACAGAAGATGTTTACGATGAGTAAGTAAGCAGAATGCTCACAATGGAAGACTACAGAAATGCAAGAAAGCACTTTATGTGAAATATGTTTATAGTTTCCTTTTCTGATTGCGTATAGTACTGCGAATCAGAGTGTCTCAGAGCAACTCAAAGGAACAGGTTGCATGGAATTCATTATTTATCTGGGGCCACTGACGTTTACAGGAGTTTTACAGTTTCAGGGGCAAGTAGCTGCCCATTTAAATTTCAACAGCAGATGAGAAGACAGAGGGAGGGGAAATGGAGGCAATAAAAAGAGGGGGAAGGAATGCGAGAAACGTAGGCAAAAAGTAGTGAATTTGAGTCCGTGCAAGGATTTCTGCTTGCACAATAAGGCTTCCTTCCTCATTATTCTCTCCACATGCACCCTACCCTGATCCATTACAAAGGGCTGGGGAACCCCTAGAACAGATTTCAGGGTGAGGGCAAGGAGAATGTTCTGTTGCACAAGCAGAAATCCTTGCACTGATGGAATGTTCACTTATTGCTCCGTTGGAGTCTACCCATCCCCAGGCTTCAGCTTTGGCATGTATAGTGCACAGACACACAGTAAACAGAGAGAGACAACTGGAATGGGAGGGTTTGCCTGGTACAGAGCTCTGGAAATAGCGGTTCTTCCGGATAACTCAAGACAGTTGAGGGTTTGAGGTGTAGACAGGTCCTGTGAATTCAGGATTAAACCTTTAGAGAATAACCTGCACTTAAAACATTCCATAATGCAATAGATTGGAAACTTTGTGGTAGCTATGAACTTAAAACATATTATGTCTGATCTCATATTTTCCTTTGCTTTTGTCGTGTGTAGCTATTCTGCTTCCCCTAACCAGTCTTCTATTCTTCCATTTGCAGTTCCTCTGTCTCAGGGACTTGGCATTTTACTTTATGATAGCTATTTTTACTTATTTTTCACTTGTCTTCACTTTTACCTTTTTTAAAAAACAAAACCATTTCCCCGTAAGTCTGTCCAGTGCCTTTTCCTCATTTGTTTATTTTTATTGTGTAGATCACTTTGACATTATACTTTTGCTACAATAGCAGTGAAAAAACAACAGGGAAATACTGCAAAGCCAAATATTTATCACGTACCATTACTTATTAACACACATGATAACTACTTCTTTTTTATATTTTGTAGTGTTGAAACTATGCCCATGAAAAAGTAAGAGATTTTAATTGATATTATAGCATGTAAAGTGGGAGGGTCTTTTTTTTTAAATTCGTAGATGTTACATATTTGATATATATTGTATTTATTTTCTACATTTTTTGGCATATTGCTGACCATACCTATCACAAATAGCTTCATGCAGATCATGTTGAAGTAGAGCTTTCTGTAGAATTAATTCAATGTACATGACATACTGTACAGTCCTTGATATTCTACAGGCTCCGGACTATGGACACGACTAGTTAACACTGTTTTTTAACAATATATATACTGAGGTGTTTTAGTTGTCTTATATTCTTCTGTTTTTGTTGGCTATTCTCAGCTGCTTTAGGCAAAGATTTTGGAAGGGCAACTGATACCATTTAAAACAAACACCTTGTTAATTTTTTTAATTATCATCTTTGTAACCATAGTGTGTATGGAGTTGCATCTTATCATTAACACAGTCCTTTCTTGGTATATTTATTTTATTACAGTTTGGAAAATGGTAATAATGGTTATCATAAAGAGCATTTATATGGTATACACAATCCAGTTCTAACAAGGTAAACCAATTTGAAACTGCCTGCCTTATAAGCACTCTTTAATATATTGTGTATTAATCACTCACTCCTTTTTTCTGCACATTTTTAAACCACTTTTTGTTTTGCATGATTTCTCATTGCTTAGCTCTCTCTTTCAATATATGCCTTATATCGCATTATATGCTGGCTTGGTTTAAAAGAAACTATGGTTTAATGTGAACGATCAGTGTGCTGGTGCACAGTGCTAAAAAAAATCCTAGCCAAACTTTGATATGTCGTGTTATCTGAGCCCAAACTTATGATTTGTCTTTTCCACATAATTGGTGACAATTGAGGTTTGTTCTTCAATTATCAATCATGGTTTGCTTGGGCAAAGCAAACCACAAACATGGTTGCAGATGACACACAGAGGCGGAGCAAGGTGGGGGCAGCCTGTCCCGCGTGACATCCCTGAGGGTGACAAAATCCTGGCGGGTCCAATCGCGGCCACGCTGTATTGCACCCCCGGCCGGGCCATCACCCCGGATGGCGTCCCCCAGTTGGGCGCGATTGCCCCTCCCCCTGGGTCAGGAGTTGTGGACGGGCGGTTAAAGCAAATGCAAATAAATTTGAGTCTGGTCACATAAAATTGCACTTCAAGAAAGCACTTGACCTGCAGAAGGTTGTGGTAGCATCTGTGTGAAAGTAGCAAAAATTGATTTGGGGGTGTTTTCATCTTGCAGAGTTCTCCTTTTTACTGATGAAATCAGGAGTGCTCTACGTTTTATATCAGGCTCCTAAGTATAATATCCTGGTTGTTCACACACACACACACACACACACACACAGACACACACACACAAACACACCCCAGCCAGCCTCCTGATGCCAAGAAAAAAAGCAAGTTTCAACGTTGGCCTGAGTTCTTGGTGTGCTTTTTTCTTGGTATATTTAATAACAAGCCTCCTGATTCCCCCATTTAACTTGCATAAATGTTGGTGTACCTTGAGAGAGAATACTAAATGACACAACAAAATTGTGTAGAAGGTTACTGATTTAGCGTGATTTAATTATTTGAAATACGCCGAGAAGCAAATCGCCAACTTTGAAAACACTTAGCTTTAAAAATATCAGTGGAAATTGGCCTAACTGAAAAGCAGGCGCCTTATTTTCTTTTCCTTCTCCAAACCTAAAACTTGAATAGGAGTGGTACCTGAGACAGAGTTTGGAAAACCCTGCCTGAACTGCTTTACCCTGCTTGTCTGTGTGACAGTCTAGTCGTTTCCTGCTTGGCCACGCTCCTCCTATGCTTTTCCACTTTCCACTACTGCTTTTAGTTGATTAAAAGGGGTCTTGTCTTCTTGCTGTTTAAAAAAAAGAGACTAAGGTCTAGATCTCCCAGTGGATTTTCTGACTGCAAATGCACGTGCTACTTGTGCTGAACGTTAACGACCTGTTTGTATTTTTCAGACCTAACTTAGCAATTATAACAGAATTGCCTAAGAATTTATATCTAGCAGCCATTGAAAGGGTGGAGTAGGAAAGGGTTGGTGATCTGAAGAGCTTTCAGAAAAAGCAGAGAATTCTTATTTTGCTTTCTTTATAAAAACAACCACCCACAATTTTCTCCATTCATTCACTTTTCTATACTGAAGTTGCCCCAAACGGTTTCATATGTCTCTCTTTCTCTCTCACATATATGTATAGCTCTGTGGAACAGTGGTAGTGCATACTGGAAATGTGATGGGTAAGTGTCATTGTTTATTTATCTGCTAAAAAATTAGCCCATTTTAAAAGATGAGCAGCTTAGCTCATTTGACCTAGCAAGTATGGCCCCTCGTGGAATTAACAGTTGCGTGTTTAGACCTTTAAACCTCCCCCTTAAATAAATTCAGATAAGACTCGAATTTTGGTTTGGTTTTTGGCAGAATTTAGGCCACAACTTTATTGATTACAGCAAGTGAGTGGTTGCATAGGCTCTGGTTCGACTAGCTCCCTGCCATACAGGTAGCGCTGACCAAGGGCACCAGCATAGGTCAGCCAAGGGTGAACACCTGGATGAGTAGAAAGCTGGGCACAGGCCAACTCCACCACCCAAATTCTTCCCTGGACTCAGGCACGGGCACAACCCCCTCACAGGGGTTGACCAAACCATCAAGTCCCTGAATTCCTTTAATGGAATACCCTTCACATAGGGATGGCGAAAGTGTTCTCCCATCCCTTATCACCTGAACCAGAGCCTATCCGCAACCTTATAAGTTGTGACGATTTGCTACACGGCAGGCGAAACCGAAATAGCAACAGCCAATCAGCTAAATGGGGAAATTCCTGCTATGCCCCTGTCCCAACGACAGACGACACACGATGGCATAGCAAGGTCAAGCGCACAGCCCTAAAAGTAGGGAGAGGTGGGCGGGTGTTCCGAATGCACGCGCCGAAAGAGGAAGCTCTGGGTCACATGCATAGGTATATATAGGTCCCTTGATCCGTTTAGCCTGCGTCCCATTGGCCTGATTGAACCCTGTATCAAGGGACCTACCAACCGAATGTTGTGGCTATCCAAGCGTACCCACCCACAACACAGGGTTAGGTTGCCAGGTGTCACCGCAACACGTGCCCTCTTTAAGGGAGGACCTGATTTGTCAAATGTGACCCTTTAGATCATGAGTCCAGCAGCACCAAGGGCTCTTTTCCGAGGGTCCACAGAGCCCATGTCTGAACTGACCCCTAGTTCTCCGAAGGTCACTGCATTCTATTTCCGCTCTCTTGTAAATGTGGTGGTTAGGGGCATATTCTGACTTGTCTCTTGTGGCTTCATTTTCAGCCCCGGGAAATAATCCTGCAAGTAGCTCGTCTGGGAAGCACCTTTCGCGTCAATGCTGAATTCCGAATTCTGAGCCATCTTGTCTGGGGCCTGTCTAGTAAACTAATGTTGAATGGAAAGAGAACTGTGCAATCGTATGCCATGAAATGCCAAGCCACACGGCATCTATTTGTGTGTGTGTGGATTACCATTAACACATGGAATTAGTGGCTTCCATTCTTGTTTTCTAATACCATTTTTCCACTGGAGTTTCTGTCTCTCGTCACATAATATATTTATTTATTGTAAACAGACTGGTCTCTGGTTTATATTCGTTTCTGTGGGCTGTTGTTTTTCTTCGGATTCACTGCCCAGTCAAAATTAACTCGGTTCTTGTTATCATGTCCAGAGATGTTAATACCATGTATAAAATATGTGTTTACATGAAGAATACAACCTGTGTACAGACACTTTTTTGTATCTGTGTTTTTTACAGCTGTATTGCAGCAGATTTTTTAATACTTTTTGTTATACTTCACAAGCAACCTGTTCAGCATGACCAGTGTTTCCTTGGTGCTGTTGGGTGGCTGCATTTGACTGTGAAACGTATGGAAACCTGCAGTATATTTTGTGTGGTCTTCAGAAAAGTGAATGCAATTTGGCAGATTATTCTTCCCTATTTCTGAATTACCAATTAACGTACGGTGTCATAATGACCAGAAGCATATTGTTTTCCTGCAAGCGGTTAGCTTAAAAAAACAAAAACAAATTCTGCAGAAATGTGCAATGGGAAGATGCTACAATTTTTTATTTGTGACCTGAATCATCATAGCAAGGAGTAAGAAAAGTGGAAAGGGCCTGTTCAGACCTTCAGCAAATTTCCTAGAGGGTGTGTGTGAAGGATGCCAAACTGCACACTTATTGGCCTATGTTGCTCTAAAACAGGCTTCCTCAACCTCGGCCCTCCAGATGTTTTGAGACTACAGTTCCCATCATCCCTGACCACTGGTCCTGGTAGCTAGGGATCATGGGAGTTGTAGGCCAAAAGCATCTGGAGGGCCGAGATTGAGGAAGCCTGCTGTAACACCTAAATGTAACATATGTGCGTACATCCCTAGCTATACATGCCTAATATGCATAATCATTATTTTTGTACATACTTTTTTGAGAGAGAAAGCTTGTACTGAGCATATATGCATAGGGATGGCACACTTACTGACCTCATTTAGATGTTACAGCGGTGTGGAGATGAAATGGCTGTGGGGCCTAATCCCGCTTTGCAGCTGCTTCACCCAATTTGCCAAAGGTGTGACTAGGCCTAAAGTTAATACACTATGGCCCTGTGTTCATAGGTTTAACTTGTAAACCATGTTATATATATAATAAAGAATTGGCTATATTTTGCTAAATAGGTGTAAAGTGTTGAGAATATATATGGAAGCTGTTGCACCCCACTGTCCTTTTACTTATGTGTAAAAGTTGTGACTAGGATTGATCTGCACAAAAAAGCTGCCAAGAGCTATCTATCTGATGATAACTAAAAGCTATGTGAGGAAATATGGGCTGTTGGGGGCATGGCTTTTATTGCCAATAAATTGGGGAGGGCTTTTTATCTTTTAAGGCAGTGATGGCCAAACTTGGCCCTCCAGCTGTTTTTGGACTACAACTCCCATCATCCCTAGCTAACAGAACCAGTGGTCAGGGATGATGGGAATTGTAGTCCCAAAACAGCTGGAGGGCCAAATTTGGCCATCACTGTTTTAAGGCAGCAGTCAGCACTGGGGAATATGGTGGGTCTTCTAAAGTTACACATGACTTGCTGAGTTTATTAGATGGTCTCCATTCATTTGGAAACCCTTTTGGTAGAATTTCTTGTAAAGATAATTTCTGGCAATCTTAGAATTGCTTAATTGCATGATGATGGCAAATTGTTTGCCCAGTCTGCACACTTGGGACTAAATGCATTATTATGCTGTGCCTCGTGCAGAATTGGTGCCTCTTCCCCCATATCTCAGTGGTGGGAAAATGACGCACATGAAGCAGCCCTCAAACTGAATGGGAATTGGTATTATATAGGGAATAAATTAAGTTTTTCACTAGGGAAACTGATTATTTCTACTAGGCAATGAGTAGAATACTGTACTTAAAGTATGTAAGTATTATATCTCAATATCTGACATTCCAAGTTGTAGATTTTAATAAGTTCCTATTTTTAATTTGATAATGTCCTCAAATCATTTAAATAAAATACCTTGATTAACGTTTGTGTAATTTTTAAATGCAAGAAGCTAGCGCATTGCATTAAAATCGCCTCTGACCAGAGGTAAAATGGATTTCTGCCTCGTTCCAAAAGGGAGTCATTTAATTTGGAATTATTTGATTTTGGCCTACAGGTGAACCTAGTCCATTTTAAATAAAGAACTGAGGTGCATTTTGTAGTAACTGGTAAATTGAGAAACAACTTGCTTGTAGCCACCTGCATTGCAACTTACTTGTAAGCCACCCAGAGTGTCTAGGAGAGCCCAGCCAGATGGGTGGGATGGGATAAAAATAATAAAATTACTACTACTACTACTACTACTACTACTACTACTTGTTTAAGTTACACACCATTTTGCTCTTCCCCCTGCCCTGAATGGCAGCCCTGTACTATACTAGAAGTTGGTTTTAAAGCTCTCCCGACTTTGAAAAGGAGCTTGCTCCTAAAGGCAGACAACTCACCAGACTTTGCAATGCTCTGGGTTTGCAAACTTTGGCAGGAATCACCAAGAGAGCAAAGCTGACCTCACATCTCCACACTGTTTACATCACTTGCCTCTCCTGGAACTGTTCACTTGTTCATATGGTATCAGAGTTCCCCCACAGAATGTTTCTGGGGTTTTACTGATTTTTTTACCGGTTAGAATAATTTATAAATCGCTTGATCAAAGAATCCCCAAGCTGTGTACATAAAACAATGATTATCAATATACAAATGGAAGTCCACAGAATTTTAAAACAGGTACAGGCGGCGACCGTTTTAGGCGTGTCCAATTGCCACATGATCACCGATGCGCAGGTACTTTTGGACCTGGAAGAGGGCATAACAGGGGCGGAAGGAGGGGCGAGGCATGTTTATGCACACTCCACCAATGCACACAAGGAACAGTAATGGAATCCCCGTGCAAAATGGTCGCCACCTGTATACATAGCTTGATTACATGTCTGCGTAAGGTTTCCGAAACCGAAAAGGTTTTGCGTGTCGAGGTCCCCAAACCACCCCAAGAAAACACAATTCACACAGAATTTTTGTTTAAGGTTTTTGGCATAATTTTGGCCACAACGTTATTAAAATACAAGAAATGTGAGGGGTTGCTTAGGCATTGGTTGCGTCTATCTGACCCCACCCGGGGACAGACTGACATTCACATGCCTGCGAAAGTCAGAAAGGGAAAACATTTTGGGAAGAAAGATAGAGCTGGGTACCATGTCCTCACCTCTCCCCAAATGCTCCCAGGGGCTCTTGCGTGGCCCTAGCCCCTTGACAGGGGTTCGGACAAAAGCATGGCGAGCCCCCGGATTCCTTTAATGGAATACCCTTGCAGCAGCAGCATTGGAGGGGCAGGCAGGAAGCTCAACGCTGCGCGCAGGGAATATAAAACTTCTTGGCTGTCAATCATAAAATGGCAACATCAAATTCTCCCCAATGACAAGAGGAGCCTAATCGCAATGTTGGCCAACTTCTTTTACCCGCCCAGCAACAGTGGGATGTCTTGTTAGACCCCACCACAACATGTGCTCTCCATGAAGGAGAACACGCTTTAGCAGAAATGGCACAACAAGGATATCTGCCAAACGTCAATGAACAGGTACAGTAGTTCCAGAGCACAGGCCTCATCACACTTAGGACTAGACACCACACAGATGTGGAGTGAACATCTGTATTATCCCATGGTCTTGGTGAAGGACAGCTTCCATGGGCAGAGTGGTCAAGGTGAAGGACAGCTCCCCTTCTCACTGGGGGGGGAGGATGGATGGCAGCTAACAGACTGAGGTTGAATCCTGACAAGACTGAAGTACTGTTTTTGGGGGACAGGAAACGGGCGGGTGTGGGGGACTCCCTGGTCCTGAATGGGGTAACTATGCCCCTGAAGGACCAGGTGCGCAGCCTGGGAGTCATTTTGGACTCACAGCTGTCCATGGAGGCGCAGGTCAATTCTGTATCCAGGGCAGCTGCCTACCATCTCCACCTGGTACGCAGGCTGAGACCCTACCTGCCTGCGGACTGTCTCGCCAGAGTGGTGCATGCTCTGGTTATCTCCCACTTGGAGTACTGCAATGTGCTCTATGTGGGGCTACCTTTGAAGGTGACCCGGAAACTGCAATTAATCCAGAATGAAGCAGCTAGACTGGTGACTGGGAGTGGCCACCGGGACCACATAACACCGGTCCTGAGAGATCTGCATTGGCTCCCAGTACATTTCTGAGCACAATTCAAAGTGTTGGTGCTGACCTTTAAAGCCCTAAACGGCCTCGGTCCAGTATACCTGAAGGAGCGTCTCCACCCCCATCGTTCAGCCCAGACACTGAGATCCAGCACTGAGGGCCTTCTGGTGGTTCCCTCATTGTGAGAAGTGAGGTTACAGGGAAGCAGACAGAGGGCCTTCTCGGTAGTGGCGCCCGCCCTTCAGATGTGAAGGAAATAAGCAGCTATCTTTTTAAAAGACATCTGAAGGCAGCTCTGTTCAGGGACGTTTTTAATATTTAATGCTGTATTGTTTTTAACACTTGATTGGAAGCCACCCAGAGTGACTGGGGAAACTCAGCCAAATGGGCGGGGTATAAATAATAAATTATTATTATTATTATCGGGGAAACCAGCTCCGATGAGAAGCAGCAGCACAATGGCTGGGAAACGCTGCTGCGGCCGCGTTTGAGCGGCTAAACCCTGCCCCCAAGCCTCCAGCCGATTGAGGAGGAGAGGCTTTCTCAGAGTCCAGCTGGTTGCTGGAGCTAGATCATGTCAGAATTCACTTTCTGAGCAAGGTACGACCAGTAGTACCTATCACTTTGGGCAATGTATGAAATGCCTCATTACAAAGAATCACAGAATCGTAGACTTGGATGAGGGCGGGGTATAAATAATAAATTGTTGTTGTTGTTGTTTGTTATGAGGTGGTAAATAGTTACTGGTTACTGGAAATTCCCACAACACTCGTGCAAGGAAGCCTGGTGGAAAAGTCTCTTGACTGTGGCCAGCTTTGCATGTCATTCTGAGCCACTGTTAGTATTAAATCATGGTTTCCTCACAAGCTTGCATCCTCCTGGTTTATTTCTGCTTACAAAGCCATCGTAGTCACGATTTAGAGAATACAACACCTCGCTTGCGCCATGTGAGCACCATGCAGGGACTGGGGTGGGTGAGGGGGTGGCACATTTATTGTTAAACCATAATATTCACATCCATAAGCTGAACAAGCTGGAAGTCTGCCATAATTACATGACCCATGTTTCCTGGTTGCATCCATCTCTGACTCAGTGATAACTGTGGCATCAAAGTTAAAACTGATGCGAGCTTTTTTTTTTCTTCCTCCTAATTGGTCCCCCACCTTTGTGTAAATCAAGAGCAACATGAAGGCCATGTCAGCTACAGTCTTTTTTGGTTTCTCCACAGATCACTTGCCTGCAACTGAGTACAGAATGCCACATCTAGAGTATTTCCTGCTACATATGTTGAGCCCAGTGTAATTTGAGGCAGATCCACGGTTGTCACAGTGACCAAGAAATTCAAAGCTGCTCCAACCAACAAGTGGCCTTGGCATGTATGTTGAACCAAAGCACTGGGGTTGTCAACACCACTTCCAAGACTGCTTCTGACAGCTTGGTGGCAAACTAACATAATCTTAGTTCTGCGTTAAGCTAATGCCAGCTGAAGACACTCAAAACTGGTATCCAATTTTGTGCCGTTCAGAGATTGTTAGACTGCGACTACCATCAGTGTCAGCCAGCCTGAGCAGTGGTCAGGAATATTGGTAGCTCAACAACTTCTGAAGGGCACCACATTGGCAGACGGTTTGACAGCAGTATAGCATCTCTGCCTCCTTGCCCCCCAGCTGAGACTATTACTGCACTCTGTACCCTGGAAATCACACCTGGAAGAGATTTAGAACTCCCCTTCTTTCCATCTACCGTATTTTTCGCTCTATAAGACGCACCAGACCACAAGAAGCACCTAGTTTTTGGAGGAGGAAAACAAGAAAAAAAAAATGTTCTGAATCTCAGAAGCCAGAACAGCAAGAGGGATCACTGCGCAGTGAAAGCAGCAATCCCTCTTGCTGTTCTGGCTTCTGGGATAGCTGCGCAGCCTGCATTCGCTCCATAAGACACACACACATTTCCCCTTACTTTTTAGGAGGGGAAAAGTGAGTCTTATAGAGCAAAAAATACGGTAGGTTTCTATTACAGTGGTACCTCGGGTTACATACACTTCAGGTTACATACGCTTCAGGTTACAGACTCCGCTAACCCAGAAATAGTGCTTCAGGTTAAGAACTTTGCTTCAGGATGAGAACAGAAATCGTGCATCAGCGGCGCAGCAGCAGCAGGAGGCCCCATTAGCTAAAGTGGTGCTTCAGGTTAAGAACAGTTTCAGGTTAAGTACGGACTTCCAGAACGAATTAAGTACTTAACCTGAGGTACCACTGTATACAAGCCAGGTCAGCATCCTTAATTCCTTGACCATACTTCTGGCTACTTCTGTGTAATCTGACAAGACCTGACATGGAAGGCAACTGGCGAATAGAAAAAGTCATCTGTTAAAGATCCAATGTGATGTGTGCATGTTAGGCAGAAATATTTATTTTAGTTACACAGCTGCTGTGCTGTGCTGGAGCAGCAAGATTTGTCTTGTTTCCTTCCTGAATGTTCACAGGTTATTTGGCATTCCCTTGAGCTATAAATTACAGCCATAAGCTTGAACCAAAGGAGTTTGTTTAAAAGTAAGCTGGAGTAGGAAAACAGCACGCACGCACACACACACACACACACACACACACACACACCCTTGAAAAAGAAGAGAGACTTATTTCTACATCAGCCCATTAAAGCAGCCCAATTCATCTTTCTCTTGCATGGAGAACTAAGTTTCTCTAAGAATCTCACTCTGTGCTTCGCCATGAAGACGGCCACAATCTTTTTCGTAATTTTTATCAGTTTCATGGGAGGCTTAGGGAAAAATCCAAGGCCAAAGAAAAGGAGCAACGGTGACGAAATACATTTTTATACTAAAGCGAAAGATGCCTGCACGATGAATATGAGTGGAAATGGCGAAGTGAAACTCAGAATAGAATGCAGGAGTCAAGGCAAAATTTACTGGTGTGAATATACTGGGAATCCATCGCTTTGCCGTTCTTTTAATAACAACCAAAGGCTTTATTGGAATCAGATTGCCATGGACCGAAGGAAACAGACCAACGCCTGCCAGCCCAATGCGGTTCTGAAGCCTGCCATGTGCCAGAGGACTCCTCCTGAAGCTCACATGAAGCAAGTGGCTTCCAGCATAAAGCCAAACCCACAGGCAGATACTGTCAATCAAGCAAAGCCAGTCCCGAACCCCGCGACTTCTCCAAAGCAAGTTAAAAAAAGCCAAGCAGGGAAAGCCTTGCTGAAAAAAACAGGGAGACCCAAACCATCTCCTTTGCCTCCTACAAAAGCAACCCAAGAAGGTCAGATGTCTGGAAACGATTCTGAAGCGATGAAGTTAGCGCGGAAGCATTGCTGGGAGTCCCTGCATGACATCTGCTCCTACATCATCAGCATCTTTAGCGGCTGAGGAGGAAAAGGTAATTTTGTCTCTGTCATACTAAGATGTGGTTCTCAATTTCTAAGCTGGATCTAGAACTACAGCTTGAACCCAGGAGGATGTCTTAACCCAAAAGAAAGGAAACGACAAGATTGGTTTATTGTGATAGGTTAAGAGTATGGGGGGGATGTATTAGCAAAATCCCACTAAATTAAGTGCTTCTATATCCAAATGGGATATAGAGTTTAATGAGTTTAATAGTGTGTTTAATGGGAACTATTTAAGCATCTGCACTTAATTCTCCATTTGAAATCAACGTGACAAAAGATTGGTTTATCTTTAGCTGGATAAAGTTGTTTAGTTATGAACCAGGTTGTTTAGTGACGAACCCAAGCTATTTAGTGATGAAACGAGCATTTTCCAGTGAGATATATTTTCAGTTAATAGTTTTGAGGTGCGTTGAAAGTTCTACCCAAGTTATTTCTACTCAAGTTATACATAAGACCTTATTAACTGGTATTACTCTAATGCTTTTCTTATAGGACATTTCCTGCTAAAGAGCTATTCCACCAGAATACTTTGAGCTCTGTTCCCCAAGAATATAGTATTTTAACTATATTTGTTGGCTCGTAAGTTTGTTTTGTTAGGTCATTCAGCCAAAGCAGTCAAGCCAATTGTGCCTAACAGGAGAACAGGCAAAAGTTCTGTCTTTCAGTGTTTTCAGTTTTATGAAAACTGTTTCCATTTTGGTGTCAAACTGTATTAAGGAACGGGGAGGGGGAGAGAATGAAAGAGAGAGTTTCTCTCTGGCAGTGGTAATTTATTGTTAAACTATAGGTTGAAAGGCAGGTTGTTGATTTCCAAATGTATTCTTAGTCAATCAGCAAAGCAGATCATTAAACATCTAAAATGTATAGTCCTAATTTTATGGCTTGAAGTTAAATAGAAGAAGTATGCATTTTAATGTGTTAAATGAATATAGAAGAACATTTTACAGAAAACTATGCTGCCAATGGTGTTCACTAGATTGACTGGAAAAACGTAGGTTCTCATCTAAGTTTGACCGTGGACTTGGTTGGTAGTTCTTAGCCAGAAATCACCCTCAGCATCCATGCTATGGTTGAAGTAAGAGCCATTTCCTTCAGAAGGGGGAGGCACATAACCTCTATACCGGGAGCCTGAAAGTGATTGTCCAAGAAAAACCCCCTCTGCTACATGTATGCTTAGGAACTGTCTTTGCAGGTCTATTCTGGATAAATGTGTGAGTCTTAAAAAGCCTTAAATAGCACTTCCCTAGAATATATGATAGGGACGCAGGTGGCGCTGTGGGTTAAACCACAGAGCCTAGGACTTGCCAATCAGAAGGTCGGTGACTCAAATCCCCACGACAGGGTGAGCTCCCGTTGCTCAGTCCCTGCTCCTGCCAACCTAGCAGTTCGAAAGCACATCAAAGTGCAAGTAGATAAATAGGTACCGCTCCGGCGGGAAGGTAAACAGCATTTCCCTCTGCTGCTCTGGTTCGCCAGAAGTGGCTTAGTCATGCTGGCCACATGACCCAGAAGCTTTACGGCGGCTCCCTCGGCCAATAAAGCGAGATGAGCGCCGCAACCCCAGAGTCAGCCATGACTGGACCTAATGGTCAGGGGTGAATGCTGAAACTTTTCGATCTAGAACCCAAAACATTGTGCTTGCTGGTAAAGGCTGAAAATGGAACGATGGTACCCAATAGTCAGCATTCAGGACATAAGTGTCAGGGACCCCAGAGTAGAGCAAACAAAATCCCTCATTGGAAGAGATGTTTGACAGTGGAATAGACTCCCTCTGGAAGTTATGGACTATCCTTCCTTGGAAATTTTAAAGCAGCGGTTAGATGGCCATGTGTCAAGGATGTTTTAGTTGAGATTCCTGCATTGCAGGGGGTTGGACTAAATGACCCCCAGGGTCCCTTCCAACTCTACGATTCTATGAATTATGCGGCTCCTTGGAATTGTGCATGCATGAATGAGTGTGTTTATCGATTTCTGGTAGCTTCCAGAAACCTGGGTTTATGCTTACAGAATGCAAGCTGAATTTACTAGGAGATTCATGTGAAGCCTCCTTTGAAATCGTCAATCTGCTGCCAAAATCTTGGTACAACTTATGATAAAATATTTGTGGCACATGAAGTACAATGCAATATTTAAATTCTATGTATTTTTATAGAAAAGAAAGATCCAGTGTCTGCTTTTAAGGAGACAGCTTTCTAAACTATTTATTTCTTCTTGTTTTGCAGGGCAAAAGCCTTACAGTTGCTGAGCTCCCGACAGCATTACTTTTTTCAGCTGGGTTTATATAAACACCATTACATTTTTGCAGCTGTTCTCTCCCCCCCCCCCATATCTCTGAGTATTTTAAACTATAGCCGCAAAGATCTCCAGGAGGAGATAGCTACAAGTCAGTATAGCAGATGCCAATTTAACGATACTGTGCACTAAATTGTACTATGTTGAGCACACTAATGGCTCACTGAACACCAAGCTATAAATATTGTTCCAGTTTGTACAACTAATTAAAAAAAATCCATGTGTGTTTACTGAAATTGCATAATATGTGCTAAGAAAGTCAATTTCCATTTAGACAAGTCTGTTAATTGAAGTAGCAAGAGGGTGGGAGGCAATGAGGAAGCGAGAAGTGAGCTACAAAAACATTTTTCGCTCCATAAGACGCACCTAGTTTTTAGAGGAGGAAAACAAGAAAAAAAAATTCTGATGAAACAGTGGATGTATGATTTTTGTGGTTCATGCTGTGGCCACAGACATATGATTTGACGGTGAATTTGGGGTAGCCCAATGCAAAAATCCTGAGAATCCACATGGATCCATGCTTTGTAACCACGTTTTTGCGCCATTGCGGCCCCACGTAACAGTGGGTGCGTGATTTTTTTGGTGCAGGCTGTAGCCATGGACTTGCTATGCGATCTGATGGTGAATTTGGGGTGACGCAATGCAAAACTCCTGAGGATCCATGGGCTTTTACCTCCCCCTCCCAGGCAGTCTCTGCTAGCCTCCCTTATCTTTCTCCCGATCCCACCGATCAGCTGCTACCTTTCAACACTCCCTTCCCTCTTGTTTGCCTTAGTGTCTTTTGGAGCAGTTTTTTTGTTCCTCCTTTTCTTCTAATTTCTCTCCTCGTTGATTTAGTCTTCCTGTCTCCCCTCCTTGCATGTTTGCTGTCTTTACCTCCCCCCTCCCAGGCAGCCTCCTTTATTGCTAGCGTCCCTTATCTCGCTTCCAATCGCTTCCGATCAGCGGCTTTGTTTCAACACCCACTTCCCTCTTTCAAAACAAAACCAAAAAAAAGGATGATCTGCTTTTTGCCCCTGGGCAATTTGACTCCAGGGACCACACATTTGCTCCATAAGACGCACAGACATTTCCCCTTACTTTTTAGGAAGAAAAAAGTGTGTCTTATGGAGCAAAAAATTCGGTAATTTGAGGTGCACTTGTAAGCATGTTGATAAAGCTATTGCTGATGCACATTCTGTCCTTACCCCCAATATATCAATGTGGATGACATTTGGATTCTATTGAAGGCAGTAGTTTTTGCCCCAGACCCCTAAGAACCTCTTCATAGGGTGAAACTGAGCAGCTTATTCCTATGACCAGAAGCAGTGGCAGACGTTGGAGACTCAAATTTCAGGGGTTGTCCAATTTTAGCATTGCCCATAGGCTTTGCGCGCAGCATGACCGAACCAATCACACTTCTCTAAATCCAGCTCTGCCAAAGGCAAAGTTCCAGACCATGCAGGAAGGAACCCACCACTGTGACTCCTCCTGCTGCCATAGAATTGCCAAAAAAGTGAATGTCGGGGTTTAGGGTGTTTTTGTTTTTTTAAGCAGGTTGCCCTCATCATTTCCTTTGGACATCACAGAGCTTTCTTTCGCTAGCTAGCAAGAACAGTGGCTGCTCTGGACACTTCTATATGAGAAAAGGTGCAAAAAAAAAAAAAAAAGCTTTGGCCATAGATGGCTATGGGTGAATTAAGCCCTTGGGCCAAAAATGGATAGCCGCATGCTTCAAACAATGAGGAAGGGGCTTTGTCTTCATAGAAGGGCAATTTAGAGCAGGGCTGCCAACTTTGAGGAATGAACAAAATGGTTTATTCAAGCACTGAACAACCTTTGGTAAGTATTCTGGGTGGGGTTAAGGTGGTGGTATATAACATTAATAATGATGATGATGATTTTTTATTTATATCCCACCCTCCCCAGCCAAAGCCGGACTCAGAGCGGCTAACAACAGTAAAATAATACAACATTCTAAAATCATTTCATTATAAAATCAGTTCAAATCAAATTAATGGCAACCATTGAGCTAGAGTTCTGTGAGGATTACCAAAGGCCTGGTGGAACAGCTCTGTCTTGCAGGCCTTGCGGAAAGATGTCACGTCCTGCAGGGCCCTAGTCTCTTGTGACAGAGTGTTCCACCAGATCGGGGCCATAGCCGAAAAAGCCCTGGTTGAGGCCAGCCTAACCTCTCTGTGGCCTGGGACCTCCAAGATGTTTTTGTTTGAAGATCGTAAGGTCCTCCGTGGGACATACCAGGAGAGGCAGCCCCGTAGGTACGAGGGTCCTAGGCCGTATAGGGCTTTAAAGGTTAAAGCCAGCACCTTAAACCTGATCCTGTACTCCACCAGGAGCCAGTGCAGCTGGTATAGCACTGGGTGAATGTGATCCCGTAAGGAGTCTTCTGCACCCGCATTCTGCATTCTGCACCCGCTGGAGTTTCTGGGTCAGCTTCAAGGGCAGGCCCAAATACAGTGGTGCCTCGCAAGACGAAATTAATTCGTTCCGCGAGTTTTGCCGTCTTGCGATTTTTTTTCGTCTTGCGAAGCACGGTGTCGGGAAAGTTTTGGAAAAGCTTCAAAAATCACCAAAGTCTTTAAAAACCTCAAAAAAGGCTACCACACCGCGTTCTATGAGTTGCTCCTCGAAGTCAAGTCGCAACTGTATTAATGGCGTTAAGAAAAAGGAAACAAACTTGCAAGACGT